AGTAGCTCGTACCTACTAGTGTGGAAAGGAAACGTAGACATTTGTGGTAGTGGTGGTGGTGGTGGTGGTGGTGGTTGTGGTAGGAGTGGGAGAGGCAGTGTTTTGGCCAACGCAATACAAAAAGAAACACCAGTACACGAATACAATAGTTTGAGCGGCTGGTGGCAATGGGCATCACACGCGCGCGCCACGGCGGCGGACGGACGGACTGACGGACTGATGGACTGTCGGACAGGGCAAAACAAAACAAACGAAGGGGGTGCTAGCAGCGTGGATGCATGACTTGACTTGGCTGGGGGTGACTGGACTGGACTGGACTGGGCTGGACTGCGCGAGCAAAGGGGCTGCCTCCATGTTTACTGTACCTACCTGTTTACCCACGCACGCACGCACGCACGCACGCACAAACGGCGGACCTGCCCTCTCCCTCTCGTACAGCTGTCTTTCTCGTATCACGGCACCTCAACGGCCTTGCGGCCACACTGCCCGCCCGCGCAGAAGATTGTAAGGCGCGTTATCGGCCATCTAGCTCCGACCGCCACACCGGGCTCTCGTGTCTCACCATAGGAACCCAAGGAACTAAACGGGCGCGGCCCGTGAGCTTGCTGGATGCGCGAGCAGCATTAAGTTGCAGCACCTAGGCGGGCTGCCGCTGCTGAGGCTGGATTTGAGTTTGGGTTTGGGGTGGGTGGGTGGTTACATCCATTGCTGAGCACGCTGAGGTGTGATGCGCTGCGAGGCGGATGCACCGGCCGCGGCCGCGTGAGCGACAAACAGTCTGTCATGCGTGAGCGGATGGTTCTCGGTCTCGGTCTCGCGAGAGAGAGAGAGAGAGAGAGAAAGAGAGAGGCAATAGGGGCTGCTGCGGGTTCGTACAGCTGGATGGCATTCTGGAACTCTCGTCGGCTTGTCGGGCGAGGGCGCGAGGGCCCCGCACCCAGCGTGAGAGGGCTGGGCCGACAGATCCGGGCTACTGTACATCGTTAGTGCCGCGGCGCGCCGGTCGGGTGAGGCGTCCCGCCTCTATTTTTACCTACCAAGGCAGGCAGGCAAGCAGCGGAGCCGTCAAGCGACCTCACGCGCATGGTACTCGGTAGAAGGCGTAGAACATTGCATCGGTGGCGGCAACGCTGCGACAGGCTAACTAGACAATACGACGGGCCTGAATTGCCTACTCCAGAGCCGGTGGGTGGCACTATCCAGAGTCAACACGAGCGCGATACGAGGCTTGGCGCCAGCACATGATCGCTGCATACCGCGCCTTGCACAGTGCGGCCGAGCTTGTCGCCTTCTGGATGACGTCTGGGGATAGTGGCCTGCCCGCCGGGGCCTCGTGTGATGGCAGTGGCACTGCGCTGCGACTTCGTGTTTGCTGCACGGTGCCCTCCTTCTCCGCATCTCAGCGGTCTTGCTAGCTCGTCTTGGGCTGTGCTTGCTTGCTGTCTCTTGACATATCCCTTGCCCGCTCGAATATATAAAGCCCGGCTTCTGTCTTCTTCTGGCTCCATCATCTCATCAGCAATCCTCAGCTCCTCACATCTACTACTCTATCAAACTCTCTCTCTCTACCTCCAAACCTACAACCAACCTCTCCGCAAAAATGCAGTTCACCAACGCCCTCATTGCCGCCATCATGGCCACCGTCGTTGCCGCCGCTCCCACCCCGGCCGACAAGCTCATGACCGACACCCAGGCTGCGCAGTGGACGATCAAGAGCTTCACGCGCTCGTGCAACCAGGCCGACACGTCGTGCCACGTCTCCTTCTCCGTGGACACCAAGAACGGCGCTCCCCAGGCCTGCTCCTACGACGTCTCTGGCCAGCCCGCCTCGCGCACCGACTACAACTCCGTCGCCTGCGGCCCTTACACCATCTCCTCGGGCTGGAGCGGCCAGTTCGGCCCCGACGCCGGCTTCTCCACCCTCGCCGTCACCAACGGCAAGCAGATCATCTACCCGGCCTACACCGACAAGCAGCTTGTCAACGGCCAGGCCGTCGCCCCCGACCAGAGCTACGCTCCCCAGAACCTTCCCGGCCAGTAGTTTAGAGGCGCAGGGTCTTTTGTTGCAAGACAGAAGAGAACGTAGGGCGGATTTCTTTGGTCACGATGGTTCCGAATCAACGTTAATTGCCGGTTGAAAATGGCATCGGATGGGAAAATGCTGGGCTGAGTGGACCACATTCCTTAATGTAGTAATCCTAATCGCTCGATCGACCTCTTTTGTCTTTGTGCTTGCGCTGTGATTTTGCTGCTGCTGCTGCTGCTCATCACTAAGTTAGTAGGTAGTCAGTTATTAGCTAGCATCTCCGGTGAACACTATGCCAATGACACTAAAGGACTCTCCCAAAGAAAACAAAACGGTGAAGCGGCATCGCGGCATCGCGTGCAGCAAAAGCCAAAGCCAAAGCCAAGACCTCGCGGAATGGACGCTCAGACAGCGATGATCAACAGCGGTCGCATGCCTCCACCTTGCACTCACCGGGCAGTTCTAACACAAAAAAAAGCCCTTACCTATGTAAGTCACCAGGGTCCCAGCTCCCACGCGTCCTTTCTTCCCCTCATTAACTACTCCAAGCCTGCAAGCAAGCAAGCAATTAATCGCAAGGTACGTACGGAGTCGTTGGTTAAAGCGAGCAAAGCTCCACCCCCCACCGCGCTGATCGATGAAAATCCCCAATGGAAATCGGCAGATCAGCCGATCCGTCCTTGTTCCTTTTGCCGAGCCTGGCACGGCTTGGACGTCACTGCTTCCTGCTCCCCCTCTCTTGCTCTCGTCAACCTAGGCAAGTAGGTAGGCCGTCAGCCGTCTGCCTTGTCGTTGTCGTTGTCGTCGTCGTCGTCGTCGTCGTCGGTGTTCGTGTTGGAGAACTTGGAGGGGCCCTCCCCCACTTTCACTCTCGCCTCGATGACGGGCTTCGTGTTCGCACTGCCGGTGCTTACTACGTAAACGTCGTTTGTTGTGTCGTTGATCGAGTTTGGTTGCAGCGCCGACTGGGCCGGTGGACGTCACTTTCTTGCCTTCATGCCTTCATGCCTTCATGCCCCGACCACTGACGTCGCCGTGGTTATGTTATCGGCTTCCGGCTTCCGGCTTCCGGCGACCGGGTGCTTCGGCCGTCTTGCCTGCTTGGGTACGTACGGTACGTACCGAGCCATGGATGTAGTTACAGACTGCAAAATGCGGAGGGCGAAGCTAACTGCGCCGCTCCCGCTGCACGCTGCATGGGTGCTGCGCCAAGGCACGCCGTCGCCTTGCCAATACGTACGACGTAACTAAGTATGCGATCATGCTGCCTGTCAATGTCATGCTGCTGCATACGTCGTGAGACGCGGGGTTAAGCTTATCCTGGCGCGCGACGTCTCGAGGCGTGAACATAGTTATCGCTTGCGCACATGGTCTTGGCCTCGTGAGCGGGTGCGGGTGCGGTAGAAGCACTACTACTGCTGCTGCTGCTGCTGCTGCTGGCTGTGGTCTGCGTAGCACGCGTAGGTACGCGGTAAGTAAGCTTCGGCTTGTCGTCGCTCTGCGCTGCTGGTGCTGCCTTGCTGCCCGCTGCTCACCGACAGCCGCACTGCCGCGCCCCGCCTCCCGCGCCAACGCCGACGCCACTCCGTGCGCGCGGAGCAGAGCCGCGGCGATCGGCTTTTTGCCTCTCGCTTCTTGCCTCTTGCTGGCGCTGCGGTGAGGCGGCGACGATCGCGAGCTCGTTGCTCGCTCCGATCGCGGCGGGCTTGCTGGGCGATCGGTGGCGCGCGCAGTGGAGTGCGCTGCTCTGTACGCTCTCACGTCCATCACCGCCACCGCTCAGCGAGACAATGGCAGATGGCGCTGGAAAGAGAAAGAAAGCCAGTTAGGGTGTTCGCGGCATGTATGCGTTCGAAGCCCTTTGCACTTGTGGCTGGGGCTCGGCTGTGTCGCTACTCCTAGCGAGAGGAGAAGTAATCTGTACTCCTACGGCCTACGGATTACTTGGTACCCTCCCCGTTCGAGCTGGACGGTGCATCTCTCTTGACGGCGAGGGGCGTTGCGGCGTTGCCACTGACAGGGCGAGATGCGGTCGTGCCGCTGCGTGCTTATCTACCTACCTATCGTATTTATCTCTCCACCGCTGCTCGAGTTTTGCTCGGTCCGGGGTGAGGCTCTTGGAGCGCGTGGGCGCTTGCTGCTGGGTCTGAGTCGGTTTGTTGGGTTGGGGTATGGGTGTGGGTTTTTGCGGCGAGTGTGTGGATGGTGAGGCGTTGAGTCGGTGAGCCGTGGTTGCTGGTGTGGTAAAGGGGGAGGGGCGGTTTGTGTGATTGTGTTATGCAGAGGGTTTAGAGGGAGAGTGTTTATATGCATAGACGGCTGGACTGATCCTTTTATTTGTTTTATTGTTTTATTTATTTTTTTGTTATTTTATTTTTATTTTTTATAAAAAGTATACAGGCAGTTCGGAAACGTCGAAGCTGTATGGTCTACCAGCTCAACTGGCGCACTCGACTTGTGCTGTTTACAGATACCGACGAAACGGACTGCTGGGGAAGGCTGGAAGCGCGATGTCAAAGATACATAGACATCCTGATCGGAGGCGTGGTTACGTTTGGCAACTCTTGGTCTCTTGCTTTGGTGGAGGCGGAATTGGGACACTTTCCTTTCGAGCATGGAATAGCATATAGGTAAACGGATTGGGTTCATGCTTCATATGGCTTTCATGTTTTTGGACAGAAGTTGAGGGTGTTTGCAGTATAGTGAAGTCTCTAGTGTCTGGTAATTCGCTCATTGTATGTCTTCCTGGTATATTTATTAAAGCGAGTTCTATATTTTTGTGTATCGCGGCCACGGCTCGAAAGTAGCGCGCTTTGAGTCCGTTACATTTTATGGAATAGTGAATCCGCTTACAGGTGGTTCTGACGAAGATGCCCTATATGATGAATTGTTAGCTCTGGGACGTTTAAAATTAAAGTCGGGATGCTGAGAGCTTTTGTGATTACGAGATAAGTGGATATAGGTACATTGGGCCTCGAATACGTGATTCAGAGCTTTAGCGACGAAGTATATCGCATGATATAGGTTCAAAGAGGCAGTGAAACTGGCACTATATAGTAAAGGGCTTCAAGGAGGTAAATACAGAATAAGTGATTGATAATCCATAGTGGATAATGATCAGCAGAACTACCATTTGCAGAAGGCTCGTAACCGATACAAATGCTTAAAACGGGTTATACCGATCGAAACATCAGTCGACTAAAACGCTGCTTCAACACGACCGTATGGGCTATATACTCGCGAAATACCAAGCACAGAACTAGCCTCATGAAACTAATAAGATGTACCACTAGCCAAAAACCCAACGTTACTACTTCCAAGGCCAGAAGAGTCCTACTAGGTCAACATTCCGCAGCACCAAGAACATATACACCAGCAAGCACCGACAGCAGCCTAAAACACTTATAAGTTACAATTCGCGCTCCTAGAAATAGGCATCCATTCAAGCTGAAATGGCCGAATTGGGAGGAGAAAAATCTCCACGAAATCCGAAATTACGGGAAAGGGGACTTCTACGATCGAAAGATCTAAAGACACTGTTGAGGCGCTTAGCAAAGATTTTAACGACGCCGACGACGACGACGACGACGACGAAGAAGAAGAAGAAGAAGAAGAAGAAGAAGAAGAAGAAGAAGAAGAAGAAGAAGAAGAAGGGAAGAATAAAGACATATTATTACTCTACGGGATCTTAATAAAATAATGTACGCCATCAATCTCAAAGCATACAAACAACCATCAAGGCTTACGTATACGTGATAAAGAGCCCATAAACTCGCTAAAAGAAGGCGGTGATTAATTACTACTAACCAGCTACCTTCAAGAAAACACAAACCATACCTACCGAGCATTCATATTCCTTTAGCCCTTAAGCCAGCAGTATAAGACACGGACACTGAAACAAGAAAGATAACTATACTAAACTGTTCAACCAATCCGCCAAAAAAGGAGCTTAAGAACGAAACAAAAGTAACCCATATTTAGGGCAAACAGACGTGCTTTACTACCAACAGTTACCACACATGATCAAACACAGACAGTACTATCAATCATCGCCCTCTTTAGTCTTTACAGTTTACACGACCCTTGCGGAATAAAGTCAAGGTACAAACGCCACAGCAACAAACGACGCAGCAAATCTATCGAGATAGCAACCGGCACCCCAACCTGTGTTCCTTGACTTAATCTTCTGTCTGGAAACCGGCTGTGAACAGTGGTGGTGCAAGAAGCAGACGCGTTGGAGGCTTGGTTGGATGAGAGCTAGTTATATGCGCGTGTGTGAGAGAGGAATCGCGTCATCCGCACCTTTCATCAGCCCATCCCAGCAAGCTCACACACGCCATCAAACTCGTCCTCACTCCCCAAACCCCCGCCTACCTATAATATAAGGTATTATTCCCTCGTATGCGAGCGTGGTGCGGACTTCTTGCCCACCTGTCGTGTCGTTGAATGTATGTATGTATGTATGTAATTACATTTTCGAGACGTTGGCTTTGATTTTGGCTTTGTCTGCTGGATGGGATGCGTATTGCATGGTATAATAGGCTGGAGTATCAGAGACTCATTGGCGTTGCGAGAGCGGTTTTGGCGAAGAAGAAAAGAAAGAAAAAGAAGAAAAGATATGATAAGTGGTAGCAACACCAAACAACTCGCACAACCCCCCTCCCCCCCACTCCCACACACGCAACCCACACTACACACACACAACCCCAACCAACGCCCCAACCGCCCAAACCACACCCCCCCGTCTCACCAACCCCTCAAACACCTCGCCCACCCGCCCCAACATGCCGCGCTGATCCGTCTCTTCCCAAGCAGGCGGCCACGCCGCCTCCGCCCTCACTTCAGCGCTCACGTCGCCCGCCCAGCCAAAGACTGGCGTGTAGTGGATGCGCAGTAGCGGGCCGGCGCGCGATGCCGGCTGCGCGGGCGGCCCGAAATCGAGGTGGGCGCGCCCGAGGTGGGGCTGGGTTTCGTGGCGGGGGAGGGGGGGAGCAGGTGCAGGGGTGGTGGAGGAGGGCGCCTGCGCGGCACTGGCGTTGGAGTGGGCGTTGGCGTTACTGTTGCCGTCGGCGTCGGCGTCGACATCGACATCGATGCCGGAGACCTCTTCGTCTTCGTCGCCTGCTCCGCCTACAGCCCGCCTCTCTCCGTCCGCAGCCGTGCCTCTCTCGCCTTTGCGTCCCACCGCAGCCGCAGCCGCAGTCGATGCTTTCGCGCCTTTACCCACACCAGCAGCGTCAGCATCAACGCCAACGCCCGCCCCGACGCCGCCCGCGCCGATGCCGCCCCACCGCGGCGCCAACGTCCTACAGCAGCGGGCCCAGACGCGGGCGCGCTGGTCCGCAAAGCGAAAGTACGCGTGCGCGGCTGCGCAGAGGCCTGAGACGTCGGATTTTGCGGCGCGGGCGGCGAGGACGGGGCCGAGTTCGGGGGCGGCCCAAGGGGTGAGGTGCGTGAGGGCTAGGGCTGTGATGCAGGGGGTTGTGGTTGACGTTGACGTAGACGTGGGCACGGAAACCGTCATCTCGAACACGACGCGCAGCGCGTTATGCGGGGCGCGCATGGTGATGGTGTGGACGGTTTGGGCGAGCGGGGTTGTGTCCATGCGGATGCTCGAGGCGAAGGTGAAGGGCGAGAAGAGGCGGAGGTACGGGAGCGGGTCGGCGAGGTCCAGGGGCGCGTGGCTGGGTAGGTCGGTTGCGTCGGCCTTGTCCTGCGGCGGTGTGGGGGGACGGACTGGTTTCGCGAGGGGGAGGAAGGCGGTTAGCAGGGTGGAGAGGGGCGGGGCGGGGTGGGATGGTGGCGGGGACGAGGGCGCTGCGGCGTTGATGAGGGCGCTGGGTGGGGTTGGGGTTAGTGGCTGCCTTGTGATGAGGGGAGGGAGACGTACATCAGGTCCTTGCAGTCCTCGTCTTCTTCCCCCGGCGCGGTCATGGCTCTCTCGACCTCGCGCTCGTACTTGCCCACTTCATCCCGCAGCTCGCGCAGCCGCTGCTGCAACTCCTCCTTTTCCTTCTGCTTCGGATCCGTCTCTGTCGCCGTCGCCGCAGTCTTAACCCCTCCTTTCTCCCCCACCCCCTCCGTCCTCACTTCCCCCGCCTCCACTCCCACTCCCGCAACCACATCCGCATCTTTCGCCTTCCCTTTGTCCTTCTCCCCCTCCCTCGACGCTGGCCTCGGCTTAAAAGGCGACGACAGCCGCTGCCCCAACTGCCTCTGCCTCCGCGGCTGCTGCTTCTTACCCGGCGAGTTGAACAAGCCCTCCTTGGGCGGCAAATCGGGCTGCATAGCCGGCGAGCCCAACTGTGCATACCCCGGAAGCCCCGCGGAGTCCGTGGAAGCAGGCGCCGCTGCCCCCGCCGTTGTTGCCGCACCACCAGCACCAGTAGAAGGATGTTGCAACGCAGCCGGCGGCGGCTGCAGCGTCCCCGCCGCGCCAGTCCCAGCTCCCGCGCCAACAGCACCACTCGTCCCAGCACCCTGCGTGCCCTCCTCCGCCGCCGCCGCAGCCGCCTGCTGCAAGATATCACGACTCGGCAGCAAGCGGGCGGTCTCCTGCTCCCCCACCCCAGCACCCTTGCTCTTCGCCGCATCCGCATCTCCATCCCCATCTCCATTCCCCCCCGCAGCCACCTCCTCGCCCAACGCAGGCGCCAGCGCGCGACTCGCTCTCCGCGCACCAGCAGCCGCCGCCGTAGCAATCGCCGAGGTCGAAGGGACAGCAGCGCCTGACGCGCCCGAAGCGCCGGCGGGGCTTCCCCGCTCCCGCTCCCGCTCGAGAAGGTCCGGGTTGAAGCGCGCGCGGGTCGCTTTGGTGGGAGAGAGGTACGAGGGCCGGCGCGGCGGGGTGCGGCGCAGTTGGTTGCGGGGCTGGAAGATGGTGCTTGTTGTCGAGCTTGTGTCTGCTTCTGCTGCTGATGCTGTGTTCGGCGACGTCTTGCGGCGTTTGGGGGAGCGCTGCCCGTCGGCCATTGTTGCGCGTGTACGTAGGCGTGCGTGCGTGCGTATGTGGGCGTGTCGTAGGCGTGGCCGTGTCGTGGTAGTGTTTACCTAAGTCGCAGTCGTCGCGGTTCGCGATGATGATGCCCGGTTGGTGGTGATGTTGTCGCGTCAACACATGACACGGGCACAGCCAGGTAACCCTCCGGGTCGCGCCGAAGCGCCGACGCGCCCGATGACAGCCTCACCATGACCACCACCATCCAAGCTTCCACCTCACAGACCAGCAGCACGAGCAGCACGACTCGCGCGGCCCTAACTGGACAGCCCTGCAGCACAAGCACAAGCACAAGCACAGGCACAGGCACAGGCGCACGCAAAACCACCCACTTGCTTTAATTAGCTACGACAAAGCACGACCGCCTCGCCTACTGCATTCGCACAAAAGAGCAGCCGTGCGCCTTCTCCTATCTGAGATAGATACCCACGTACGCGGGTGGGCACGCAAGTTGCAACCGCACACGTAAGCGAGATGCCGAGCAGCGCTCGCGTGCGCATCGGAGCTCGCGTAGGTGGTTTATCTCCCTACCTACTATTGTATTGTACGTGCACCAGTGGCAGGGCGCGCGGTTTTGGGCTGAGCTTTGGGCAGGCGTCCGTGTGTGTGTCAAACAAGCTGAACTGAACTGAACTGAGCTGCTGAAACCAGGACACTCATTGATGAGGCTGTTCCAAGTTGTTGCTCGTCTATCTGCGATGGCTTGTCCAGATTACATAGGCACACGCGCGCGCTCGTCAGATATCAAATAGGTAGGCAGCTGGGTACAATGCCTAGTCGCTAAACCAACCACTCACTCCCTCAATAAATCAATCCAGTCAATAAATCAATACCTCAATACTCATAGCTCGTAACCCTAACTCCCTCCCAGCCGCCAAAGTAGGCCGTTTGTGTATCCCAGCACCCAACCCAATCATATCCATAAACGCCATCCACCCCAGTCCGCCAGCATGAAGTCCTTTTCCCCTTCCCTTGCCTTCCCTTGCCTCCACCAGCAGTCTTCATCCATCCTAGGTATATCAATACCAATACCATTAGCAATACCCCATCAAACCCTGCCTGCAAGTACCTAGGCATGCTGCTGCGTAAAACCAAGTGACTCAGAGCTCAAGACGCCAGGACGCCGCACAACGCAGATCCGGAGCAGAAAGGAAGAGTGGAGGTGAGAAGACGAGGCCGCCAAACGCCCATGCCGTGCCGTGCCGTGCCATAGACGCTAGGTAGGTACGCTGTCCTTTGGTGGTTATGGATTGCTGCTCAAGCCTGGCCGCTGCTGGGCTGCTCGTGCTGCGTTACGGCTGCTGCGCTCGTGGCCGTGGCTTCTCCTGCCGCGGGCGGTTGCTCGTCTTGCTCTTGCGCCTGTCGCTGTTGTTGTTGCTGCTCCTCAGGCGCCCGCTCCGCTTCCTGGTGCCGCACATGCTGCTGCTCCGGCTCCCTCGCCAGCGGCACCTCTTGCACAGGCGCTTGCGCCGCCTCTGCACTCGCACCCACCTCCTCTCTCACGCCCTGCACAGGCACAGCAGCAACAGCCGCACCCTCCGCCTCAGCCACACTACCGCCTCTCTTCCTCCCACCCCCCAACAACAGCCCACTCAGCCGCCTACTTCTTCTCCTCGCGCCAGCCCCATCGCCCTCCTCTTCCGTCGTCCTCAGTGCCCCCTCGGTGCCAGCGCCGCCTGCACTCCCTCCTCTCCCCTCACCCGCCATCCGCCTTGCCACCGCCATCCGCTCCCCCGCATCGCCATGGTGTCGCAGATGCAAGAACTCGCGCACGCTGCGCCTGTGGTGGTGGTTATGCGTGCGCGGGACGCCCGCCGCCGCCGCGCCGTCGGCATCGAGCGGCGGCGCGAGGATCACGGCTGAAGATGGGGTTTGCGCGGACGTGGCGCTGGTGTTGGTCGGGGCGGGGTGGAGGTCGATTCGGCTGCGGAAGAGACAGGCGTTAGTGGTCTGTTCTGTGCGCGAGTTGAGAGTGGTGTTGGGGCAGGACTTACCAGAGTGGACACGTGCCGCTGACGTTCAGCAGCCATGGGTCGATGCACGCGGGGTGGAACTTGTGGTCGCACGGCAGGACGCGGATGTCCTGGCCGCGCTCAAAGTCGTCAGTGCAGATGGTGCAGCCTTGCGAGTCGGCCTCGTCAGTCGTGGGAGCAGTAGAGGCCGCGGCCACGCCGGCACCGGCGCCTGCGCCGGGTGTCACAGCGTCTCCGTCAGCAGCGGTAGTGGTGCTTGCGGGAGCGGTGGGCGCCTCCTGGCCAGCTTCTCCAGATTTGTGCTCGGCGGCAGCCTGCATGTCATCTGTCACGTCCGCGCTTCCCCTCCTCTCACCGTCGCCGCTGCCCTGCACAGCAGCCGTACCCGTCTCGCCCATCTCGACGTCCGCAGGCTTGGGCTCCGGCTCCGCGCGCTCGCCGAACTTGACAATCGGGATCGTGTCGAGCATTGCGCGAGCGATGCCGCGGGCGCGGGTCTGACGCTGCCCGTCACGACCACCGCGGCCGACCATGACGCCGGGACCGTAGCGCTCGGGGTGGCGGTGGGCGCGCAACGCGCCCGTGACGATGACGACGAGGAACAGGGCCGTGATGATGCCCGTGATGGTGTAGAGGATGATCATGGCGACGGCGGTGGAGGGCGATGGCCCCAGCGGGTTGCTGGGCGACGTGTTGGCGTCTTCGTTGGAGTCGTCGGCGCCGTCCGGGTTGCTGTGGCTGCCGTCGCGCGGCAGGATTGTGACCAGGTACCTCATGGCGTTGGGGGTGTTGACGGTTTTGTCGAGGTCCGTCAGCACCTGCTTCGAGATGGTCGCGTCGACCATTGTGTAAATGTACACGGCGCCGTTGTCGCCCGCGTCGGCGTCCGAGACATTGCAGTAGGATGACGTGGGACTGAAGAGGAGAACGGCGGCCGCCCCGCCGTTGACCACGGTTGCCAGCACATCCGAAGCCTGGGTGAAGCCGGGGTAGGCCGAGGCGTCGCAGTTGATGTAGGCGATTTTCTTGTCGGTCACATTCGACGCCGTGTCGTCTGTCGCTAGGAAGAGCTGGCCCGTCACGCCTTCCGACTGGGCTGAGGGTTAGCGCTCGCTGGCGGCAACATTACCTACTGAACGCGGACACCTACGTCTAGCTGGCTGGCGGCGTTGGTCAGCGGCACAACGGCCGAAATGTTGTGCATGGCCCCTTGGTCGACAACTTTGAGCTGGATACCATCGTCCGTGGGCATGGACGAGTTGGTCGGCGTGATCGTCACGGCGCTGGCGAGGGCGACAATCAGCGCCAGCAGCATGAGGGACGGCATGGCGGCGGAGAGGGACCGGCTAGTCTTTGGCGAAGGCGAGGGCGGCGAGCATGTCGTCGTCGTCGGCGAAAAGTGTAGGCGGAGAAGTCGCGGTGCATGGTGGAGACGGCGGCCATCATCTTTTAGCAGCGATCGGATGGAGCGGAGTCGCGCATGTGGGGGGCGTATCGCCGCCGGCCTGATGAGCCAATCTCACGCCGCCGAGCCCACTGTGACAAGACATCACCACACGCGCACCCTCACGCCGCCGCGACACCAACACGTCAGGCCCACCTCCTCCTCCCACGCCTCGTCGCCCACGGCCCGCACGCCCTCGCAGCTCTGCACCAGCCTCACGACCGCATACGCCGCCTCGGTCAGCGCGTAGCCCTGGCCCACGCACACGCGCGGTCCGCCATTGAACGGAACGTACGCCCAGCCGGGCCGCATCGACGGCGCCGCCCACCGCTCCGGCCGGAACGCGTCGGCGTCGTGCCCGAACTCTTTCGCGCGGCGATGCATTGCCCACGCCGACCACGACACCAGCGTGCCGCGCGCCACGAACACGGGCGCCGTCCCCGTCGGCCCTCCCCCGCGCGGCAGCGTCGTGTCGCGCACGCAGTAGCGCGTGTTGGCCGGCACCACGGGGTGCAGCCGGAGCGCTGATGAATCCGCTTATTAGCTTGCGTACACCATCTTACTTGCGAGGCGCAGTGCTTACATTCGTTTAGACAATGCCGGACATACGTGAGATTCTTGAGCTGCTCGTACGAGGGCGGCTTGCCGTCCAGAGGCGCCACCTCGGCCTTCAGCTTCGCCCAAACATCCCGTCTCCGCGCCAGCACAAAGAACAGGTTCCCCAGCAGCGAGGCCGTCGTGTCCCGGCCCGCGAGCAGCACGTTGAGCAGCTCGTCGCGGATCCGGCGCTTATCCCGCGTGTGCCGCGCCAGCTCGTGCAAGAAGTTGTACTTCCTGTCTGCGGCGCCCTGCTGCTCCTCCTCCTTGGCCTCGCCCCGCTCCAGCGCCTCGCGGTAGCGCAGCGCGTCGTCGACGAACTGGTCGACGTAGTCATGCACGACGCGCACGGCAGGCACGCCATGGACCTGCTCGCGGCGCCAGACGAGGCGGCGCAGCGGCCCCAGCCTTAGCAGCTTCATCGCCTCGCTCTGCGCGACCGCAAACGCCGCCGCGAACCGCGCTTCGCGGCTGTCCGCGTCGCCGCTGCTCGCGGTCCGCAGGCTGCGCACGCTGCGCCCGAACAGGAACCCCGTCGCCGAGTCCATCGTGAGCCGGAAGAACAGGTCCTGCACGTCGACCTCGACCGGCCCGGCGCCAGCGGCGCGCGGCCGCACGTGTGCGAGCAGGTCTTGCACGTGCTGCTCGAGGGCGGCTAGGTCCGCGAGACGCTCGCGCGCAAACGCCGGCCGCATCATGGCGCGGCTGGTCGCCCAGTGCGGCCCGTCGGTCGTGAAGATGCCCGCGCCCAAAAAGGGGCCAAGCGCCGGTGCCCGGAATGGCGCGATGGCGTAGTCCGCGAAGTTCGTGCTCAGGATCGCTTTGACGTTGGCAGGGTCCATGGTCGTGATAGCTGGTGCCCCTAGGCGCAAACTGCGGTATGTTGACCCATATGTGCGCAGACGGTGCGTCAGCGTGTCGAGGACGCGATGGGAGCGTGCGGCTCGGAGGTTGCAGAGGAGCATATCGAGGCCCAGGACGGGGTCCTTATGCGGGTAAGAGGGACATGGCAGGCAGCCATTGGAGAATTTGTACTTTCGCCGAGCCAGATAGAGCGCGACCCGGTTATAGAGAGACAGGAGGAAGAGGGTGAGAGCAGCGAAGAGGAGAAGGGCAGACATGGATTGGTTCATTGCCATGATTGCAGTCGAAGCTGTTGTGGAAGGATAGTTTGAGCGACGACAGCACTTCTTGTACTCAAGTTTCAAAGCGGAGAGAGTCTTGTCTCGAGCCTCCAAGCTTGAGGCGAACGGCGTGCCCGAGTCTGTGCCCGCATGGCTGCGCCGTGCAATCAACCCACGAGTTGGCGTTTTATCCTGGGGGCAATATAGAAGACTGCAGCCCAAGAAAAGCTAGCCAATCCCCACTATTTCTTACCTGGCCACGAGATTCCACACTGTGGATATGCATGGGCGAGAAGCTGACAGCGAGCGGTTTCGGACGCAGCTGAGACTGAGGCTCGTCTTCGCCGAGGCGTCCAATGAGACAGGTCCAGCATCGGCGTCAGCACGAACGGCTTCCACCAGTTCCTACAGGTTGGGCGTGCCCCGTAAGATGCTTTTGCAGTAGTCTGCATCCACAAACCCGGGAATATTTGTTGTCCTAAGGCCAGAAGAGACAAGTGTGGAGAATGTTGTGTATCGCAGCAACTTGACGCGCGAAACGGGACTCGCAACAAGCGTACAGATCCTTATTGGCAAATAAGGAAATAGCCCTGCAGACGTGGAGGGTAATCCTTCCACGCCCCGTCGGCAATCCCGAACGCCAATGTGTGCAGCATTTACTCTCGAGGGTAGATACGCCAAGCGATCCGTCCCAAAGCACTTGGACCTCTGGCAAGCTCTCGTGAAGCGAATCAGAGACCATCGTCATGGCGTTCTTCATGTATGTATGCCCCGTTAACTATTGCCTCACGGGGCAGGAGGGTTCGCGCCAAACGACAGCGCAAGGCTGCGGCAGCTTACGCCGCCCTCGAAGCGGCGCCAGTAGCCAGCAAATGAGGCGCACTTTGGCGTACGCCGCTGAGACAGGATCTGCTGCTGCAGCCGAGCACGCGTCGTAGGTAACTAAAGGCGAGGTCGAGGCCTCGTTGCATGGAGCCAGCTGAGGACTTTGTGGCGGTGAAATTAAGGTTGCGTGGAACGAGTGTTGGCTGTACCGGAGTGGCCGGTGATGCTTCGGGTCGCTTCAAGGGGGCCATTTCTCTTCCCTCTCCAATGACGAGCAATTGGCTACCAATGGCGTCGATGGATTCTGTATTATCCAGGCTAACTTGTACCTGTTCAGCTTCTCATTCATGCCGTCATACAAACGGTCTTCCCGCTGTGCAATCCGGCTACGTCCGGATATAAGACACGTCCGGAGATGCGTGCATCTGGCTGACAGCTTCATGCATGACCCCTGGACAAATCATAGGGAACCTGAGGGGCGGTGGTGTGGCGCCTGTGGCTTAGACGTTGACGTACACTGCCTTGTGCGAGGCTGGTGACGGAGTGGCATAATGCACCGGTGAACTCGTGCTCACCGCCAAGACAGCGAAGAGGCATGATATTTAAAAGAAATACAAAACAGGACAGCGTGAGAAAATATTAGTTCTTTGTCGCTTCTTATCCAATAGCACAAGTGATTCGATTCTGTATTACTGACTGCACCACCATTAGGAAATCAGCATTGGTGCACAGAGTATTGGCAGCATTGAAACCGGAAGAGCCTGATACAGTACGATGTGGCCTAACAGCAAGTCGAGAGTATCTGAGAAACAATGGCTGTCGGCAACTCCGTGTCGTCCTTTAATAGTACCAAATTACTGTCACCTGCTGATCTGTGCAATGCTCGGCTTTTCTTCCAGCACATGCCTTGGGTTTGACGGGCTTGCATCTGGAATTGGACTCAAGCCACCCACAAACGTGACCTGCTGAAGACGGGGGATGTCCAACGGTGCCGTCACTGGACCCCTCATCCCCTCAAGCTGACCATGCATTCTTGTGATTCGATCCCTTGCCACAGAAATAGAGTCTCGAGGAGCATATCTGTTAGCCCAGTCGCCCATGCAACGTTCATGCATAAGGGCAACCGAATCTCGATGATTCTGCAAAAGAGGATTGTCATCGGTGGCATCAGATAGCTCAGAAAGGCTGCGGGACTGCTGTCTCCGGCGATCGGACGGCCGCAAAGACTTGTTGGGGCGGGGACTGTGGTAACCGCTGAGTACCTGGACTTGTTCAAGTCGTCGGGGAGCTGTGAACGTTTCTTCTTCCAGCTCTGATGCCTCGGAGTCAGATGGAGAGATGGACTTATCGGAGCCTTTTTCGCTTAATTGGCGTGAGGGAAGCCGAGATTGATGGCCGGATGAACTTGGTGTGTGTAGCTTGCTGTTGGGAGGGGCCATAGAGATACCAGAATCGTCAGGGTCGAAATTGAATTGCGGTTCCTCTGGCTCTTGGAATACCTCGACATATGACTTAAACCGAGGATGGCTTTTGCTCTTTCCAGAGACGTGTGCGTTGCGACTGGATGACCACTCCTTAAGCTTCGAATCCACACGTGAAAGACCCAATGGTGATCCACCTGCCTCTACATCTTCGGCTAAAGGAACAACAGAGTGGTCTTCATCCTGGTGTTCTTCATCTGGTACGTCATCCTGAGTGGGTGAAGGTTCGTCCCAAAAGACTTCGTACGTGCCGTGACCTGATTCCACCACCTGTATGCTAGGGCTGGGAGATTCGTGGTCGCTGCTGGAAGAGGTCGCAAACCAGAGCTCCTTATCACCCTGCGGGGTAATTGGCAAAACGTGGACATCAGTGAGGGTTGTAGCTGTGTCAGCAGCAGCACCCTTGATAGATTGGGATTCGGACGAAGATGAATCCGTGGCACGAGATAAAGCGGCCTCTGTATCTGACCCGTTCTTGCGATGGACCCATAGATGTAAGGCAGGGAAACAATGACGGCGGCCTTGTTGCTGGACGCCTGGACCGCCAATCTGGGCGATTGGTGTTCTGTCCTTGAACTTTTCATCTGACAAGGCTGGGGCAGAGGAAGGGGTATTATTTCTTTCCTCTACTGGCATCAGAACAGGTGATGCATCTTCCGGACGAGGTTTCGCCCTGATGTGATGGCCAGCGCGGCGCAAGAGGTGGCCAGTCGAGTTGTTTGAGCTTCCTGTAAACCACAGAAACTTTGGTGTAACGGCTGCGGAAGTCCGTGTTGGGGCCGTTCGCACACGACGTATGGAGCCTTGCTCAGGCAACGACGACGTTCGGCGTGGAGATTCCCGATGTCTGGCCTTGGTAATCACACCTTCCAACCGCCTCATTCGCCTGGCGCGTGTAATGGGGTCTGCGGAAGTCGAGTTGTGCCTAATAGGCCATCTGAGCCGAGATTCCGTTGCCTCATCCTCTAAGAACTTCCGGTTCCTCTGGCCTTCGGAAAGCTGCCTACTCAGGTTATGATCATCCCTTTCCTCTGTGGTAAGCAGAGGCTGGTTGTCTTCCACATTAACATTTGGGTCAGACGCGGCGCGGCTGAAGGTTTTATCGAGGTCGTTGCCGTGGATGGATGAACCGAGAGGTCCTGTCAAAGGATGTTCCATATCTGAAGCTAAGCCTGGACCAGGTATTTGGATGACCACTGTGCCTTGGACTCGACGTGGCGAGTTCTCAAGTGCAGGGCCCTTTTAGGTTGTTGACTTTCAGGGTGATGGTTGAAGGGTAGAATGGCGGGAAATAAGCTTGTCAATAGGTAGGTCCAGGGACTGACGGAAAAAGAAGAAATGTGCGTATGCGAGGAGAATCGATAGTCAAAAAGCTTGAGAGAGGAATTTGGTCCATTTGAATGACGGAGAAGTGTCTCTACCGGAATGCGGAAGGCATTGTTTTCATTATAGGCAAGACCTACCTGCTGCACATGCCGACATAGGTATGCGAGAGTTGCAACACAGAGCACAGACATTGGTGACCGGGATATGCAGCTATGTCCGTTAATTACCTACTATTCATTAACTTCCTGATGAAAAGGCCGTCGTGATGAATTGTTGTTGTGTTGCCCATTGGCCATGGCGTGGTAAAACAAGTCCCTGATGTCTCCGCAACGCACGGGCCTCACCCGTCACAAGTGTCAAGCAAGCTGGCCTCGAGAGCTCCAAAGCATCCCCAGACTTTCCCTCAGCCCATTGCAAAGGCTAGCCCACTATGCGGAGCGCATCCCTCCAAGCTTTGCTGCTGTCCGGTGCAGCTATTGTTCCACTTGCTACCGCCGCGGAATCTTCTCGCCCTCGTGGAGTTGGCCCGGAATGTACGCAAGAGCTCGTTGATTTTCAACGTCACCATAGCTATTGAAATCGATCACTCGCTAACAAGCTTCTAGTTGCAAAGTTCTACAAGGACCCTGACCATTTTACTTGCATCTCCAACCCCTCCCTCCAGCTCTCGCTGTCGCAGATCAACGACGATTACTGCGACTGCCCCGATGGCTCCGACGAGCCTGGCACCGCCGCCTGCTCTTACCTCTCTCCACTTTCCCCCCACTCTGCGGACGACATCACCAGTGATGATATAAATACCACAATTGCCTTGCCCGGGTTTTATTGCAAGAACAAGGGTCATATTCCAAGCTACGTCCCGTTCACAAGCGTCAATGATGGCATTTGTGACTACCAGGCTTGTTGTGATGGCAGTGATGAATGGGAAGGGGTAGGTGGTGTCAAATGTCCCGATAAGTGTAAGGAGATTGGCAAGGAATGGCGTGCTCAGGACGAGCAGAGACAAAAGTCATTGAGTGCCGCCAACAGGAAGAGGAAGGAGCTCGTAGCGGAGGCCGCTAGGCTGAAGAAAGAGGTCGAGGACCGCATTTCTACGCTTGGAACTCAGGTTGAAGGCCATGAGATCAAAGTTGCCAATCTGCAGAAGGAACTTGCTGAAACGGAAAGGCGGGAGAGGAGCAAGGTTGTCAAGGGGCCCAAGGGTGGTGACAAGGCCTCTGAGCTGGCTGGTCTGGCTCGTCAAAGGATGGATGAGCTCCGTGAGTCTCTAAAGAGGGTGCGCGAGGAGCGTGATTCCACCCGTGAGAGAGTCAAGCAGCTCGAGGAGGTCCTCTCTCGATTCAGCGAAGAGTACAACCCCAACTTCAACGACGAGGGCGTCAAACGCGCCGTCAAGTCTTGGCTGGATTATGCCGCCAGCGGCAAGGCCCCGGACACCGATGCCGCACGCGAGCGTGACCTTGACCAAGCCTTGAAAGCCGACAGCGAGAACGGCCTCAAGTGGGAGGATTTCGAAAACCTTGGGCAAGTCGAGGCAGAGCTGGGTGAGTAAAAATCATGTTCACAGGCGCAACTGTGACTAACAGAACCAAACAGTCTACCAATTCGAGGAACTTCTTCCTGAGCCCCTTCGCAGCTGGGTTGACCAGAAGCTGCGCGATGCCCGCGTGTGGCTGATTGAAAATGGCTTGCTTGCCGACAACAAGGAAGCGACTGGCACCGAGTCCAAGGAGGTGACAGAAGCCAAATCGCGCCTCAGCTCGGCCGAGAAAGACCTTAACAACGACCGTAAGGACCTTGAGAATCACAAGAGCGATCTCGAAAAGGACTATGGTGAGGATGGTGTGTTCCGCGCACTCAAGGATCAATGCATCAGCCAAGACAGCGGTGAGTACACGTACGAACTCTGCTGGATGGGCAAGACGACGCAGAAGCCGAAGAAGGGCGGTGCAAACACTGGAATGGGCAACTTTGCGCGCTTTGAGACCGTCACCGTTGATGAGGACGTAAGCCCTGACGGCAAGGGCCTGGGCTCCGGCGAGCGTATCGCTCTTAAGTACGAGAACGGCCAGCACTGCTGGAACGGACCGAACCGGAGCACGACCGTTATCCTGGCCTGCGCCGAGAAGGACGAGATCTGGAAGATCAGAGAGGAGGAGAAGTGTGTGTACAGGATGGAGGTGGGCACACCGGCGGTGTGCAAGGCTCAGGCCCAAGCCCAAGCTGCCGCGCAGGAGAAAAAGGTCAGGGATGAGCTATGAGGGTACGGAATAAGCTGAGAGACGAGTCATGAGGATGCGGTGTTGTTGCGTAGATTATCAGCCATCTGTGGATATAACTAGACGAGAGAGGCCTTGCGATGCTAGAAGGCGCGGGTACGTACGAACAATCCTTGGTTTGCACGCAGCGCAAACGACGCCCCGCCACATCCGGCAAAAGCAAGCTATTGTGCATACGCGCAACAACGCACCTCATCTCATCTGCCACGAACACGGTCATTACCTATCATCATCATCGAACCTACATACACGCGTCGTCATCACCACCATCACCCCATGCCGACCCACCTGCCCACTCAACGCACCTCCATCGCAACCATACCCCTGGGCGCATTTCCGAGGTCCCGACACCCAGATCGATATAGGCATGGACGCCTATAAAAGTCGGGCAGCCGCAGTGGTTTTATAGTTCGGCTGGCTGCGTTATAGGCCGGCAAGGAGCCGGGATGAACGCGGAATCTCGGCGTGGGCCGCAGGACGTGGTGTCGCGGTGGGCTTGCTCGAGATAAATGGAGATGGGGCGGGCGGGCGGACGGGACGAAGCGTGGATCGGTGATCAGGTAGAGTAGCTACGTAAAGTGGCTGAACCGTGGTTGGCGAGCCGGATGACACCCGCCGCTAGTCGCGCCAGTCAGGCCCAATTGTCATGTCGTTGTGGGGAGAGCGGGCCCGACACGCGCAATATATCAGACACGGGCACCCCACAGATTAAGGCGCGCCGGATTGGGAGGAGGGCAGGGCCAAAATGGACCAGCGGGGGCGGTTGCGTGTATATACATATAGCTGTATTGTAGGGCTGGCGCAGGCAGGAATCAAGGAATCAGGATGAGACAAAGATTACAGGGCACCTTATCTGTGGGAGGGGCGTGCCATGGCTGCTCCCCCGGAAAATCAGCAATGACGTCGCGCAACGACAGTACTGCAATTAAATAGATCGTGAGAAGGTCGTGTTTGAGGATTTTGCGGCGGCTTGGAGCGTGGCGCTGGCGGCGCCCTTGCGACAAGCCATGCACTGTAACTAGGTACACTTGTGCAGCGTGTGATGCTTTTGGGGCGGGCGGGCCGTGAGTCTGCTCAAGGCGATGAGCTATTCCAAGGCGCGGACGGACATTAGGGGAGTACGAGCAATCTACTACTGACGTTGGGAAGATGAGCGGCACCGATCAGCCGTTCTAGAAAAAGCGCCGTGGGGCTGGGCTCAGATCACATGTGCCTGATCGCTGAAACTGCAAGGCGCTGCCCCTGCAGCGGAAAGGGACGGATGGGCGTCCGCGAGTCGTTCCTCGACACGCCGAGCGCGCCGGCCAGGCGGGTTTCGTGGAGACGTGTGCCACGACGCCCTCGCGAACCGTGAGACGTTGGGCCAGCTGCCAGGGGATTGCCTGTTAGCCGGCGATCTGCAGCCTGTTTGACGCCGGCATTCCTCAGCGGCCGCGAAAAAGTTCTGGACGAGGGCCCGGTGGAAATTGTTTCTCCCCCTTGCTGGCCCTGCCCGTGCGCCCGCCTGCCCAAGCTTCGTCCACTCCTCGGCCCTCTCTTCTTCCAGCGCGGCCGTTGCTTGTCACTTCTTCTTTGCACCTCGGGCGGCCAGAGATCTCGGCTTCGCTGCTGCTCAGGAGCTCTCCCTTCCGCTTCCAGTCGCTCCTTTCCCTACCAATTCCTCTTCAATTCCGATATTTGACTGCGCCACTCCCGAAACGCGCCCTTCACTCACGCTCCCGATCCTGCTCCAGCCAGCCAGCCGTGCGAACCGCCTCTCTCTCACTCAGCCGCATCTGAGTCTCATCCACTCGTTCGCCTCCTTTGCCTATAGTCCCCCCGTCCCATCTTACACCCTCCCCCCCAAACCCTGTCAAAAATAGTCCGCTGCGCCCCCCCAGCTCTCGATTCTGCATGGCCGCTGCAGTGCGACGTCCCGCCCTCTAAACATCAACAATCGCGGTCCGAGGACGCGTTGCGCAGCCAGGTATGTCGCTCTTGCCGTCTCGCAGCCCAATGCCACTTGGCTTCTGCGCGCACGGTGTGATCATCGCCATGCTAACCGTCCAATAGCTTGCAAATCCGCTTGCGCCAATTCCGACCACCTCCTCGTCCCTTTTGAGTCCGCCTGATTGTACGTATGCTTGCTCTCCCACGCCTTCGCCATGGACTCGCCACGGTCGTCTACCACCCCGACGACCAGCTCGACGAGCTCATCGCGCAGCGGCTCTTCGAGTAGTCTGCGCATGACTAACCTATATAAGGCCACCATGAACCGGTTCCTGCAGAGGAGGAAGGCGCAGAACGCCCTGGAAGCTGAAGCCCCACCGCCGTCAAGTTCAAGTTCGAAGAAAGACAAGAAGAACAACAACAAGAAGAAGGCCGCGCCCGAACCAGAACCACAATTGGACCTAAGCGCTGCGCTTCCCTCGAACGATGACTTCCGCACGAGTCTCCTCATGCCGAAGATGTCTGCACGATTCAGTATGCTCAGAGAACAGGACGATCCCGAGTCATTGCTCGGAAAGGCCAGCGACGACAGCGTCTTGAACCACAAACGCCAATCCCGACTCTACGATTATGGTTATACCGCTTCCGGTCTGTCGGATATCGCTGAAGTCTCGTCGATCACCGGGTCTGTTCGTCCGCCTTACGCTTATGACAGAAAGGGCTCGGTCGATCAGAGCTATGGGTCGGACACCGACTCTCTTCACGGGAGTATCATGAGTCGAAAGCGGCCCGGCGAGGGTAACGTGCTTTTTGGAGGGCGACAGAAAGTATATCTAGGGAACCGTGCGCTCTACGAAGACGACGTCGGCCTTTCTCCGTTTCAGCAGATGAAACGTGAAGAAAAAAGGAAGCAGAAAGAAGAGGAAGGAGACGATGAACAGCAAGAGCAGCAAGAGCAACATGACACGGCATCTGGCAGCCCTGCTGGAGAACTCAAGCATTCGTCTTCCTTTACGGGATCTCTACAACGCCGCGAAACGTCCTCATCAACCACGTCTGGCGCTGATCCCCGATCGTCCACAGCAGCGACCTCCGTTGCTTCTCAAGGTGCTAGCTCCATTGCGCCAACATCTTCGACCAAGGGCAGAAGACTGTATGAACAAGGCTTGGATAGGAACATCCATGAACAGCAGCATTCGGCGCTGAACCGACTCAACTCGATCCAGCAACAAGGGCGGGCAACACCTCCCCTCACCCAATCGAGAAGTGCAACTGGCTTGAGCGAGCGTTTCCGTCGGCCAAGCAACTCCTTGAGAGTAGCCAGCCCGCCACCTACTGCGCCCCTCGCCAACGTGTCCGGCTTCATGGCCGCCAAAGAATCCGGCCCCTCTACAAGCTCAAGCCCGGTTTCAAGCGTCCACCAGACGCCACCCATAAGCCCTCTTGCCATCAACCTAGACGAGAAAAACCCTCTATCCAAGGCGATCGATTCAAACGACCGTGGAAAAGCCACAGCGATGGGTGCTTTCCAGAAACCCAGCAAGCAGTTTGATCAGACGGAATACCTTCAGCGTCAAAAGCAAATGCTTGAAGGAAGGCAAACTCCTCCGCTGAGGAAACAATCGTCAGCAGGTACTGTTCAAGACAGACTGGACAAGTTCGAGAAGAAGCGCAGTGACCCTCCATCCGGGGGCCCCTCGCCGTCAAGGTCAGTCCAGGGGATGCGCGATAACTTCGAGATGAGACACGTCCAGTCTAAGTCGAGCCTCCGATCGGAAACTAAGCCGGTTGTGGAACCACAGGAGCGTCTGGAGCCCGAGCGTCCAGAATCTGCCACCCGGAGCCGATCAAGGTCCAACTCGAGTGGTATCGCACCGTTTCCGATAATTCATGCAGACTTCACCGCGCCTCCTCCGAGGAGCCCGTCGCCGCCTATGCCCATTCAAGAGGTTGAGGAGCCGACGGAAGAGAAGCGCTCAGTAGAAATTGCTCCGCGAAGCCGGTCAAGGACAAACTCGAGCGGTCTTGCGCCGTCGATCCTGCCCCCACCACCGCCCGTCTCCGCACCGCCGGCTGCACCATTACCGGCGATCCCACCTATGCCATCCTCACCGCCAAAGATGCCGCCTCCCCCGACCCCGAGCGCCTTTTCGGTGTTCCAGAAAGCTGCAGGTCGCATGCGCGGCATGTCTATCGACCAGGAGGCCACGCCTAGAGATCGTGACACGCAGCATACTTTCTTCGCCGCGCAAGATGATAGCGATAGTGAGGAAGAAGAAGTCTCACCCGGCACTTGCTTGGACAAGTCGAAGCCGCAGGTGCAAGCTCCACCCCCGCAAAAAGAGAGCGCAGTCGTGACTGTTACCGAGACTCCAGCTGAGTCTCCTGTTGCGCCATCGCTGATGGATCATCCTGCCCTGCGCTCCTTCACGACTTCTCCTGTAACAAGGGCGTCGGAGAATCTGCTCGCGACCATCAACTCACCTCAAGAGACCGATAGACAGTCTTCAGTATCGACGGTTGTCAAATCCGATGCCACAGATATTGACTCGCCTACGCTCGGTCCCGAGGGCAACAACCTCAATGGCATAATTCGCGAGCACCTTCGCCGAAGCAATGTCTCTTCCCTCTACGACGACTTAGGGCCTGCACAAATGGACAGTGTCATGAACAACATGACAGCAACCTCTGTGCTGTCTGACACGCCTGCTCACTCGAGTTACAGCCCTTCCAACCCTTGGGACTTGGAAGATCTTGACGATGACTTTTATGGCGAAGGCGACAGTTTGAGCTCAATCAGCCCTATCGATGCTGTTAAGACGAAGGCACCGCGATCCAGCGGAGATGTTAACCCTTCTCTCGCCGGTGCAGCGGAAGCCGCAGGGGAAGCTGCAGCTGTCACCCCGTGGGAGCAGGAGCTGAAGGGCCACAACAGGAACGTTAGCATGGCTACGGCAGCCGAGAGGGAGGCTTTCGAAAGGGAGCTTGCGGAGAGACAAAAGGCTATTCAAGAGACACTCAAGAGCAAGGTCGAGGCCAGCAGCCGCGCCGGTAGCCCAACGCCCTCTCTAGGGGGCGCTTTTAAGGCTTTCGGGATGCTTCGATCCAAGACAAGCCGTGAAACCTTGGCCAACCGCCAAGACAGCAAGTCGCTGAGGATGTTTGGATTGGGTGGTGGAAACGCCAGCTCAACGTCTCTTGCGCGCAGCAGCGAGGAGCAATGGAGAGGCCAAGATGCCGTCAAGGCAAACAAGTCGTGGAAGGAGCCCATCAATGAGGTGGAACCGGATGATGATTACGCCCGAGAATTTGAGGAGCAGCTCATGCGGGGAGCAAGTGGCGATGGTAATCTCGATGCGAGGTCTATCAAGGGCCCATCTCCTCAGCCACCCAAGACAGGGCGCAACCGGGCCAGCTCCAACCTCACATCTGAGAGGTCCAGGAGCCGTTCTGCACGCCGTCCTGACGATGCTGAAGGTATCGATCCTCTTGAGATGCCTCCGCCAATTCCAGGCACCTTCCCCAGCTCTGGCATGCCCACCCCAGAATCGGTACTGTCGACTTCTTCGACGGAACAGTTGTCGGGACCTCCGCCCATTCCTTCGAGGAAGAACAGCCGGCCTAACATCAATCCTGGGTACTTCGACCAGAAGTCTCTTCACCCTATCAAGACCGGTTTGCCTTCTATCCCTTCGCCTCGGTTGTCTCCGGGGCAAGTCGCTCCTCAGGGCTTGAGCCCACGCCCGTCGATAAGTGGAGGGCCCAGCCCCGCTCGCAGTCCTGCCCCAACGTCGGTCCCCCCGAGACCGCCCCACAGCGCCAATCCGTTTTCATCGCAGTCAACAATTTCGACGACGCCCAGCTCTCCCACCTCATCCACTAACAGCGCTCCCCCAGCCGGCCGACCCATGCCGCGCAAGAAGTCGATTCAGAAGTCGATCATTTCCGAACCCATGTTCGTATCGACGACAAATGTCGCAGACACCATGGAGCTCCCTCCTGGCGCCTCGCTGAAGAACGGAGCTCCGCCGCTTCCGCCTATCAACCCCATGAGGCGCCGCTTTGGTTTTGGCCGGTCGGACTCGCGCGAGACGTCGAGTATCTATGACAGGAGAGGCTCGACGGACGACACGGAGCGGAAGAAGAGTCTGAAACTGCGCAAGGGGTCGACTACGACGCTGAGGATGTCGCAGGAGAGCGTAGAGCCTATGCCTCCAGCTGCACGGAGCGTTCCCTCGCCTATGCCTGCTAACGACGGTTCCATGTTTTGAGTTAGTAAATCTGCTGCAGCGTGCCAGGCGTTTTTGGTTGTTGTCGTCTCTTTTCGAGTCTCGAGTGGGTCTGGCATAGATGGGGTGTGATAAAAAATTGCGGGAGGGGTATGGGTGGGGTTTTTATGTACACGGCCGTCGTTCGCACCATCTCTGATCCCTTTTGATGGTCAGTTTTTTTCCCTTTTCGTTATAAGTTCGCAAACATGCTTCACGGTTTTGCAGCGCGCACAGTCTGCTCGATACCTCGTCGGTAGCTTTTCTTTTTCTTTTTTTTTTTTTTTTTTCTGGCCCACAACGTGTGGTTGTCGCCGTTCCTCTCTCTCTGGCCTCTCGAGTTTGATCGTCACTTCTTCTTCTACTTTTTTCTTCTTTATTCCGACGCGCATGAATGAGCGATATACACCGTCTCCACTTTTGACACTTTCTGGTTTTTTGCTGCACTTCCTCTTCCTCTTCTTCTTCACTTTTTGAACTTCTGCATCACATGGGTCTTGAGACGGTATCGGGGCCGCATTACACGCTAGCCGCATTTAACTAGGTTTTCTTCTAAGTTTCTATTCTCTGGTCTTCACTTCTGCTCTACTTCTTTTTTTTACTTTTACTTTTTTCGATTTTGCTGCTTCTTCACGTTTTTCATGATTCACCTGCGCCTATCATGTTGCCGGTGTTTTTTTGAGTTTGGCGTCACATTCCGTCGGTGGACAGTGTTTGATGCTTTTACTTCTGCTTCTGCTTCTGCTGTTCCTGCTGTTGCTCATCATGCATGCATCTGCATGTGTGGTCGGGGACAGGCATGGGGGTGGGGGTTTGCGCACAATGCGGCGGCGTCGGCGCATATAGCGGGTCTGTATGCCTTTAGCTCGTTTTTGTCTTTCTTCGTTCAACTTACGTAGGTTTTTTGATGCGGTTACGGCTTTTTCTTTACTCAGCGGCCTGCTTTAGAGAGAGCTTTGTTTAGTCTTTTTTAGTTGATTGTCTGGGAGCGGAATTACACAGAGAGAGAGAGATTTTTTGCGCGCAAGTGCTTTTTGGGGTGCTGCTTTGGTTGGTTGTGTGTGATTGTGCGTTGATTGTGTTTTGACTGTTTTGTGGTTGATGCTGTTGTCGTCGTCGTTGTGTTTGACAGGCCCTTGGTTGTCGGCTTGCATATACGTACTGTATCGACGTATCTATCGCCGTTGTTGCGGTTGTCGTTGTCGTTGTTGGCAAGAGGTGTCTGCGCCGCGACTGCATGCGCACATGCATGGATTCGGATGGATGTACAGTACATAGGCGCGTTAGACATATGTATGTACGTATGTATGTGTGTGTGTATGTACATACATGCCTACATCATGCATACGAGCACGCGCACGCGCCCATGCCATTCATGTCCGCACGCGCTCGGGCTGCTGCTTATGCGAAGAAGAGTGGACGGGCGTAAGTATGTAAGTGGCGTTGGGGCGCGAAGCGGCAAGGCGGGTGGTGTGTTATATTCGTGTGTATGTACGTGTGCTTGGGAGGGGACGAGGTGTGGTGTTTAACGGGCTTTGCGTGGGAAAGGTAGTGTATTACCTAGTTGGATGAATGGGGTGTGTATGAGATGGGTGAAGAGTGGCGTGACGCAATGACATCTGTCTTACTGATATTGCAGGTAGGGTCATGGTGTTGAGGTCTGAAGATTTGAGTTTAGGCGCATATGCACGCGCGCATTGCCAATGGGTAAGGTACACTGTACGGGTCCGTAAAGGCGGGGAACAGCGTCGAATGATGGGCTTGACGTTTGTGGTGTGAGAGTGGGGCGTGTATGTGCCTTTCATATGCAACTAACCAGGTACCTAAGATATCGAGTATCGAGTACGACGTATTGACAGAGTTGGCAGCTGGCTGCGAAGCGTACGAAGGGCGCCAAACGTGTGAAGCTACTACTACCTTACGGATACGGAGACGGAGTACTGCTTGCTTACCCACTTACCTAGGTAGCTGCGCGGCTTGGGGGTGGGATGCGCAGGTGCGTGGTCTGACGAGTGAGTGAGTGTCTGGCTGGGAGAGGAATGGCACGGGGGACAGAGTCATCAGAGGTGTGGGAGATGGTTGCGCGTGCGTGCGTGCTGCGTTCGCTGTGTACCTACCTATCTACCTACTGTTGTGTGTGTGCGGGTAATGGGTAGGTATGAGGTATGTAGTATGGTATGGCGGTCGGAAGAAGAGAGGAGAGAGTGGTTGGTTGGGCGGGGTTAGGGTGGTCACGAGGACAGAGGGCGCAGAGGTGAAGACGAAATGAAATGACGATGAATGCGGGCAGCCGGGTCTCATTTCCTGGCGTGCGGTTCTGTGCCTACTACGCTATGATGACTGCAAGATGTGTTATTCTTCTATCCATCTGTTGTTGTCATTCTGCTCCCAGCCCAGCCCAGCTCGCGCGAACCTCCTCCCCCGCACCATCGCCCAACAGCCCAGCCCGCCCGTTGAGCAGTTCGCTGCCAGCCGTCCTGTTACTCCGCACACACTCATCTAAATGCATGCGTGCAAGCATGCGCCCAGCGCAGCAATGGTGTAAGCGCAAGCAATGCTGTGCAGAAAAGGCAGCAGCAACAGCAGCAACAGCAGCAACAGTGCCAAAAAAAAAAAAGTATATGCTATGCACGTAAGCAACAGCAGCAAGCAAGCAAGCAAGCAGCTTGGCAGTTGGCAGAGAAAAAAAGAAAAAGGAAACAGAAAAAGCAAAAAACAGAGCAAGGAAGGAGGCCGAGGAACGGCGCCCACCACACCCACGCAGCCCCAGCCGCACCAACCGGAACCGCTCCTCGCTGCTCGCCGCGCGCGGCGCGCCGTTCCTAACCCGCTGACGCGCCCCGGCCCGTCAGGTACGAGACAGCGAGCGGGATCTTCCGAGCGACGGAAGCCGCTGTACGGATTAACGCTCGTCCTTGACTAGTCGTACCCCGCCCCTTGCGCGCTTCTTTCTGGCTTTCGCTGCTTCTTCACGAAAGTAGGTGGTTGGAAGAGCAGATTTTTATGCTGGTTGGAGGGCATATATGGGTACGATTCTCCAACCCATGAGCTACGCATCTAACGACGAGCACAGGCTCTCCATCCCTCTAAGAAGAAGTAATCTACAGGGAACTATTTAAACCACCTACAAGAGTACCTATCACTAACTTCCAATCTCCTCACGCCGCAACACGTTTCCTCCACCCATAATCCACTCCCGCAACAGCAATCAGTAGGTACATACACAAACCACCGAACCCACACCCGATACCGATGACAGCAGGCAGTTCGCATGGCGTCGGCGCGGCGCAGTGCTGCCGCCCCTTGCATACGCGCCTCGCTAATCCGTAGCACCAAGCCAGCCTCGCAGGGCCCCCGGTCGCACGGCAGCGACAACGGCAACCGCATGCAAGGGACGCCCGTGACCGCCGGCGGGCCAGGACCACGACCGGGATCAGGGCAATTGGCAGGCCGGCGGTAGGTTCCACGCGGACAGGCGGCCAAGAGCCAAGGCAGGCCAGCGCCAGCGCCAGCGTGGCCGGGCTGCGTGGGCGCGCGTGGTGCGAACGCGCCTGTGCGACGGCTTCTAACCATGTACCTACAGCTTTGCAGATGCTGCTGCGGGTGGTGAGGGGGAAATGAGGCTGGGCTGAATTGAGCAGCTGAGTTGAGATGGTGCGCTGCTGCTGCTGTGTTGCATTTGCTCTGTTCTGCGGCTGCCGGCTTGGGCTGCTTGCTTTTTCCTGGCGGATGGTGCGATTCGCTGACTTGCTTTTTTCCTTTCGTTTCTTTTTGTGCTTCGGGTTCCTGTCTGGGTACGGACGAGGACCTGCTTTGCTACATTATCGTTCTGCCTCGCTCTTTTCCTCTGCGCTGACTCCTGGTTCTGCTTGCTGTCTTTACTCCCGCTCTCTGTCTCTGTCTCTCTCTCGCTCTCTGTCTATCGTTCATTCCCACACACGCCTCGTTCTCTTGCCCATAAAGCTCGCCCACTCGTTGCTAGTGTTGCTGCAAAATGAAGCTTTTCCAAGCCCTTCTCGCCCTCGCGGCCACTTCCCTCGCTGTCGCGCAGCAGTACACATCTGCTGACATCCCCGAATGCGCCGTACGTGCTCACTCTCCCTTGCTGGCGATGAGGCACAAGAGCCTTGCGTCCGGAAGCGTTGGCGCCGGGGCGAATGCATAGGGTCGAGTCGTGCTGACATGCCGTTTCTTTCCTCACAGAATTCGTGCTTCGAGACGGCGTCGCCGCAGATCGGCTGCGCGGTTACGGACCAGAGCTGCCAGTGTGCCAAGTCCAAGGAGCTGCGCGAGAAGGTCACGCCCTGCGTCACGACGTCTTGCTCTCTTGAGGATGCAATCAGTGAGTGACCCGATGCACTCACCCTTTTTTCTGACCCCCCTTTGTGCAATTGCGAGGGAAAGCCCGTCTTTCGTTTTCTGCCTTCATACCAGGCTGACCAATGCTTCTTATTCCTTGACAGAGGTGAACGACGTCACCGGCAGCCTCTGCTCCGCGCAGTCCAGCAGCAAGTCCGGCTCCGCGACCAGCACCACCACTGCGACTTCCGGTAGGACGACCACTGAAACCCGCACCACCACCAAGACACGAGACAGTTCCTCGGCGGGTGCTTCCTCCACCCCCACCATAATGACAGCTGACGACGAAACTTCTTCTACACGGACAGGTTCTTCTTCCTCTGGCTCAGCGACGGCATCTGAGACTGCGGTTGCGGTCGCTACTGCGAATGTTGCCGCGTCAGGGGGCGCGCGTGGGTTAGGCGGCTTGGGGCTACTTTTGCTGGGCATGGCAGCTTTGTAGAAGCTCACGGAGATGGAACGGGGGTTGTGCATGAGACGGTATATGGAGATGGGCTTAATGAACAAGCAATGGATACACCCCACGGAGAATTTCGGCATTCGGCGTTCTGTATGCGGATAGTGATCTCTGTTTGGGGTTTTCTGCTCTTAACGGCGGCATTCTGCATGTTTGACCAGCTTTAAGTGGACATCGCTTCGACAAACTTTGCGGACCATGCCGTGAACTCGTCGTCCTTGCCTTCCCAGTTTTGTTTGACCAGGTCGGCAGCCTTCCGCGCATTTCCGCAGCAGTCTGCAAAGACCTTCTTGGCCTCCTCGCCGTCCAGATCGTAGAAGGCACTCGCAACCTCGTCAATTTGGTCCGGTATACTGCTGAGAATGTCGAGTAGCTGATCGAGCTTCTCAGTCTGGCTCTTGTCCTCAGAAGCTGCGCTCACAGAATAGGCCTTTAGCCTCCGCTTGACGAGCGCTTGGTAGAGCACCGCGACCGTCTTGACCTTCTTCAGCACCTTCTCCAACTGTTCCCGTAGCTCCTTATCGTCCTTCGGCAGCTTCTTGTCACTGCCACCACCAAACATTTCGTCCATGCTGTCCTCGTCATCACTGCCCACACCAGCGTCCTCCTCATCATCGTCCTCGCCCTCCTCTTCACTCCACTCCTTCAACTCCTCCACCGCATCCAGCAGCGTCGCGCGCCACTGCTCTGCCTTCTTCACTACAAGTCCCACCACGCCCATACTCTGCAACTCAGCCAGCGCATCGCACGCCTCCCACACGAGCCCCGTACTCGCCAACGCATCGCGCTTAGGCTTCTGAGCGCCGGTACCCTCCCGCTGTAGCTCCTCCTCGGCCATGGCGCGCGTCTCCGCGACTTCCTCCTGTACGGCGCTGACGACTCGACGCACGCGGCCGCGAACCTCGGCCTCGACGATCCGCGGCGCCGTGTGCGCGCTGCTCCGCACCGCGACGATCTGGTGCCCGCTCATCATCGCCGGGATCACAGTGTTGGTGATTTCGCGCAGGACACGTGTGATGGCGGTGGCGGTGAAGGGCTTGTTGAGGAGGAGGAGCGAGAGCTTCGTTGTGTGTGCTTTTAGCAGCGAGGAGGCATCTTTGAGCAGCGAGAGCGCGTCGATGTTGGGCTGCTGGTCGGTGGGGCTGGGAGCGCTACTGCCAGCACTGGGAGGTGAGAGGGTCGAGAGAAATTGTGTTAACAGGGCTTGCGTCGTCGTGGTCAGCTCGACAAGGGCAGTTAGGTCGGGTTTGGTGGACATGGTTGGTGTGTAGGTCGGACGATAGTTTGTACGGGGTTTGAGCTTCTTATGGTTTTCTGAAAAGCGAAGTCGAGAGTGGAAGAGGGTGAAGCTTTAGTTTAATATGCCAGCGAATTCTAGGCAGCAGAAGTGAAGAGTCAGCCTCAGCTCAGGCTGGTGTTGAGTCGAAAAAAATGTCGGAAACGACGAGTCATTGGCAGACCTGTCAATTCGTGGCATTACTCATGCAGCAACTGACATCACATGCCGACGCGAAACTTCACGTCGATCCTTTAACACGCACATTCTCGTCGGCCCATCATGCCGCCACGCGCAAAGGCTCCAAGGCCCACGGTTCCGTCGCAGACGCTGGTCATAGACAATGGCGCGTACAGCATCAAGGCCGGTTTCGCTACCGAAGATGCAGAGTTATCGTCATGCCGCGTCCTACCGAACTGTATAACCCGCGGCAGAGACAAACGCGTGTGGATTGGCTCGCAGCTGGAGCAATGTAAAGACTTTGGAGAGATGGCTTTCCGGCGGCCGGTGGAGAAAGGTTATATTGTCAACTGGGAGGGCGAGAAGGCAATTTGGGAGCACGAGTTCCTCGCGCAAGATGCTGTATTGAAAGTATGAATAGCAGAATGCTGCGCTGCCTGAAGCACAAACATAGGCCACCGCTGCTAACTGGAGCCAGTGTGACCCGCATGATACGACTTTGATCCTCACCGAAGCTCCCAACTCGCCTCAGGCGCTGCAAACCAACTGCGACCAGATGATCTTCGAGGAGTTCGAGTTTGCGTCCTACTACCGGACTTTGGGGCCCAGTCTCAACGCCTACAACGATATCCGCGCCCTATTTTCCGACCCTCCGCCTTCTCCCTCTGCTCAATCCGGGTTTCGTGATCCGGCTCAATGTCTTTTAGTGATCGACTCCGGCTATTCGCATACCACCATCACACCTCTCTACATGGGACAGCCATTCCAATCCGCCATCCGGCGTCTCACTGTCGGCGGCAAGTTTATGACGAACTACCTGAAAGAATTGATTTCACTGCGTGCCTACAATTTTATGGACGAGACGCATCTCGTCAATGAGATCAAAGAAGACGTGTGTTTTGTGTCAAACGACTTCGCACGCGATCTCGATAGAACATGGAAAGGCAACGGCAAAGCCATCGACACCAACATCGTTGTCGACTACATCCTCCCAGACTACACGGAGCGACAGCGCGGGTTCGCGCGGCCGCACGACCCATCCGCCGCCGCCAAGGCGAAGCGGCTCGGCCTCACGGCGGGCCCGAAAGAGGACCTATTGCCTCTCGGCAACGAGCGTTTTGCGGTGCCGGAGCTTTTATTCAACCCCTCGGACATCGGCATGCAGGAAGCCGGACTGCCCGAGACGGTAATGCAGAGTCTGCGGGCGCTGCCGGAGGAGCTGTGGCTCGGGATGTTGGCAAACGTGATGGTGGTGGGCGGGAACGCGCTGATCCCGGGGTTTGTGGAGAGGCTGGAGGCGGAGCTGCGCAGGATCTCCCCCGCGGAGTATCCGTTGCGCGTCGGGCGGCCGGAGGACCCGGTCAAGAGCACGTGGATGGGTGGGGTGGCGTTGGCGAAGAACCCGGCGCTCAGGTCGTTGGTAGTTACCAGGGAGGAGTATCTGGAGAAGGGGAGCAGTTGGTTGGCGAAGACATTTGCTTCGGGGCCGAGGTGAGGTTGCGATTCTACTCCATCTCTTCCTCCCTCTTCCTCTTTTCTGTGTTGGAGAATGCATCACTGTGTTGTTTAGATACCCATTACCTGAGCCACGACACGACACGGCTTTGTCGACTTTTACTACGTTTGTGAACTATTCTCAGCAAAATCACAAAAAGGAACACGACCTGCTCTGGACTGCGCATGCTTGCTAGTATTTACATGCTGTTCGTACTATCAGAGTTGCATCTTCAGTGTAGTGATCGGCTATCGTCTAAAGTAACTGCCTCGAGTCTCAACGGTACCTATCGATACAAGCTTGTGTGCCAACATATCGGGCTTGCATGAAAGCTAGCCTAAGCTACTGTACATGAGAGAAAAAAGTGTTTCAGCTATACGAGAAAGCTTTCTGGTAGGCTGTTCAAAAATCCTTCAAAGAAAAAAATTAGTTAGCGGTAGGTACAGGGTGCCGACGCCCAGACGCAGCAGAGTGGAGTCCTGCGGAAGGTGAGTTGTGATTCTGAGTCGTAATTCGTTGCCTTTCGAAACTCGAACCACTTCAGGGTCTGTGGCAACGACATTCCTACCCCACATCGCCCCATCCCGCCTAACACCATGGAGTCGCGTCCTCGCGCGAGCGGCAACTGTCACCACAAAGACGAGCGCTCGACAGAAAAAATCTGAGCTCCAGTGCCCACAATTAGCGGTGACCTGGCACCGGCCCCGCAGCGCGAGTTCCGACTCGCTCGCACGCCGATCCGCACAGGCGACGGCGAGACCGAGACGGTTACTCGGGAGGGCGAGCAGAACAAATCAGAGGATGGGTTCGTGGCGTCCCCACCCGAGTACGACAGATGGAGGCGGGCGTATTTATACTGGGCGCCGTCGGCACGCTGCGTGATGTTGGGCGTTGCTCTGTCGCCCTTCCACCCTTCACCGTTCAGGTACCCGGCTCTTGACCATGACGCTACGACCACGTTCGCTGGTGAAGCTCACCTGGCGCGAGAGGCTTCATGTTTTGAGGATTAAATTCAATGTTTGTATGTAGCCTTCTTTCCGGTGTGGGATTCCGAACTCTTGCTGATTGTCCAGTGTGCGCGACCTTCATCTGCACTATCAAGGCAGTATTCAGCAAGCCCCGGCCTGCAAGCCTTCGGAGACACGCAATCAATGCCCAGCTTCGTAGCTGGTTCTCTCAGGCCGGTCCCAAGCTCGAACAGTATGTGCCATGGTTATATTTTTCGCTTTTCACACTGCTAAACTTTTTTTTAGGGGCGTCTTGGACGATTCAGATGAGGTGTACAGGAAGTGGTGCAAGAAGAACAAGGTCACTCCCGTGAGAGAAACGCTGGCGGACGGCACTGCTGCATCTTGGATTGGTTCTCGGAACGCAAAGACGGTCCTGCTCTACTTCCCAGGTAAGTCCACACGCGCCATACTAGGCCAAAACAAAATACTCACGACACCACCAGGCGGCGGCTACAATCTTCCGGCACTCCCCTCGCACTTCGGCTTCCTCGGCACTCTCGTCAAAGACCTCGACTGCAACGACAACCTCGATCCGCAAGGCGACGGCAATTTCGCCGCGCTCGTGCTCCACGCCAGCGTCGCCCCCTTCCAGACCTACCCGACGCAGCTCGCACAAGCCGCCACCATACTAAACTACATGCGCAACGCGCTCTCAATCCGCACGGAGAACATCATTGTGGGCGGCGACTCGGCGGGCGGGAACCTCGCCCTCAGCCTCCTAAGCCACATCCTGCACCCGCACCCGGACGAGACCTCGGTTCACCGCGTGGACTGGACGGCGGACGAAAAGCTCAAGGGCGTGCTGCTCATCAGCCCATGGATGGACTTCACGACCGACGACGAGAGCTTCCAGCTCTACCAGGCGTACGACTTCCTGACGCCGCAGCTGCTGGGCCGCTGGGCGACGACGTTCCTGGCAGACCGCCCCGCCGACGCATATAACCGGCCTGCGCGTGCGCCGCCCGGGTGGTGGTCCGGCGTTGGTGGCATCGTCGGCGATGTGCTCCAGGTTTGCGGCGCGCAGGAGGTGCTCAAGGATGGGCAGAAGCGCTTCTCGGACGCTTTTCAGGCGGACTGGGACGGTCAGGGTCGCTTCGAGGCCGTCGAGGTCGAGAACGAAACGCATGTTAGTTGCGCTATTGACTTTGGTGCCGGCATTAAGCTGCAGAAGGTCGGCATGTATATCCGTTTGAGGGACTGGTTGAAGCCGAAGGTTGCTGGTGATGTTTGAGTGGTGAGATGGTTCTGAGAAGAGCTGATCGAGTTGAAAAAGGTGGGAATGGCTGTTGATGGCTACAGTGTTGGAAAGAAGAGACCAGCGGGTCTCTGCTCATGTGTATGATGTATGTTTTGCTGTGGTTCACTGATGACTTCCCTTTGGATGGTAAAAAGTCTGTTTAGCGTTTTCTCATTTATAGATCGTAGAAAAGACAGTTTGGTTTTCAATGATAACTTAAAATGCTCGGAAATGGAATGGTATGATCAACATCTTCTTCAAAAGCCCCTTGGTATATTTGGTATACGTTTGAACGGCCAATTCGAGCAAAAGCAGTTCAGTCTGCTTCAAATGCATATACTGATGCGGGGCAGCCTATGGGGACGAATGTACTTTTGCATCTATAGAGGTGTGAGCTCGCCTGGGGGCTAAACGTGTCTATAGATGTATTTTAGTATGTAATGGGTTTCTCAAGGCGTGTAGGTGTGTGAATATAATTGATTTCTAAGCATCAATACACCCAAACATCAATAACCTGATCCCGTTTATCACCACCACTACTACTACTACTACTACTACTACTACTACTACTACTACTACTACTACTACTACTACTGCCTTACTCTTTCCTCTCATTGTTTTCCTTCCGCAAAGACCCGTCTTACAAATACTTTTCGTGTAGACCCGTCTTACTCCTAGTCCTGCAGCCTAGCAGATAAAAGCCGACTACGGAAGTATGGTTACACAACAGGCGAGCGGGAGCGGAGACTCCAGCATTCCGACGAAAACGAAGGGCGGAGTTAGGTGACGAAGACAGGTGACGAAAACATTAGGGTTGCTTTATTTCGTCTTATTCCGTGCATACTATCGATTTTTGGTTTTAGGATGGGGGTGAGCAACTGCGGCTGTTCAAGCAGCGTTTAATTCACAAGGCGGCAAGCATCGACAATAGTCAGCGAGTCCTCACCGACCAGCCATACCCACGACATCAAATCCAGCCAAGCCCAACGCAACCCAGCGCGTGGGGATGAAGCAACTGCCTAATCAGGCAGTCGGCATAAATAAGCAAATACACAAACAAACAAGCCTTTCCTTCCGTCCTCCGTCCGCGCACTAACTACTGCTTACCTCACTCCCTTCATGCATGCATACACGCACACGCTAAGCCCTGTAGCAGCCGATCAGTCGATCAGCGCAAGGCAGTCCAATGTCCAATGACGGATACATGTCGCGTGTCGCCGCCATTGCTATTCCGAGGGTTACACAGGAGCGCATAAGCAGCGGAGATAACGGACGGGGATTGCTTGTGTGGTTGAATGGGCATCTGGCTACTTTTCGCTCTTACGCAAGCCTTTTTAGCTTTTGGGAGAGGGCGTGTTTGTGTTGTGGGCCTGGTGAACGGGTAGGGGGTTATGTGTTGGTTTGGCGTGTCAGTGAAGAATAGAACTGCTATAGAGGAGGCAGTTAAGGTGAAGAAGATCCGTCTAAACTCGCTAGTAGGAAGCTCTTCCCTAATAAAAAGCAAAAAAGAATAAACAACAAACAAACAAACAAACAAAGAACCCCCAACCTCCATGCATCCGCCGTCCTCCGTCTTCTGTCCTCCCCTCCGTCCGCCGTCCGCCGTCCGCCGTCCGCTTACCCACCCACCCACCAACCAACCCACAAAGCAAAGCACAAAGCGCACCCCTCCCCCTCCATCACCTCCTCCCCCGACCCCGACACCAACCCCGACGCCGACCCAGCCCCGACCAAAAACAGGCACACACTGCGTACTGCGTGCCGCGCACGCACGCCACACGGTCGCACAACCGCAGCCGGCCGGAGATCCCGACGCTGACCCAGCCCAGCGGCCAGCCCAGCCCAGCCCAGCCCCCTTACCTGCCTCCCCCTCTAATGCGTAGGCTTGGCCATTGACCATTGACCGTTTTCCACTGCTGCCTAGTCCAGCTCTCTTTCTCACGATATTTCTCACACCTCTATTTCATGCCGCCTCCTCTCTCGCTACAAGCACTACACTAGCACACCACAGCTCCCGCGCACCTAACCCTCTTCACTGTCCGCCTTCGAAGATCGGAGCAGCGTCCCTTCCCATCCCATCAGCCCGGCCCAGCCCACCCACCCCAAGCAAGCAGTAATATATCCCTAACGCGCACCCGCGCGCGTGCAACTGTGGCGTGGTGTAGCGGCTTACAGGCTTGCAGGCTTACAGGCATGCAAGCATGCAGGCGTGCAGCGGGCTGACGCCCTCAACGCACAACAGCACTCAGCACGCAGCACAACAGCACACAGCACACGACACACGACACAGCACGCAGCGCACGACGCACAACTTAACGTAAACAAACACCACCAGCACCAACAACACTAGTAAGCTAGCAACAGCAGCAGCAGTCGGGTGCGCGTCGTTGCTCCGCGAATGCGGCGGCGCAACAGTGAGCGAGTGGAAGAGACGCATACGCATACGCGTACGCATGTGGATGTCTGCGTATGCGTATGCGTACGTAGCCATGTGCGGACATGTAGTCTAGAGGAGGACTGGAGGTAGACTACACTGAGCAATAAACAACAATAACAGTAAAAACAACACATATTGAGAAAAAAGACAAAAAAGAGACATCAACATAACCCCCATATTGTAAAGCTTCACTTAACTAACGCAATCAATAACAACATCACCCACCCATCTGACCCCAGCTCTTTAGGTATACATAAATCATCGTAGTCATAGTCGTAGTATATATGTATATATATATATATATCACAATCATAATAAATACTCGGGTATCACAGAAAAGAAAGAAGGGGAATGAAGGACCCAAAACCCACCCACCCCTAACCAAACCAAACCAAAACACCATCAAACACACACTACCCACCAACAGCCCATCCAACACCCCTTCCCACGCCACCCACCCACGGCCTTTTTAATTCATCAGCCCCCCCAACCCAGGAGGAATCTGAAACTCCTCGCCCTTCAACCCCGGCGGGATCTGACACTCGACGACGCCCTCGCCAACCCCCCTCACCGCACCATCCTTACCACCAGCACCAGGACTAACACCCAACACCCTCGCCCCCTCCTCTATCCCCATCCCCATCCCCAAGCCCATCGAAAACCCTCCTTCCCCATCATCAGCCTTTGGTCCCAGAATATTAACCTCCCACTCCTCATCCCTGCCCGCCCACCGCCCGACCACGCACTTCGTGCGTTCGCAAACCTCCTTACTGACGCCCCTGCCCCCATGTTCCAGATAAACATGTCGCAGCAGCGTTTCCGCGGTGCCAAATACAGCCGTCAATCTCCCCTCCGCGCAGCACAAGGTGCACCCATAGCTATACCCGGGCCGGTCACCCGCGACAGCGCCACGCGCCGCCGCTCCCGCGCTCCCCGTGCTGCTGTGCCGCGCCATCTCGACGCGGGGGGCGCGCGCACGTGCATGTGACTTTGCGAGGAAGATCCAGCGGTAGCGCACGCGGCCCTCCGAGGGCGCGATGGGGCGGGGCGTGGCGCCGCCGTCGCCGCCACCGAAGCTAACGCGCGTGCCTGGGTGCGGGCCGTCGGGTCCCATGCTCGTGAGGGAGACGGCCAGCTCATGTGCGCGCGGGTCCACGCTGTACGGCTTTTTGGCACCGAAGCTGGGGCCTTCGAAGGCGCAGGTGCGACATTGCCACACCAGTGCTGATGTGTACATCCCGATAGGTTTGGTGCGCAGCTCGAGGCCTTTTTTGAAGTCTTCACAAAGCGACCACGCACCTTTACAGAAGTTCCAGTAGTTGTTTTCCTTGCAGGGGCGGCCGAGACGAGGAAGCGGTGGGCGTGATGTGATTGAGATGGGAGCACGGGGTATGGTTGAGACGCGACTGAGGTTGGAGTTAAATGAACTTTCGGAGGTCCAAGAACGATGCGTCGGATAGGTTGTGAGCGTCTGCGGGGAGAGAGTTGGTGTGAGCTCATTCGATGATGGCGTCTCGGAAGGGCTGTTTGGGGCAGAACTGCAGCTATGACGAGTTGAGTCGACAGGCGTTGGGCATGTCGAGGCGCGACTACTACTGCTCTGATTCGACGAAGCCGCCGACATGTCGTGCGGATTGGAGTGTCGACTCTCAGTCGAGGCCGATGTGTTTCTGCTCACGCGTTCATTTGTCCTGTCGTCATGGTTGTTGTTGGCTTGCGAGTTTTTTAGACCTCCCGTCCAGTTCATAATTGCAGCGTTAAGCTGTTTGTGTGTGTAGTAGTCCGAGGGAAGCGCATCAGAATCTTGTCTGGGGGTATCTTCGTTCGGGGACGGAGACAACTCCCTCTCAAGTGGGTGAACAGGCCGCGGGTTATCCGGGAAGTAGTCAGATTCAGGGCTCTTCTTTCTCTGAGGCGTGGCAGCAGGGTTTACCGGAGAGTAAGCCGGCGGTGGAAGCTCGACGCAAGTGCGCAGCCTCTGCGGGACTTCAGCTGGCAATTCGTGAAGTGATGCTGGCGAGTTGTCTGGCGTTTTATATGCGAACCACTGCATATCGCCTGCTACGCCCGCTTGCGAAGACAGTTTCCTGCTGTCAGGCTTCCGAGACATTGCAAAAGACGTTCGTTTATGCGAGAGCACTCTCGAAAGCCTGCTCTTGCACTCTTCTTCACTGGGTATCGTAACGGCTGAAGGCAAGTTTTTCAAGTTCTTGGGACCGGCAGCTGACGACCTAAATCTCGGGGTACTGCTCATGGGGCTCCTGCTGTTCGACGAGCTCAGAAGACCGAGGCCTGGTCGACTCGGGCGCGGCGCCTCTTCAGGCGAGTCGGCGAAGATACGCTGACGCAGTTCTGCGAGGGCAGTGAGGGCGTCCCTCTTATTCATGACGGCAGTCTCATGCAGGACCGTGAGGTCGATGACAGCGGCTTCATTCTGCACACCAATCTGCAGGCTGCGAATGACCTCGCACTGCATGGTAATGGCAATGTGGAGAAGACGGTTCCTTGCGGTATCTGCGGTCTCTTAGATAGCGTCCGACTAGGCAGAAGAACAGAGCCACTGACCATCGCCCGTCCGCATCTCGGGCCCAAGCTCCTTGCAGTCGGCAGCATAGCGGTCCTCGATCTGGACGGCGCCAGCCTCCAACGACTCCAGCAGGGCCTTTTCCCTGTAGGCCTCGTCGGAGCGGCGTCTCCAGTGTCGCTTCTTCAGGATTTCCACCAGGCCGGCGGCGCTCTGAAAGGCCGACACGACGGCCGTGACGGCGACCGAGACCTAGTAGGCTTGTGTGAGACTAGCGAGCAGACGCACAGACCCGTAGTACATACCTCGAGGCCAGTCACACTCATGACCTGAATGTTCGAGTAGTGTCAAAGGGGTTGTCGAGGCGGGAGGCAAAGGTCATGGTAGGCGGTGGCGCAAGGTAAAAAAGCCAGCAAGAAGAGGGACAGCGTCGAGGCGGGTTGGGGCGCGCAGATAAGGGCAAGCTCAGCCTCGAGAAAAACAGCGGAAGCTGACGCTAGACGGCCACGGACAGGGCGGGAGCGGGGTTGGGGATGCTGGGACGCGATGGAATCGTGGTACCGAGTAGGGCAAGGGCGACCACCTACGACGACTCCTCGTCTCATGTCAGAGGTTCTTTTCCTGTGTAGCCGCCACCCACGCACCGGGATTTGGCCATTTTTCCACATTCCGCATCTCCCATATGCGCGCGCCCTCCTCGTGGGCCCAGGCGGCCGGGCGCTTCTCGCCTCCCCCGCAAACGTCGGTGGCATCGAGTAGTAGACTTTTACGGCTGTCGCTCTGACGACGCCGAGTGTGCCACCTTGCGTCCAGCAACCAGGTCGCACAGAACGCCGGCCTCTTAATCTCCGGCCCTGTCACGTGCCATCTCACTCGACGCGTACTTGCATAGGTAGAGAATAGGAGCTGGTAGGAAACGAAATGTCTTGTTTGGACCTACGGACTACTCGTACCCGACCCGCCTTGCCGCGCCATCGCCACCCCCTACGCCGCTGCCCTCCTCTTCTTGAACAGAGCCTCGGCCGTCGAGTCCGGAGTAACCTGCCACGCGCCGCAAAGTCAGCAATCATCACCAAATGGGGGAAAACGGGCCCGACTTACCTGGACGCCAAAGTGGAAGTTTTTCGGACGGCCCGCCGCCTCATCCGCAAGCTTCATGTCGAAGGCGAGCAGCATCTTGGCAACGATGGTCTTGATCTCGGTGCTGGCGAAGAAGCGGCCCGGGCACGCGTGGCGACCCGCGCCCCAGTGCATTGAGCTCGAGTTGCTGGTGACGAACTGGTGCATGTGCGCGTCACGCGTCGTCGTGGCATTTTCGCGCAGGTTGTAATAACGCATGCCGTCAAACTTGTCCGCCTCATCAACCAGCGCCGGGTCCTTTGTGCGCGACACCGTGTCCACCTCGACCAGAGTGCCTTCCGGCAGGAAAGTCCCGTCCGAAAGCGTCAGGTCGCGCATGATGCGCCGCTTGAATGTTGTCACGCCAGGGGGGCTCATGCGCTGTGACTCCTTGAGGAACGAATCGAGCTTCTTCAGCTTCGCCATCGTGTCCTTAGTGAAGCCGCCCGTCTCGGCAAGGACAGTCTGGATTTCCTCACGGAGCGGCTCCACGTATTCGGGACGTGCAAACAGGTCGTAGAGCATATGCGTCGCTCCCATTGTTGTAGTGTGGATCGCCGCCATAGCCAGCTGCACTTGCAGCGCCGCCTGGCCCTCGTAGTCCTTGGCCCATGAAGGGCTGCTCTTGGCCTTCATCCACTGCGTCATGTCGTCGTTCTTAATCTCCGTCTCCGAGCGCTCCTTGGTGACGGGCATCATGAACTTGACCGCCTCCTGCCTGACCTTTTTGAGCTGGCGCAGCTCAGGAGTGAAGTACTGCACAAACGGACGCATCCAAGGCTTCCATTGCCTCATGGCACGCGCAACACTGAACGCGGTCAGCGTGTAGTCGCGCGACAGCTCGATCCAGCGTTGGTTGCGGCAGAGAGGCGCACCGACGAACATGCGCGCCGACACTTCGGCAATAATGTTGAGCAGCGCCTGGTGCACCTTGATCGTCGTCCAATCCTCACAGGCCGGGAGGAAGCGTTCCAGCGCCAGGTCGACCTCCTCTGCAATGTTTGCCTGCAGACGGCCCAAGCTGGGCGTCAGGTCCGATCTAATGACATGCTGAGCCAGGGCATTTACGTCCCCACTGATCCCGGAATACTTTCCGGCGAGGAGAACGTTGATGGCGGCAGGAAAGTTGACAACGTCGTCCGAGGCGTTCTTCAATTCGTCCAGGTACTTGGCAGAGAGGATGACGCTCTCGACGCCATCGGTGGTGGTCAGGCGGTAAATTCCATTCTTGAACTTGCGGTAGCCCTCTGCAAGAAGGCTCACCGAATCCGTCAGATATGTCTTCTGCCGCTCTTTCTCGGACAACTCAGCGCGCAGAAGCGGGGCCTGCAAGGCCCTGGGGCGTTGAAAGTAGAGGATGAACAGATAGGAAATTGCCAAGAGAGCCGCAGCGATTGGTACTACCGGGATTTTGCCAGAGCTGCCATAACTCTCGATCCTGGCTTGCAGGATTTCCGGCAAAAACGTGGGGATGTTACGCACGGTATCCATGCCTGCAGAATGGTGAACAAACAATCGGAAAGGCCTTCTATGAGACCATGCAACTGAGGATCATAAAAGAGAGGTGCTAGCGGTTTGCAAAGAAGTGAACGAATACTGACAAAAACAACCAAGGCCAGGCCGCGGACCTGGATATATGTAGTAGACCCCAGAAGCTAATAACGCAGTCCTCGGGAAACCAGCAAGGCGACTTGTGACAAAGGGGGGGAGCACGTGTCCTACTGGAGTCTGGGGGAGGTGTTAGGGCCAATTAAACGAAGCGGGCTACGAGACGGCTACGACGCCGCGAAACTACTACATACGTCGTACATACAGCGGAGACGAGGGCCGTCCAAGTACGAGGACATTGATACAGAAGGGGAAGACTCGAGCCAATGAAACGGTGCTGGCTACGAAAGTCTCGTAAACCCCCATTGCAAAGCCAAGCCCCGGGCCCCTAGGACGAGAATTCATGCCGGCACATCGGAAACCGTAGCGATGGGAGGAGAACAACGTTTGGGCTTTTTGCGGCAGGCGTGCGGCCGCCGGGGCCGTCTCGCGCTCTCGTGCACAAAAAACTGCCGTCGCTCGTCGAGTCGTCGCGCGCTAGGGCGCCTGACTGCGGGAGTACCTAGGTAGCTGTAGGCAAAAGATCATCGCGGGTCAGTGCCACTGGGTCTCGTCTCGGTTTCGCTTTGTGCAGGGCAGGGCAAGTCCCTAAGGGGGGTCAGGCGTGCCGGGGCCCAGGGAATTGGCACCCAGCAGCACTGTGGCACGAAAGGTAAACGCGAAGGCGACGCGTGAGCGAGAGAAAAAGGCGAGGAATAATATCAAGATCCGAGTTATACATAGGTAGTAGGTAGTACTCCGTAAAGTCAATCGGATCGAATCAGCCCGGCTTCCGCTTATGCCCGCCTCTCGCTTAAGCATAAACGCCCATGCCAAGACTGGCCAGGCTCTCTTGCCGATCGACATCGGAGGCTTTTCTAGGTATGAACATGTATGTATGTGTGTATGTATGTACGCGTGCGCTGTCTGCGCCTGCGTCTGCAGCTTGCAGCCTGCGGCCTGCCGGCGTGGGAGAAACGTTGAGCGAGGACGGACCCAAGGCCGGACAAGCCTCCAACGACCTAATCATGAATGAGAATAACGACGACAAAGACAAGGCGAAGGAAGAGGACGAAGTGGATGCAGGACCATGCTGAAGGCGAAGGGATGGTCGAACGAGGAAATAGCTATACAGACGCCTCCGCGAACAGGGGGAGGGGGGCCGGAGAACCGCGCGCAAACCCGCTGCACGCACGCGGATGTGTACAGTAGTTATGTACAACAGCCTCCTGCTCGAAGCCGGCAGCCAGGCCAACTGTACCAGCAGCTGCAACAAACAATAACAGCGGCTATAGCAACAGCAACAGCAACAGACCAAGGCAACCGGAAACTCTGTCCCGAACCCAAACCCCCAAAAAAAGAAGAGGGTAAACAGTACCTAGCAACAAGCAACGCAACGAGCAGATATTAGAATATACTGGACAGGGCCGAATAGGTAGCGTAACCAAACCCTTCGACCGACAACAACAACAACGACGTCCCCAACCTCAACCTCCTAACTAGGTCCCAAGAACGATAAAAATAGAATAAAAATATAGTAAAACCGCGTCTCCGTGCTGCTCATCGCTCGCATATCTCTCTCTTGCTCTCTCTCTCTCTCAGTCGCTCTCGCTTTCGCTCCCCAAAAACCCCCAACCTATCCATCCGCCCATCCGCCCACCCATCCAGTGCAATATCGCCGCTGATGAAATGCTAGGTGCTGCGCGCACATGCGTGTTTCCAATGCCTGCTTGCTTCCTCCACAACAACGGCGTGCGCCCCGTACACGTAAACGTACACGCCTATTCGCTCGCTCGCTCACGCCTCTCACATCCACACACAATACACACACTCGCTCGCTCTCGTTGCCGCTTTCGTCGTCCTCGCTGCCGCCACCGACAACATTCTCACCACCCCCGCCCAACAATGCAGGATATCAACAAGAAGAAAGAAACCAAAAGAAGAAGGTGAAGAAGAGGGAAGGAAGAAGAGGGAAGGAAGAAGAGGGAAGAGGAAAAGCGCGTGCGGCGTATGCAGCAAGCCACAGCACAGAGCGGGAGCAAGGCAAGGCATTGCTGCCAGCCGCGCCGCGCTGCATTGTGCTCGGTCGAACAACTACCTGGGGCAGAGTAGGCGAGGGCGGAGCAGGCCGGACGCGAGCCGAGCCGAGCCGGGCTGGGCTGGCTGGCGTGCGCAGCGTGCGGCGTGGGAGGGTGTGCAGGGCGGGCTTAGGCGGCCTCGCCTTGGGAGAGGCGCTCTTCCATCAATTTGAGCAGGACAGGGGGCACGGACTCGTCGGTGGCGCGGACTGTGAGACGGTATTTCTGCGGCAGAGAAGGTTAATTACAGGAAACTTTGAGGGAAGTAACGAGAAGAGGAATGAGACAAAGGAAGTAGGAAAAAGGTAAACTTACCATAGTGTCAAAGTTCGGCTCAAGACGCAACAGACATCCGCACCGGCCATTGCGCGTGTGCAGCACCGTAGCACCGACAATGTTCTTCTGATTCGGATCCACGCCGTCCAGCAGCCCCCATTTGAAGCCCTCGACAACGCGGCGCGTGAAGCCCATGCTGGTCGCGCGCCCCTTGCCCACCAGCCCAAACACCTTCTGCGCCTCGCGCGGCGCGCCTCCAATCTGCTTCCAGCGCTTGAAGAAGTCGTCGGCCGACAGCATCGCCCCCTCCATGTACTTGTGCAGTACGACCGGCAGTTGCAGCGTCAGTGCCTGCAGCGATCCCGCCAAGTACGAGATGCGGATCGTTGGCGGGTGCTCGAATACATTGACCGCTTCGAACATGATCATTTGCTGCGTTTGCCCGTCTGGCAGGACGTTGGTCTCTGGCAGTCCCTTGACGTCGGATTTCAACGTCTCCGATGACCGGTTGTCTAGCGTTGTAGTGAACGACCCCATTACCGAAGACGACTTGTTCGTAAAGTACAGGATGATGCAGCCGAGCTCACCCCGGTACTCGGACCGCAGCCCGACTTGGATCTGCGCATCCTCGTACAGCACGCCCTCGGCGCGGAGCAGCAGTCGGTTGTACCCAATCTCCCAGTCGGGAGAGAGATGGGCCGCGCTGGCGAGGTTTGGTGCGTTTGCGTCCGTGGCCTTGCCGCTCATGTCGAGCCCCAGAAGATCGTTGGCACCACTGGCACCGTTCGAGCCGCCGTTGGGTGTTGTCGGAGTGCCGTTGTTGGAGACGGCATTGGTGAAGGAGCGCTTGAGACCGGTGTGCTGGACCAGGTTGAATTCCTTGGGGTCGGTGTTGGCGTCCTTGCCGCCAACCACCCATGTCCGCTTGTCGCTCGTGCCAGCGTGCTTCTGGTGGAGTCGCGATAACAGCGCCGAGGCTCGCTCGGGGAAAGGGGGCATTTCGTCACAGACAGTTCTTAGGAGGTCGTCTGTCGGGAGCGTGGCCAGCGCCAAGTACTCGCAGGCTCTTTGCTGCAGTTCCGAGTCCAGAGTGTGGCTGAAATCTTGGAAGATTTGCAGGAGCTGCGGCTTGATTTCCGGAAACAAGTTTACGAATTTGATAAAAGAAGACAGGAGAATTGCTCTCGTGCTGGACGAGCAGCCCAACATCTTGGCGCGCAATGCCATGAATTGCTCAATTGGGCTGCAGCCCTGGTTGTCCGCGATCAAGTGACCAAACTCACCAAGCAGATAGCCTCCAATCTTGACCAGCGTCTCATGGCAGTGCTCCGCCTTGACATACTGAAGAATGTTCTGAGCCGCATACACCTGGAGCTCCTCGTTGTTCGTGACAATCTGAATGACACGCTGCCAGACTTCATCGCTAACGTGATCACCAGCCATGGCGATCAGCTTCAGCGAGATATCCACATACCACTGTACATCCGTCGCATATTTTTCCGTTAAGATAGCAATCTTCAAGACCATTTCTTCTCTGATGGCAAAGTCGGCAGTTTGGAGGTATTTGAGAAGTTCAGAAACGATGGGTGCCGCGTTGCTAGAATCGCACATGCTGTACAGCAGATCCAGACCCTGACGACGGACGCTAATGTCCCTGTCTCGTAACGAGTTGATAATGATACCCTGGTGCTTTTTGATCGGGTCCAGTGTCTCTGCGCGTGCCGCCAAATGCGTCATGGCTTCCAAACCGAGGTATCGGACGTTCGTTTCCCGGGACTGAATGAATTTGCCCAGTCGCGACGAGATTTGTACCATGAGATCGTGCTCCGTGTCGAGGTGAATAACAAGGTTGATGGCTTCAAAAAGCACGGCGTTTTGAGCGTTGTTTTGCTGTACATTCTTGGGCATTTCCATCGCAGATTCCAGGATGTGATGCAGCGATTCCCGAATCAGCTGCCGCGTGTGCGTATCTTCCGAAGGAGGGTAGTATTGGAGAAGCCTCAATAGCTTGACCTGAATCCAAGGGCAAGGGACCTTGTAGTAAAGATAGTCAACTGTGCAGTCCTTGTCTATGATGATCTTCTTAAGCCGATTAGCAGCCTTGACATAGCTACCCTTGTACTGTTGCGGGTTTTCCTGCACCAAAGCCATCACTAGCGACGTGACAGAAAGCGCCACACCCATGTCTGGATCATCCATGAGCGCTATTATACGCTCCGCCCACTCGAGCTGAACGATTTCGGGGAATTTCCGGTAGAGGCGAAGAAGCGTCAGCGCCGCCTTCTTCTTGACGAAAGACTTCGAGGTCGGGGAGATCAGCAGACGATGGACATCCGAAGCCAGGGATTCGCCCATCTCTTTCCCGCCTACGTTGGCAATCGCGTGCAAAGCCAGACAGTTGTTGAGCTCATTGTGATCCAAAAGGTCCTTCCTTATGCTGTTGACGACCAGGTGCAACAGCTCGTGCTCCTCGTGCAGGAACAGGGTGACAGCCAGATAACCAATTTGCTTCTCCGAGTATTTGGTCGCCGAGATGAGGTTGACGGCCTCGAGATGCCCAAAGTCGACGTTCCATCCAAGTATGTAGATGTAGAGCAGCTTGCAGACGTATTTCTTCTTGGAGTAGCCGTTCAGGTTCCCGTCCTTGAACTTCTGGCGGATGTTGGCCAGCTCCTTATTGATGCGCTTCTCCTCGAGCTCGCGCGCGCGGGCGTTGCGCAGGTCAGCGATGAAGGACACCAGGCCGCGCATCGTGTTGGGCTGGCTCGAACTGCCGCGGCTGAACAGGCCGCCGCTGCCCGCGTTGGACGCCATGGCGACGTCGGCAGTCCAATTCTACGTCGCCTCGAGGGCGGTCGGCCTTGTGGGACTACGCGCTTGGCAGGCGGAACGTCGCGTCGTCGCTGGCGTGGATTCGAGAGGGCCTAGGGGGGCGGAGGTTGCGGAGGTAAGGGTGAGGGGCGGATTGGCGCGGCCGTTGCGGTGTGGGCGCTGCGCGGAAACGGTCGAGGTGCAGAGCGAGGGGAGCGGTGGCGAGTGGTGAGAGACGACGTCTCGGGGTGGATGGCGCGTGGGCGGGGATTAATTCGTCGGGCTGCTGGTGGCTCTCTGGCAGCTCGCGAGCATGCGGTAGTTGAGCGGTATCCTTGGAGCTAGGCCCCGGAAGCCAAGTAATCCCGACGGGAGGATCTTCATCTTCCCAGTGGACCATCGCAGCAATCAAACATTCAAACAAACTCCGAGTTCATTGTTGGTATCTTGATCCTACTAGCCTCTGCTAATTAAAGTTGCCCTGAATTTCCATTGCCCCAAGGAGAGCCTAAACCGCTCAACCCACATCAAAACCCTTAACGCCTGACAACACCGTCCCATGCATGCCTCCTAAACCCGCAGTCAACTACTTGCGGTTGGTGAAGTCGGTCTCAAGCTCTGACTGGCCGAGCTCGGCGCCAGAGCAAGTGCACGAGTCTGCGGGGTCATGTTAGCGGGGGGCCTCTCTACCCAACATGGATTAATCGAAGCAACTCACCACTGGACCTCTTGCCGCAGGCACAGGCAGTGCCCTTGACCGTGTTCTCTTCGCCGGAGCGGTTGCAGGTGCAGGAGCCGGCAGCGCGTTGGCCTAAAAATTGCCGTCAGCCACGTGTTCCCGGTGCACGTGAGTGCCGATGCGACTATAGTAGTCGAGAGATAAATACATACCGCAGGAGCAGGTAGCGCCGTTCACCTTGTTCTCGGCCTGGGCCTTCTCGCAGTTGCAGTGCATGGCCTTCTGCTTGCCGCAGGAGCAGGTAGCCTCCTTGGCACAGACGCAGCCGGTGCCGTCACGCTTGCAGCAGGAAGCGGGGATAGCGCCAGTGGGAGCAGACATGGTGATGGTAGAGTGGTGGTGGTGGAGTGTTGGTAAAGAGTAGAAGTGGTAGAGGAGAGAAAGCTGTGTTTCTTGGATGCGAAGAAAGTCTTTGAGGATTGTCTGATGAGAAGGAAACCAAGCAGGAACAAGCAGGCCTTATAAGTCTTTGGCATGGAGTATCTGATGGCCGGAATCAGATATGTAGAGGCAGGAGCCGGCCAATCACACGCGCGTCAAAGTAAGCGGGGGCGAAAAAAGGCGACCGCGCCCGCCCGACATGATGCTTCGGCCGTCTGACCACGGCCGACTTTCACGACACCGCGTGGCACGGACAACCGTGCATCCTGTCTTTTTTGCAGCTTGCTTATTCGGTGCTGTGTTATTGGCCTCCCTCCCCGAGTCTGGATCATTACCTCGCATTCGCCGTGACTCGTCGAGGCTCATGCCCAACACTTTCGTTTCGCTTTATACTACTATAGACAAGGTCTCGGACATTTCAATTTTTCAACAAATGCTTCGCCACTAATCATGCCACTCTGACTCTGTCCCAACCCCTCTACGAGTGGGCTTGCTCTTGGGTTGCAGTCTTTCACAACCACCACAGCTGACAACTAGGCATGAAGTTCGGCTGTCGGTACATACCGACTTGAGGCTCTGCACCAGCATTAAAGGGCTCCACAACAGCTCCCGACCTGCCGGACTTGGTCCTGGCTCCCCACATTTCTCCTACTACAATACAAGCGGTCGGGTCTATGCAGTTCGGGGCGATAACGATGAGTCGGCGTGATTCTCAGACCAGTCTGTACTAGAATCTTCTCAACCAGCTATGGTCGCCTCCTGATTGCAGCTCCATTGATCTTTAACTCGAAGCTTCTTAGACCATCTTCTGACGAGTCCGAGCAATTTGATGGTCTGGCTGATATGGACGGTATTCACGTTCGAAGGTAATGTCGAGCCTAGCGCTCAGCTCACAAAACATTAAAAAACACCAAACGGTTTAGATGGTTCGAAACCGAAACCATCATATCATTCTTAATGAATAAAGCAATCTATTAATGCTCGTTATCATCAGTTGCAGTGAGTAATCTGCCCAGAAACCAGTCAATTCCACAACTTCGACCATTCAATGTATGAGAGCTTAGACCCCAATGGTGAGAAGAGGCATTTTGTTAAAATGATATATCAATATGTATGAACCTCAAAGGCACCCGATAATTTCTTACCCCCTCCAGATATTCTGCCCACATCACGTAATAACATACCTGCAAAGTCCTGTGATATACTTTCTACCTTAAGATGGCTTTTATCCTGTAAGTGTCTTTACACCCTTTGAATATTTAATTTCTACATCCTCGTAGAATACTCTAGTACTTCCCTATATTTACCTTTATATCTTGTTAATACTATTATACCTTCTATCTTTTTACTTCTTCGCGGTTATATGGTGCCTACTAACCGTAGCGTGATAGTCTATCATAACTACCTAAGGAGTACTCTATAGGTATTGTAGATTTCGCTTAACATGTAGTTGAGGAGTGGGCAAATTATTCAGGGCCAACCGCCGTTCACCGCCACGGATATCTCTAAAATTGTGCATCAGAAGAAATAGAAGGACTTGTTTTTTGGTGCTGCCAGCCCCGAAGCTGATAAACAATAAGCATAGTCAAGGGCGCCTGCCTATCATCCAGAGACCAAACGCCAAAGATTGACGTGTTTCAATCTTGAATGCCCGTTTCCGCCCGCTCAAGAGGGTGCTCAGAAACAACTCCGAAATGGTGAAATGAACAGCCCAGCCTAACCTTGATAGTAATTGAAAAACTGATAAAGGCTAAGACAACCTATTCTTGATCATGAAGGCCATGGGAAGCACTCACAGGCAGCTGCTTGAAGATACGCGGCGAGCAGTGAACGTACTACACCCAAAGCGCTTTGAAGAACCTCAAAGGTAAGGCATGCCATTAATACGAAAAAACCAAACACTTCCTCCCAGCAGCCCGGGGAATCCAACACGACTTTGCGAACCGACATGAGCCCAGCAACTGTGAAGCAAACAAGAGGCCGCAGTAACACACCAAACATTTTTCCACCCTCTTAACACAAACACCCTCACAGAATCCCCCAGAACCTTCCACGCCCTTCCATACGCTTCTCGCACCCTCTTCCCATGACCTCACCGCACACGCACGGCCCCACCCCCCAGTGTATATAAACCCCCTCCCCCCTCCCTCCCTCCAATTCTTTTCTCCAGTTCTCTTTGCCCTTTGGCTTAGATCTAAATGCAGTATCTGTTCTTTTTAGGTGAGCATTCTTACGGCCGTTCCAGCGATTAATATAGGGCGTTGGCTAAGATTATCTGTTCTTTTTAGTCTAATCGCTAATAGCCCTCTACGGAGGTGCATTTCGTGATTAACTAGTTTTTGGACCTCGCGCGGCGGCTGCGTGGCTTTTGCTGCGTACGTCGTCGCCACGGTGTCGCTCGTATTGCACTGTTGCGGGCTGACGCGAACGGCTGGTTTTGCTTTATGCCATACCGCCTTTTCGGCGGAGGTGTTTGCTTTGCTTTGCTTGCCTTTTTCGTTGCTGTGCTCGGCTTGTCTGGGCCTATGATGAAGATGGGTTTCTTTCTTTGCTGCAATGACGACGGCGACGATGACAACTATCTATAGATAGGCATGCCGACGACGCCATGGAGTGCATGGTTATGACGCAACATGCCTTTAGTGGTTTTAATAGCCTGAGTCGCCTGTATGCAGACGCAGAAGTGGTCGTAATATACGCCGGATATGGGCGTGAGGACGCCGGCTAGGACACAAAGTTGGGTTAAACGGCCTATCAGTGATGAGGAGAGCCACAACAGTGATGACAATAACGAGACATGGACAATGGCAAGGCTTGTTTCGTTTGCTAAGACTCACTGTGTGAGTGATGCGTGATACAGCCCTTCCTCGCATCCCAACCCCAATCACCGCAGCGACCGCATACCACTTTGCACGCATCAATTAAGCAATCAGCGTCCAGTTAGAATGACACAATTAGTACTCTACACATCGACGCATTGCAACGGGTCACTGTTCACAAAGATAATCTCTCACGTAACGTCCGTCACCGTAAATCGAGATACACCGTGTAGTGAGACGGGGGACGATACAAGCGGTCCCTATAGAGTACTCTTTACCTAGCCCCCAGCCAGAATCTCGGTATGACTGGAGAGGTCTTAGAGCACACACAGACTCTACATGTCTTAGCTGCGTCACTTCTTCCACTGCAATCCATACAAGCATCACCATCTCGCAAGACGGTGAGCCTTGCTTCACAGTGACGGACGTTATATGAACCACCGAAGAACCAAACATCACACCATACAAACAACGTCTCAACCCAACACGACCAATCGACATCATAAATTACGTACTACTTTACACACTCACAACCACAAGAAAGAAGCCAACAACCAGACATCCACCCCAGCACAACTCGCCAGCGAGCTCCACAACGCTTTCCCCCAGAATCACGCGTTGCACCTTTATTTCACCTATCCAAACCACCAGAAAGGACCCCTTACACGCACAGACACCGCAGCCGAGCGATCATCGCAGTAACCCCATGGTCCGACTTTCGTATGCTGTTGTCGTTGTTGGGGTCGGGTATGTATGTACTGACTGAAAAGGAGAACAGAAAAACAGAATATGAAACAAAGGAGACCGAAATGTTTTCTTCAACCCATCCCTGAGGCAAGTAAGGAGAGAGTGCGTGAATGAGAAAGATGTAGCTGGATTCCATTGCCCAGATCGTTCGGTGAAATGGAGTGCGAGCGCTCGGCAGGCGTGAAGCTGATCTGATCCATGGTCTTTTCGTCCCCATCGCATCGCATCACACCACAATGTCTCCCACATTATCGTCTAGAAGACGACATTCTCATTGCCGGAACCTGCCAGACCTTGCTGGCACCTTTCTCCGCCCCCTCGCTGACCTCCCACTCCAACTTCTCAGTGTCGCGCTCGCCACGGCAACCGGGCCTAAAGCTCCAGCGCACGGCGCCGCGGTCCGTCCACGCCCAGAGCACGTTCTCAGAGCTGGCGGTGGCGCTGATGCCGCTGTTGTCTTCGCCGCCGAAGCTCAAGCTGAAGACGACGCCCTGGCGCGGCAGCTCGACGGGCTCTAAGCACACGATGGAGTTGGAGCTGTCGTCGTTGTTAGTGTTGCGTTGGTTATTGGTGGCGCCATTCACGTTGGTGTCGGAGCTGGTGGTCGTGGTTGCTGTTTGTTTGCGGCCGCCTTTTGCTGACACTGAGGGGGGGATGATGTAGTCCAAGTGGGGGTCTTGGGTATGAGGGAAGCAGAGAAGGGGGTTGCTAGCGTAGTAGTCGTGTCCGCAGCGGTGGAGATATGCATGGTCTTCTTCTTCATCTGTAGAAGGCGACGGGGGCTTTGGAGAGTCGCTTTCACCGTCCAAATCGACAGAAGAGGAAGAATCTGAAGAGTCGTCGAGAAGTGCATCCGTCACACGCGATCTTTTGGAATCAGCTGGCAGCCAACGCTTGAAGAACGCCGTCGGGCGTATCGCCCAGACTAACACACGGTCCCAGCTGGCCATGGCGATGCGCGTGCCGCCTGGTGATATGGCGACAATCGTACCAAGTGATGACAAGGAGTTCTTGGTTAGCGGCAAACCGACGAGTTGCGCAACGACGAAATGTTCTAGCGAAGGGTAGTGTCTCCGCATGTCGTACCTCTCATCTCCGGGTGGATATTGGACACCTTTTATGATGTAAGCACCACGGCGGACGCCGCTTGTTTGGATGTAGAGTTGAAGGACCTTTACGGTTTGTCAACTTTCGACACAGTGGGGAGATATGAGGCTACAGAGAAATTATGGATAGCCAAGCTATGTCTAGTAACTTACGGAGTTGATGCAATACTCCTCATCATTCACGACATCCTTCAATCTGTGCGTATGATGGGCTGCAAAGGGAATGCCCAAGGAGGGTCCTGTGAACTGTTCTGCTGAGATCGTTAAAGACGAGATGATTACGCTTATGTTTCCTCTGAGCTCAAGCCTGCGGTCGTCTATGAACCAATATGGCGTGGGATTTCCGGGATTTGACAGCAAAGTTGTATTTTGGGCGAGTGAGATGGCATCCGGCGGCGGCTCGTTCTGCTCCTCGAAAGCTAACGACGGCGTATATGTAGTCATGTGGGGAAAAGAATCTAATCACGGAGCCATGTCAATTACGCACGTTCCATATATTGACTTGAAAAGAAATATATCATTGAGATTTATTGTAGACCGTAGCATGATGTATCTTACCATAGTACTTGGAAGAGGACTTGCTGTAGCTAGTCATCTTCCAGGGGGAGGCTGCCCTCAGTCCCCCAGATTTCTTGAAAGTTATCATTGCTGTGCCATGTTCATCAACCGCCATCGCAGTGGGCTCGAAGCCGTCTTCAAGGTAAACGTCTCGAATATTCTCGATAGACACGTCAAAGGAAGAGGTGAAGCGCCATGTGACGAGCTTCAATACTTCTTCAGACTGTCTCGAAGCCTCTTGCATGAAGGGTCCTTTTGGAACGCCAAGCACGCGGTAGCGGTACAGCACTGCCAGCTTCTCCATGCACTGGTAGCGTTCTCTTAGACTGTGCATGTCATGGAACGCAGTCAGCATCACCTCGAATGTTACCTGCGGCGGGTCTGCTTTATCATCCAAGCCGAGCTCGCGCGGTGACAGGACGCATTTCAGGACGGGGGAGCGGGCTCTGATGCTGTAGACCCTAATGGTTGCATCCTGGGGGCATACGGCAGCCATGAACATGTGGTTGGTGCGACATGGGCAGCTCAAGAAACTGCTCAGCTTGGAGTTGATCTTGGCGGGGGAGTCAAGGCGTAGCACGTCGGCGAGCGGCGTAACGCCGTGCAGAATGTGTCTCGCAGCTCTGCGGTTGAAGGAATCCAGGAGGGCATCGGCTTTACTCTTAGCGCGCGTGTCTATGTAACCGGGGACCTTCCTCAGCTGATCTCGCAGGAGCGACTTGGAGCCAAGGGCGTGTCTTCTGATGGACTTGCACACTAGGAGGCATACAGAGAAGCTCGCCGGGTCCAAGAGGCGCAAGACGTCTAGCACCAGCTCTGGCGGCAGATGGAGCAGCATGGCAAGTGGGGAAGTCGAGCTGCGGCGGCGGTCAGTGCCATGGCCGAAGTGGGCCAGAGGCGTGAGCAAGGAAAACGTAAAAAGGTGAGGCGGTGTATGTTGGGTTGGTAAGGCAGCAAGAGAGAAAAAAAAAAGGCTCGCACTCACGGGGCTGCAAGGGAGAGCGTGGCTAGAGGCTGGACCCTGGATTGTGGAGCTGGTGTTTTGTCAGAAGTGGGCGACGATGGCACGGATGGACGTGGACGCCAGGGACGCGAGACGGGGCGAGGTGGTGCGGATCGGCAGGGCTGTGGCTGGTGCGTGGGTGCGTGGCTGTGTCACGTGCGCGTGGGCGAGAACGGCGAGAAATCCAGAATCACCGGAATCCGGTTTGCACACAAAGAAGGCCCGATGCACGACATCACGACTTGGCCGCCGAGTCGACGACGGGTGGCCCCTGGCAAAAAGCTGATGTTTTAGGGCGCACCCACCCGCCCGACACATCATCCGTTCCCCCCCGAGTCCTGCGCTGTCTCTGAGCCCGAGAGCCTCTGCGTTGCCTCTGCGCTTGTCTTTGCCTCGCCTTTTGCCCTGCCGTTGCCTGGGCCCTGGCGCCAAAATACGTCATTCTCGCTTGGCTCCCGCTCCCTCGTCCTCACCCTCATCCCTCAACGCCCTCGTCTTCGCCTGCCCACACCCCCTCCCCCCCGAATATGCGCCCCGTCGCCCTTTAGTTCTATCCTTCGACGACGCTTGACTAATCACCATGACAACGAGCGCCGCCACCCCGTCGCACTGGGAGCACCCGCATTCCCAGTCTCGCCAGCAGCGACCAGCTCCGCCCTCACGCTCCACCACCTCCAAAACGCCCGCCTCGGTCGGCCAGCCCATGCCGCCCCCATTGCGTCTGAACGACGCCCGCTCGCCCCTAGTCCAAGACCAGGGTGCACGAACTCCCAGTCCCAATTACTTTGGTCTCACCATCGATTCCTCCGCCGACGTCTTCTCGTCCAGCGCCGCCCAGCACGCCCGCGCAAACTGGAGTCCGCCCACGTCAAATGTTCGCTCGGCTGCCGCTGCCTCGCCCCGCGTCATCCCCGTCGACCATAACCCCGAGTACGAAGCCTTCAAGAAGCAGGCCGAAGAGAACAAGCCCTTCAGTTTCGGCGGCCTGTCGCAATTCAGCATCAATCTCCCCAACGTACCCATGAACCTGTCAAGCCCACCGGGCTCTGGCTCGCGGCCAGTAAAAAAGCCTGGTGACGTCGCGTCACCGTCTCATACCGGCACCCCCGGTTCGCCCCAGAGCGCCGAGTCCAATGGCTCCTTGTTGTCTCCCGGAAAACCTCGTTCTCCCAAGCGTATGCTTTCGTCTGACTCCAACGTGTTTCCAAACCGCGCTCGTCGTCATTCTCCAGCGACTTTTGAAGATTTAGAGTCGGATGGAAATGATCCACCACGATTTGCAGACAACAGGCCTTCCTTGCCTGCTCCTCTTGCCAGAAACATCTCGAGCCAGTCTGGACATCATCGGGCCGAGACTCTGCCCGTCAACTTTGATGGCGACGCTCAAGGGCGTGGCGACCCAATCATGGTGACGCCACAGCATGTCGTCAATCTGATTGAGTCGTCCGAGGACGAAATTCTTTTGCTGGATCTGCGCGTCTCCACCCAATATGCTGCTTCCAGAATACGTGGCGCGCTCAGCCTCTGCATCCCTACAACCCTTCTCAAGCGGGAGTCATTCAACGTTGAGAAGCTGGCTGATACGTTCAGTGACAAAGAATCAAAGAGCAAATTCTTGAATTGGAAAAGCAGCAAATACATTATTGTTTATGATGCCAGCTCATCACAACTCAAAGATGCTGTTTCCTGCATCAACACTTTAAGAAAGTTTGCTTATGAAGGCTGGAGAGGCGCGTCCTATGTAATACGCGGCGGCCTCACTGAGTTTTCAGCCAAGTTCCCCAAGTTCATTGTCAACGGCAAGCAGGAGACGGGTGGAGTGCGGAAGAAGCCCAACTTGAAGCTCGGTGGTATGCCTGGTATGCCAGGTCCTGCTCCCGTCATTGGTGGATGTCCTATGCCAGCAACGCAGAACGCAGCGAATCCCTTCTTCGGCAACATCCGTCAAAACATGGATCTCATTGGCGGCGTGGGACAGATGCCAGTCAAACGCCCGGCGGCCATGTCCCAAACGACGGAAGCCGAAATACCAGCTTGGCTTCGTGACGCTTCTGAGGAGAAGGACAACGGTGCCACTGTTGCCGACAAGTTTCTGCATATCGAGAAAAGAGAACAGAAGCGCATGCAAGATGCGCTTTCAGGCAAAGTTGTTTACGGCAACCCGGGCCCCGGAGAACAAAAGAACGGTATCCAGATCGCAGGCATCGAAAAGGGAACAAAAAATCGCTACAACAACATTTGGCCGTTTGAGCACACACGCGTCAAGCTGCAGGACGTGCCGACGGAAGGTTGCGACTATTTCAATGCTAATCATATTAGACCGCCTTGGTCTAACAAGCGATACATTGCGACTCAGGGTCCGATACCTGTCACCTTTGCTGTGAGTTACGTCCGACAATTCCTGACCGCGTGCAACTGCTAACCCAGCCTAGGACTTCTGGAACGTTATCTGGCAACAAGACGTCAGGGTCATTGTCATGTTGACCGCCGAGAAAGAAGGCGGCCAGGTGAAGGCGCATAATTACTGGGGAGAGCAACAGTATGGCGATTTCCGCCTCAATTTCCACACCGAACATCGTGCGTCGTTGGAGCCGGACGATATCAAACGCCACCACCAAAAGAGTGCCATGCGGCGCCAATCCACGCAACACGATGGACCGGGCTCAATGCAGAGCCAGCCAGTTGTTCAGCCTGAAATAATCCCCTCTCCCAACTCGGACGTACCGTATGTCATCGTTCGAAAGTTTACGCTTTCAAACACTAGACTTCCATTCGAACGTATGCGGGAAATCACCCAGCTTCAATACTCCAATTGGCCGGACTTTGGCGCTCCTGCTCATCCGGCGCACCTGCTTGGTTTAGTCGAACAGTGTGACGCCGTGGTCCGACAGATTGAAGGCGGATCTTTCGATGGGCCCGACGAGTCAAAGGGACGACCGGTTCTGGTGCACTGCAGCGCCGGGTGCGGGCGTACGGGTACCTTCTGTACCGTTGACAGCGTCATTGACATGCTCAAACGGCAAAGAGTAACTAGATCAGAGCGTCAAGCAACGCCCATGGATTTAGACTCCAAGCCAACCCCATCCAAGAAGGACGACAACCCGTTCTTCGGATATGATGTCACTGACACCAGCGGCGATAATGACGACACATGGGTCTCGCGAGACGACATAGACCTCATCGAGAAGACTGTTGAGACATTCAGGAACCAACGGCTTAGCATGGTGCAGAGTCTACGACAGTTCGTGTTATGTTACGAGAGTGTGTTAGAATGGTTGCAGCAACAGCGGCAGTAGACCAATCTTTTCTAATGCAAGCGACGGTGGAGGGCAGACGAGTAGGGAGTCTTCGTCTGGATCAAAGTGCCAATTAGAGACGACAAGTTCACAGACGGTGCATTGATAAGCATTGGGGATTCAAGCATTGAACTGCGGCTGGTTCCATTTCTTGGCGTTGGGGGAGCTAGCATCCATGTCATGCGAGCGGAATACACAGCGGAGGGTGCTGGTTCATTGCATTCATAGGAGTAAGGGCGTACACGCATCAGCGCGGTTTTGTTTTTTGTTTTGTTTTTCAGTAGACGGAATGGGTTGGGACAGGACAGGGAACGGCTAGGGTGTAGATGACTGGACACGAACGCTGAAGGATCTTACTATGTTGCAGCACATTACGTCGCTGTTTTACTTTCAAAACTCATGGAAAAACAGGGAACAGGAATTTCGGGTTTGTTTGTTTGTTTGTTGTTTGGGTTACGATTGTCATTGGTAACGCAGTACCTACTTCGATTGCTTGCCTGTAGAAATTTTAAGTAGCATCAAACAAGTTGGGTGACATGGACGCTACCCGGATCGGAGCAAACCCCACGACGCGCACCGACTACGAACGCGTCTTCCACAACCTCCTCTGAAGCCTTCCGCCTTCAGCACGCAAAATGGCCGATAATGACGGAGACGACTACAATAGCACCCATCGGGCTTTTCTTCAGGCTTTCCTGGCCCGCTCAGTCATGACCTTCGAAGAAGCACAACCCATCCTCGCCGCCATTCTGACAGCAAAAGACGGTAACCGGCTCCCACTCTCGCGCAGCCCAAGCAGCGAATGAAGACAAATCACAGCAAAGCTAACAAACTCTACGCAGACGGCGAGCGACCCATATTGCCCAACGACATCACCGAAGCGGACTTCAACACGTACGTCGCGACGATAAACACGGCACTCTCGCCGCTGGACCTGGAGATCCGGAGCGCGCGCTCGCAAAGCGCAGAGCGCACGCGCCTGTGGGCGCTCGTCAACACGACGTCGGACGGGCTGACGCAGCTGGCGACGACGCACACCGCGGACGAGATCGCGTTCGTAAAGCGGCTGCTAGACGCCATGTTTGAGGCACACAATACACCGCGCGCCGAAGTCGTCGCGCTCACGAGCATACAGGCGCTGAACCTGCACAAGGCGCCGCGCAACGCGGAGGGCAGCGAGACGCAGGGCAGCGCGGGGGCGACGCTGACTATGGCAGCGGCGCAGAAGCTGCTGAACGACATGGTGGAGGAGGGGTGGATGGAGAAGTCGCGGCGCGGGTTCTTGAGCCTGAGCCCACGCGCGCTGATGGAGCTGCGCGGCTGGCTGGTGGAGACGTACAACGAGCCCGTGGACGCAGAGGAGGACGGGCCGGAGGAGGTGGCGGCGCGCACCCGCGTCAAGATGTGCGAGGCCTGCCGCGAGATTGTGACGGTGGGGCAGCGCTGTCCCAGCCGCGCGTGCCTGTGCCGCTTGCACGACGTCTGCGTCCAGCATTTCTTCCGCACGCACCCGGACCGCCGCTGCCCGCTGTGCAAGACTGAGTGGTCTGGCGACCACTTTGTGGGCGAACGCGCCGCGAAGCCTACGAACAGGAACCGCGGGAGCGCAGGCACGGTGGCGTCGTCGTCCCGCCGCTCGACAATGGCGAGCCAGCTTGCACTGTCGGACGACGACGACGACGACGACGACGACGACGAAGAGTGAGGACGCGCTGGTGGCGAAGTTGCTGCGGCTGCTGCTGCTGCTGCGACGCGCTACTCCTCCTAGGAGTACTTACGTTTCCGCTCTACCCGACCGACGGACAAACTATCTTCGTGCGCCAGAGGAGAGGCGTCCCAGTCCGCCTCGCAGCGCACTACGTACGACACGAACATCTGCTCGAGACGCATCATCGACTCGAATCTGGCTCACCGCACCGCAACGCGCACCACTAGCTACCTGGCTGAAGAGCGCCGGTGGTACACAATCGAGCTGCGCCCCGCGCGCCCAGGCACCGCCAAGCGGCGTATTGGTTCTGCGTCCGCTGCATCGGGGCCGGGCGGGACGATGTACATGGCAGCGTTGACGTTGCGGTGGCGGGGACATTGCATACAGCGCCGTTTATACCGGGGACAGAGCTGGGCTGGGGAACCGGAAGACGAGCACTGGGTGGGGGTAAGGAACGCGGGGTGCACGATGTATGTACATACATGCACACATACGGCCTGGGGTGTGGTGTGTAGCAAGTTGGATACGATGGGCTACCAGGCGGTAGAGAACGCACGCACGCATGCACGACCGAAGAGAGGAACGGATGGACAGGCAGACAGGAAGACAGGTTGGTAGGCAGGAAACACACTCCAGATAAGGACGATGAACGGCGAACGCAAAAGGCCCGCTAGGTACCTACTGTACGGACATCTACGTAGCCGAAGGATACCTAGACACCCCTCCACCCATCTACAACCGCACATCACGCACCCCGCCACACTACCAAGTTGCCACCTATAGGCACCTCAAGCGCACCCACGCGAAGCAGGCCGACAGGCCAACAGGCAGGCAGACAAACAGACACACGCAGACGGACAGGCAGAGATAAGCACGCGATAGGCAGGCGCTTAGATAGAGAGCTTACTGTACACCACCCAACCCCTCCACACACGCACATCTATCTACCTAGAGATCTCCACCGCACGCACGCGAACCCCACACCTATGAAGAATATCCCCGCCACCCCGCCCCGCGCGGGGGCGGCACGGCGCGGGCCCTACATACATAGAATCCATAGATGGGCGGATGGGCGGGGCTGCTGGTGCTGGTGCTGGTGCTGGTGCTGGGGAGTGGTTGGTGGGGTCAGGTGCGCGCGCATGTGCTACGTTTGCAGGGGAGGGATGGGAGTGCGGGTGCGGGTGTTTGCAGGGGGTTGTGCGCGCATGCTCGCTCGCTTGGTTGTGTGTTGGTTGGGGGTTCTGGATCTTCGGGAAATAGGCAGGGCGAAGCATGACATGACAAGACAAGACATGCTGGGTGTGATTGCAAGCGAGACACTGGGTGTTGGTAGGGTGGGTGGTACGTCGTGCTGGATACCAAGACGTGTGCATACAAGCGGGCTTGTTTCGTTTGCCTGGGATTCTTCATTACATTGAGTGCGATCTGCTTGACTGGCTGATTGAGTGGCTGCGGATAGATGGATGATTGGTGGCTGACGTTGATGGCGGTTGGTGGTGATGCTGCTGATACTTCTGCTTGCTGCTACATGGCCGATGCTGTCTGTCTGTCTACGCGGCATGAGCACAAGCGGCGCAAGCACGAGCACAAACGCAAGCCCCGGTTTGGGCCAGGCAAGCAGGCAAGCAGGCAAGCAGCATGTCCGCTTCCCAAGCTGCATGCCATGCCATGCCGCGCCGCGCCGCGCCGTGCCGTGCCGTGCTTCCCGTCTGCTGCTCCTCCTTCTGCTGCATCTGGCCTTTCCCCCACACCGCGCGCTTACTTCCACAGCTTCGACAAACTCATCTGCTTGTCGTCGTGCTTGTTCAGGACCTTCGCCGTGGCGAGGTCGAAGTCCTCCTGGGTGACGTGGACGCGGCGCTCGCGCAGGGCGTACATGCCGGCCTCGGTGCAAACACCCTTCAGCTCGGCACCGGAGCAGCCGTTCATCTTCTCGGCGATCTTGGTAAGGTTGATGCCACGCGTCAGGTTCATGGAACGTGAGTGGATGCGCAGAATGTCGGCACGGGCCTCGACCGTCGGTGGGGGGAACTCGATCTTGCGGTCGATACGGCCGGGGCGCAGAAGCGCGGGGTCGAGAATGTCGAGACGGTTGGTGGCCATGATGATCTTGATGTTCTTGGTCGGCTCGAAGCCGTCGAGCTGGTTTAGCAACTCCAGCATCGTCCGCTGCACTTCCGAGTCACCTCCCGACGCGCCCTCGACACGACTGCTACCGATACTATCGATTTCATCCATGAAGATGATGCTAGGCGCGTGCTCACGCGCCATAACGAACAGCTCACGCACCATGCGCGAACCTTCACCGATGTACTTCTGCACCAGCTCACTGCCGGATACACGGATGAACTTGCAGTCCGTGTGGTGCGCCACGGCACGCGCCAGCAGCGTCTTACCAGTACCAGGTGGCCCGTATAGAAGCACGCCCTTCGGCTGTGCGATGCCGAGCGATTCGAACAGCTCCGGGTGCTTAAGGCCCAGCTCGATGACCTCCTTGATCTCCTTGATCTGCTGGTCCAGGCCACCAATCATGTCGTACGTGCTGTCGGGCACCTTTTCGACCATCATGAGCGAGACGAGCGGGTCGACGGACGAGGGTAGCAGCTTCTCGAGCTTGTACGAGTCGCTGAGGAGGGTGACACGTTTGCCGGCCGTCAGCTTGCTGATGTCGACCTGGTCGGAGATGTCGACGACTGAAGGAGGGAGGCGTTAGCATGGAGCTGCGCGGGAGCCGATTGCGCCGGGAACTCACCGTATTTGCCTTCGGGATGCACCTTGACCAGCACCTTCTTGGTGCCCATGACCTTGACGACCTCGCCGACGTACGAGCCAGGCTGTTGCAGCAGACCCAGCTCCTCCCGTAGTAACCGCACCCGCGAGTTGTAGTCATTGCGCTGTGCTTCTAGACGGCGGAGCTTGGACTGGCCCTGGATGATCTCGAGCTTCATGCTCTCGATCTTGTTGTGGAAGAAAGTGTCGAGCGCCATGGTGGCGGCCGGGGGTTGCAGCCCGGGGAGGGGAGGTTGTCGGAGCCGGGAAGAAGGATGTGGGGGGGATCGATCAAATGGCGGGGGGTGCGGGGCTCGATGGCGGCGATGGTTGGGGGGATGGTGGTGATGGCGGAGCCCGTGATGATGGCAGACTGGTGTTGGAGCTGTCGCGGCGACCGGAGCTCTCCAAGAAGTTTCGCCGAAGAACTCCCGGCTGACACACATGACCGCACCCCCCCAGTCAGCCAAATCGATGTGATCGATGGGTTTTGACTCGACATTCGTGCAGCTCTCCCGGCTCCCCCAGTCAGCCAAGCTTGTGAGAGGGTTGGCGGCCCTATTGTCATGCAGTTACCGCGACTGGCGCCGTGTACCCATTTAGGTCATCTGCGCGCCCACCCCATGCACTTCTGCACTCAGCCTCCATCATAAGAAGATTGTAGTCCTGCACCGCACCCTCGCTTCCCTGCACCGCTTCTTCTTCCATTTCCGCCAGCTTCGCCGGACCCTGCACGGCCCCTCGGCCTAGCCACAACCCTTCGTCATTGACAACGAGCCTGGTGCGCTGGACAGTCCGGTACATTCCTCACCGTCCTACGCCTACGAGGACGGCATTCCTGCAACATGCCAGCAGATGACGACGGCCTGGCCGGCGGGGCCGCCTCTGACCAGTCACCGGTTGACGCGACCAGGCGAAATTCGACCGCGTCCGACGTAAACAGCGCTACCGCCGGCAATGCCCAACCTACGAATACCAGGCGCGCGCCGTCGCAAATCCCTGGCACGGGTCAGCCCAACTTTTTTTCCTCATGTATCACTCTTTCCGCGACGTCGAGGCTGACTCTTTGTTGTCTGAAGGCGCCGCTTCTTCTGCTGCCGCTTCTGCGCGACAGCTCTCGAATAACCCACCCGATCAGTCCAACGCGAAGCCGCCTAGGAAGCCTGGCATGGGCCGACGCACCACCTCCAACGCGAGGCTACACAAGGGCCAGGAATTTTCCGTCGACGATGCTGAGGAGGAAATAGGTGAACTGCTCGCTCAACAGCGCCAGTCGTCCAAGATGGCGTCAGGCTCATTGCGCCGCGTCCCTTCAACTCTCCGCAGACGACCAAGCGCGCAGCCCCCACCGAGCCTCCCGAAAGTCGACTCCACCGATGCCGATGACGATGAAGTTCAAGCCGAGGCTTCTGGGCCCCCCAGCATGGGGGATATTCAGCCTGGCTCGTCGGGCGAAGACACTGTCCAGGGGGAGGACTCTGAAGAAATGGTCGAGACTGCCGACGACGACGCAGACCTCAGCGACGCCGAAAGTTTTACCCTGAAGGACAGACAGGAGGCGATAAACGAGACGCACCCTTTCGGTATCAGGATATGGAAGCCCGCCTTGTACAAGAAGAATCGCTCGGTTCAGAAGACTGCCGCGGAGGATATTCACTCGACTCCCGGTGGATTTGTGAGCAATTGGCTGTTGCTCTTCAACTTCATGTGGACAATTCTGTTTGGTTGGTGGCTGGCGGCAATTCCCGCTGCCGCTGCCATTGTCTGTTTCCTCTTTGGGTTCGCCGACGGCGCTGTTGCTTACGGCAAGACCTTCTCTGGATTGGCCTGGTACCTTCTATACCCCTTTGGCAAATACGTCAAGCTCATCCAAGAGGAGGCATACCTGGAAGAAGACGAAGGAGAGGGTCGCAGCATCAGCGAATATGAGCAATGGCAGAGCGGAGACATCGAGGAAGGCGGTCTGTTCTTTGGTCCCACTAGCAGGTCGTTGGTCGGACGTCGCCGCAACAGCCTTGACTCCGCGGATGAGACGCAGAGCCTGCTCGGAAGACCCAGCAGGCGCAGCTCGGGCTCTGACCACGCTGCTGGTGCAAAGAGGCGTCTGTTCGGTAGAGGCAAGTGGAACGCTGGCAGAGTCTTCTTTTTCATCATCTTCTACGGCCTTCTCACCCCTGCGCTGTTCTTGGTATCCGCAATCTGCTGGCTCTTCGTTTTCACTATTCCCATGGGACGCGTTACCTACTTGCTGTTCGACCACCTCAGGAGGCATCCTCTGGCGCTATCTTTCCACTCTGATAGCGCAGACATTCGTCGTCCCGGTGAACCTGCATCGTCCATTCTGCTCTGCACATATAGGGCCGTTGGCATCAAGTACTGGAAGTACACGATTGACGGCACGAACATCTTCCTTATCAACCTCCTTGGAGTCGTCGCTTTTGTCATTTTCGACTACTTTATCCTCGATGAGTGGCTCGGCCTTGAGATCTGGCTTACCAACACTTTCCTTCTGTTCGCCTTGGCGTTGTTCTCCATCATCCCGCTCGCATACTTCATCGGGCAGGCAGTTGCCTCCATTTCGGCGCAATCGTCCATGGGAGTTGGTGCGACCATCAACGCATTTTTCTCAACTGTTGTTGAAGTCTTCCTTTACTGCGTTGCTCTGAACCAAGGCAAGGCGCAGTTGGTGGAAGGCAGCATCATTGGCAGTATCTTTGCTGGTGTCCTTTTCCTGCCTGGTATTTCCATGTGTTTTGGCGCTCTGAAGAGGAAGACTCAGCGTTTCAACGTGAAGTCGGCAGGTGTCACATCGACCATGCTACTCTTTGCAGTTATCGGTTCCTTTGGACCCACCCTGTTTTATCAAATTTACGGAAGCGTAAGTTCAATTCTTCTTTACATGATGTGATGATGCTAACCTCAAAAAGCATGAACTCAACTGCCACAGCTGCACCAAGGATAGCTTCGATGACAACGATAGAGACTGCCGCCGTTGCTACTTTTCGCAGACTCCTGCCGTTCACGATCGCTTCTACCTTGAAGCTGTCAGGCCTTACACCTGGTTCGCGGCAGTTTTGCTCTTCCTTTCGTATGCAATTGGCTTGATCTTCACCCTCCGTACCCACGCGGCTGTCATTTGGAACACTGAGGCCGACGAGAAGAAGTACGAGAAGATGGACATGGCTGCTAGCAACTTGGCCGCTAGCGGTAACCTCGATCATCAACATCGCCGCCCTGGAACGATGAGCCGCGGTGATACGATGGGCTCATACGGAACTCTGTCACGCTCCGACATCCGCAACTCTGACCTCTACAAGCGTATCCTCGGCCAATCGCTCAAGCAGATCGGCCTTCCCCCTGATTTCCCTGCTGACAGGACCCGTTCTAATGCGCCGACCGGTGGTAATACCCCCCATGTGGTGCCTCCTCAAGAGTCAGAGGATGGCATGGAAACCCGTAGCCAGGTGAACATGCCTATCCATGGTATGACCGAGGAAGAGAACAACCAGCTTGTCCGTCAGGTTGCAGAGATGGCCGCCACGGCTGCCGCTGTTGCTGCTAGGGACGCCGCCAGGATGCCCAGGCGGGCTTCGCATGTGGCTTCCATGAGAAATGCGGAACGGCCAACAGCCGCGAAGGTTCCGGTTGTTCCTGGCAACGACGATATCGCTGACACTCACACGGCGGCCGACGGAGAGCATGCCGCTGGCGGTGGCCACGACGCGCCGAACTGGAGCCGAACGAAGAGTGCAGTTATTTTGCTGACGGCGACTGTGGCGTATGCTATTATCGCCGAAATTCTGGTCAACACGGTCGATGTGGTTTTGGAGAACGTAGATATTGACGAAAAGTTCTTGGGTATCACGCTGTTTGCCCTCGTCCCCAACACTACCGAATTCCTGGTAAGTCATGTTCATGGATAGAAAGGCGAATGCACTGCTGACGCTAAAATCAACACAGAACGCCATCTCCTTCGCCATGAACGGCAACATTGCGTTGTCGATGGAAATCGGTTCGGCGTACGCGCTTCAGGTCTGTCTGTTGCAGGTGCCCGCGCTTGTCCTTTACAGCGCCATCCACGGGCAGTACGTCGATCCGGGTGAGATCATTCACCACACCTTCAGTAAGTTGATTTCCGCTTCTTTCCACCGACGAAAACGGACCAGATCCACTGACTCTACCACAGCCCTCATCTTCCCGCAATGGGACATGGTAACGGTGATCCTGTGCGTTTTCCTGCTCTCGTACATGTACGGCGAAGGCAAGAGCAACTACTTCAAGGGCTCGATCTTGATCCTCTCTTACCTGGTCGTCATTGTGGGCTTCTACTTCACGGGCTACAACGACATGGACGTCATGGAGGTTGACCGCTACAACACGCTCGCCATCCGCCCGGACTCGGAGATGTTCAGCCAGAGCTTCAAGACGAGGGGCGGTGGACATAGCGGAAGGGCGTTCTAGACGGGACGTGTGAGCACAAGGTGATTGATGTGAGAGAGAACGGCGAAAAAAACGGCAATGTGAGAGGGTAAGTGATGCAGGAAAGGGGATCGCGTGGCATAGCGCGGCGTTGGCTGTCTGTGACTGTGTCTGTGTATGTGTATGTCTTCTCTTCTCTCTTTCTCTCTCTTTCCCTCCTTCTCTCTGTTTCGGGAGCAAACCTTTCGTTTTTCTAGCTCCCATACGGCGGCGCTGTTGCATACATAATGAAAAATTACGAGCGTTTATGATGGTTAGTAATGGAGGAAGGAGGGGTGTGGATTTGGTGTTTAGATTTTGCACGTTCGCATTTATATGAATAAATACAAATAATTCTTTTTACGTGATTGTGTTTGACATATTTCATTTTAGCAGTATACCTCCTAGGTATGTATGTCCTTACAATTGGGTTTATATTTGACCATGGACATGTCTTTTTCCAGTCATCGTCTTCACGTTGGGTGTGTCGTGTGAGCAGGGGTGGCGCAGGCTTGGCATGCTGCGTTGATATGAGCTGTGGCGGCCGTTCCCTCGTTAATAAGCAACTGATACTGCATTCAAGACGAACACTTGAGCGACGACGATCGCATCACAGATGCTTGTCATATCAAGAAACAGGAGAACATCAGCGTCAAAAAGAGGAAGGAAGCCCAATCCTCCTCGGACGGATTCGACTATAAGGACGGCACGCTATGCACCTCGTTGCAGCCCAGATCCCAGGCGCACTGTACTTATACCGAGAAGATTCTAGACAATGATGCCAATTAACGGTAGTAGATCGTGAAGGTTCTTGCTATAGGGAGCGTATGATGAAGGTTATTGTTTAGAGAGTGTGAAGATAATTATCATTGTCAGGAGATTCGACTGCGTTTCCTGCCCCATCAAATCGAACTCGAAATGGAAATTGTTGGTACGCGAGGCGCCATCCTTGATCCAGATTTGAAGGCAGGCGTTAACCAGGCTAAGAATGTCGTCAAGAAGGCGGACTTGCTGGAACTGCTCTGCCATCCAATCGTTGCGGGCCAGGGTTAGGTTTTAGGGTTAAAGTTAGGGAAACCGACATGCTCAAAGTACGAAGTACGTACCGGGTTATCGAATTCGAAAGACCCCGAATCACCTGGGTTGTCCTTTTGGCACAGTACCAAGATGCAGCGCAGACAGTCTGTAAACTGTCCCAAAGGCCAGAATAATTTATATATCCTAAGGTCTTCCCAATGGCTTTTGGTACCCAAGAAGACCCAACTTTTTTGCCCGTCTGTTTTATTAGGTGCAGATGCGAGTCTCGGAGGATTTGTTGCATCCTGCCTCGTCTTAGAACATCACCTGCCTCACAACCCCAGCCTCTCAACCCTCACCCCCCAATGCCACACACCCCCACATTCAACCTCGTATATATAATCCTTACAATCCAATTCCTCAACCAACAAAGTCGGGTTGGTGTAGTTGGTTATCACGTCAGTCTAACATCAGGATCGCATCCTGTGAGAGCACTGAAGGTCGCGCGTTCAAGTCGCGCATCCGATATTTTTGCTCTTACTTCGAAGCTCCCTATTACTTAACTTTTTTTAATTTTTTGATTGCTTCGCTGCTTAGCGCCGTAGTGGTCTGGACCCTTTCTCGGCCGATGGAGAAGGGCCGTGCGGAGCGCTAGCTGCGCTGAGAATTAGAGGTGCTAGTGCTAGTATGGAGAGAGAGAGAGAGCTTGAACGGCTTTGTGACTGGAGAGCAGTGGGGGCTGTGGGATTGGAGTGCTCGGCGGTTGGGCTGGGACGTTGTTGTGCTTTTTGTGGTTGGTGCTGTTGTGTTGGGGGAGATTGAGTGTGGATTGTGGTTGTGGTGATGTGGTCCGTCGGCCATGTTTGCCGCGTTTGATGAAAAGAAACACGAAAAGCTAGGATCTGTCAACTTTCAATTTAGATTATATATTATAATCATTAAAACATTTTTCATCTCAGCACCTGTAGCTCAGGGGTAGAGCGCAGGATTGCAGCTACACTGCAACCATCCCGAGGTCAGCGGTTCGAATCCGCTCAGGTGCTTCCTTTTTGGTGCGGAACTCATGATTCCCTGAGTGTGGAAGGGAACCATGGTTCTTTTTGGCTGCTGGTTGTGCACGTCAATGAGAAAGAGCATATGAAGGGATGAGTAATATTTGGTTGCGAAGAACAGGGAGGTAATAGCCCTGTGTAAGGGGAAACTGTGGATGAATTTGTGGGCGTGGAAGGTGGTTACGAGGGACGTGTGGTGGGAGTGAGGCAGATGGATAGCTGGGTGAAGGTGTGGGATGGGATTGAGTACAAGATTTGGGCCGGGAGGGAGAAAAAGACGGGCGGGACATGTATAGCAGTGGGAATTATGTGTGGCTATACGCTCCTTATTCACGCTCTACTTGCCTCGTCTCCTACACGGAAGACAAGTCAAGACATCCCAGCACCTGATGGCACCATAGGCTGCACATAAACCATCGCCCACACACTTTCTCGAGCCCTCAGCTCACAAGCATCACTCACACCAACCTCATTAACCTAGCCCAAGCACAATCCACTCACTTGTTAAGAATATGTTCTGTCAAACAATGATCAATATACGTATGTACGTACTCGCTACACTTACAAGACCTTGTCCCATCAAACCAATCCACCAATCCTACTCCACCGCGCAGCAAAAACGAAGAAAAAAGAACCCGGTATCATCCCAAAACGCCATCCCGCGCCATCCCATGAGCCGCTAGTAGTAGCGAATGCGCCCCGCAACCTGTAATCCTGTGCGGGCAGCTGAACCGAACCCATCCCAATCCCAGCTAACCCGAACTAGCGCCAGCCTCCTCACATAATCATGATAGATTCAATCTCGCCGTGGCTAACTCAGATCTCATCCTCAACTACCTCTTTGTTTTCCCACTCCTTGCACTTACCCGTCCACGACCTATGCGCGCACTTCTTTCGACTCTTCGGGGGTTCTGGCTTCGGCGAAGCTGTCGGGGACGGATCCACGCAGATCAGCCCGAACCACTCCTTGTTCGTGCATGACGTCGAGGCGGTCTGCGTCGTGGTGGGCGCCATTGAGGACGGCGCTGCCGTGGTCGTAGTAGTGGGGTCGTTACAGCCAAACCAACCGGGCGTTTCGCATGTGGTGCTGGAAGAGGAGGAGGTGGTGGTGGTAGTGAGTGGCGCGGAGGTAGTTGTGATGGTGGGGGCTGGTGCGTTGACAGGCGCATCGAGAGTCGTGGTCGAGGTTATGGTATGCGTGGTTGTGTCTTTGCAACCGAACCATCCGGGCTGTTGCATGTTAGTGCTTGTTTATGAGAAGGCTTAGGAGCAGTGCTTACAGTGTCGCAGGTAGTGGTGGTGATGGTGCTGTAGTGAGTCGTGGTAGGACCGGATGTCGTGGTTTCGTCAAGGCAGCCAAACCAACCAGGCGTCTTGCACGTCTCTGTACGGGTCTTGGTTGTAGATGTGCTGCTTCTAGAAGTTGTTGTGGTGTCGGAGCCGTTGCTCTCGAAGAACTTCCAGTTATAGCAGTCAGTGCAGCCAACATCGGGCTTGCATTCCGGAACCTTATCATAGGCTTCGATGACGTCGCGGATAACTTCCTGGATCTTGTGCGTGCCGGCTCCCACGCGCCAGCCCAGGTCACCAACCGTGTCATAGACACACTGAGACCCGGTGTGACAGACGCTTTGCATTGCGTATCCCGCTATGGTGCAGACTGAAGTTGCAGTGTTGCAAAGACCCATGAACATGGGATCGGCTGTGTGGCCAAAATGGTACACGCCAGTGTTCGGCCTATCTTGGTGGCTGCCAAGGTGGTAGTCCGGAGGCGTCGGTAGGCCTAGACGGGCTGCAGCCATGGCCTCTCCTGGGGCTTCGAAGGTGATGGTTGGTAATCCATAGGTTAAGCCAAGCAAACTGCCGGTAGCTCCGCCGAGTGAATGGCCAGCAATCCAAACATCCGCATCAGGATACAGCGCCGTGGCGTTGTGGTAGAGGTCCTGGACAGCATAGTAATACCGGTTCTTCTCCCTCAGAGACTGGACCAGGCAAGTAGAGTTGCAGGTGAAGGTAGAGGTCATGCAATCGCAGACTTGCCTCCACATGTACTGACCGCCTTGGCCGCAGCAGCAACCGAAGAAGAGGTTATCATTGACTTTGTCATTGGTGGTGGTCTCTGACCCGTCAAAGACAGCAGGCGAAGTTCCCTTGATGCCGATCACAATCGTAGAGTTAACGGTATCCGCAAAGATGTGGCCGCGCAGACCGTCGCTTTCCCAACCAAAGTCTTCTGTGTAGTTGAAACCACTACCGACATCTATCCAGTCTCCGGTGTGGGGCTCCAGGACGTAAGCGTTGGCCGCGACCCGAGCAAAGGTAAGCACCGACTCTTTGTCCGTGACATTAGGGCCCGCCACCTCGTCAACCGTCCAGGCAGATGCTGGCAGCTGGACTGGGTGTCCGCTCCAGCGTTTCGCCTCGAGGTATGAGTTTATCGTTTCCGGACTCCTATCGACCAGACGCTCTATGTTGGCGGGTTGCGATCGAGCTCGCAGGGGTGGCGCAAGCTCCTTCGGGGAACCATCTTCGGAGGCAATGTAAAGCGGCGCATCGGGCTTGACGTCTAGTCTCCTGTGGAGGTTCGGATACTTGTGGGTGCCGTGGTGAAAGACATGCTTCAGTGTCTAGATAAGGCGAGCATATCAGTTTCCCCGGTCGCGATCGACCCCCGGGCCGAGCTACTTACGAACTCCATCTCTCTGTTCTTGGGTTTGGAAGACGGAACATTCTGCGGAGTGCCCGAAGGCAGTACCGGGAGCTGCACGGCGGCAGCATCTCCGCCGGGGAACCAGCTGGCCGAGGCGGGCTGGAAGGGTGAGAGGGCGAGGAGTGATAGTAGGAAGGCGGCCGTGGCTCTCCCGGCCGAGCTGTGGTGGCGTCGCGAGTCCATAGCTGGGGCGGTTACCATGGAGCAGAAAAGGCAAAAGGCATGACAGAGCTCTCGAGCCCCTGAGGTAAGAAGTCGCGAGATCTAGTTAGTTAGACGAGAAAGGTAGAGTGATAGGGAGGAAATGGGGAACGCCATGAGGCCGATCATACGGACGCCGGCGTCATAGCCCTGGAGGGCTTGGCGCGCCGCGGGTGGAGCTTTATCGATTGCCAGAGCTGCTCCCGTTGGCTCTCTCTCTCTCAACTATCAATCACTCCCTCATAGATGCTCTCCAGCGACCTTTCTCTCTAACATGCAGGACTCCTCCGAGGACCGCCCCAAGCAGCAGTCCGCCTCTCCCGCCCCCTTCAGTCGCTTCGATCGTCCGCGTCATCGCAGCCGCGCAAGCACCGTCGGAGCTACCATCCCGGAGATCCTCTACCCAAACGCCCTCAACGCGTCGCCGGAAAGCAATGCCTCGGGCGAGAAGAAGGACATCTTTGCCGCCAAGCGCGATGGCGCCGATGACGACGAGGAGGCCGACCCCAGCGTTCGGCTTCCTCACACCTTTGAGGACCTGCCCATAGAGATCAGGAGCTTGGCCGAGAGGTACTATACACTCTGTCTGCCTAGACACACACAATGCTGATGCTCTATCAAGGTTTCTGGATTCCCTCTCCGCCCGCGTTCATCCAACGCCCCTTAGTATCGAGCAGCTCTCGGAGATGTTCCAAGACTTTTACGTCCGCGCCTCTGCCCAGATAGATACGCATATAGCTGCTCTATCTACGAGATTATCCCGTCAACAGTCGTCTACATCAATGTCAACGCGTTCTTCTAGAAGCTCGTTGCGGAAAGCGAGTGATCCGGGAAGGTCGGACCAGCAGATGCTGACAGCTTCCGAGATATCGGATCGAAAAAAGGCGCGCCGGTTACTGGAGCACAAACGCGTGGCTTTGGAAGAGACCGTGGAACGATCCGTCTGTGAAAAGGTTAGGCTTCTGCAACACCAAGCTCATCAGTTGTGTTTCAGGAGGGATCTGACGGTGCTCTAGGTGTATGAGAAGATATGGCGCCACCGAAGCACGGATGATGGGGAGAGAGACGAGAAGCTCCGTTCTAGAACCGCAGCTTTATCGGTTGTGGGAATTGGTCTCAAAGAGCTTCTCGGCCACGGCGAGGAAATTACGCCCGCCATGCGCGAGTCCATGACTGAGAAGGAGGCCAAGATACCAGAACTCTTGTCTGGCGCTCGCGAGAGCATCCAAAAGATGAACGAGGAGAAGTACCCTCTTGGCAAGCTGCAGCATCTGACGGCAGCGCACAAGAGCATTGTGGAAACATTATCCCAGATATTCCCGAGCTCGTCATCCGCCGACGAGATTCTGCCCACCCTCATATACACTCTTATCACGTCACCACCGGAGAACATATGTGCGATAAGTAATCTTTACTTTATTCAGCGGTTCAGAACTACAAGTAAGATAGACGGAGAAACCGCATATTGCTTGGTTAATCTTGAAGCTTCCATTGCCTTCCTGGAAAACGTCGACCTCTCTACGCTTAGGGAGGGCGAAGTCCCCGAGGGTCCTGCCAAGTCAACCAGCCGACCCTCTACCCCGCGGCCGGAGAGCCAATCAGCACCACCTATGGATCTCGGAATATCTTATCCGCCTGGTCATGGCAAGGCCAACCTTGAACCTATTGCACCAGCAGCAGCAAACCGACCTGCCCCGCAACCTCTCCCATCACCGCTTAACGCATCTCAGCGGCGTCTCAGCAACCTCATCCAGGCTCAGACTACGCGCATCGAGGCTGCGAGTGAGTCCGCTCGACAGGCTGTCCTCGACGGCGCTGACGTGGCCCTCGACTCTTTCAACAACACACTGGACAACAGTCTAAAGTTCCTATTCGGTCGACTCAAGGAACAACAGGTCTCTGACTCAGCTGACGGCACCGGGCGTCCCAAGACACTGGAAGACGTGCGCAAGCTAGTCAGCACACCCCCACTAAACGAAGACGACAACGCAAGTGGAGCAAGCTCGCTCTTGGAAAAAGACAGCGACGAGCCGCCCAACGCCGCCGCCGGACGCAGCCGCAGCGACAGCCGCATTACCGACCTCTTCGGCGGACGGCGCGCCCACCGCGACAACAGCGTCGACAGCGCCAAGTCGGGCAACAGCGGTAGCATGAGCAGGCGCCCAACCTTCACGCCCACAAGCGACCCGCTTTCCTCGCCAACTCTGAACACGACGGAAGCGCCGCCCAAGTCGCCCGCGCCACCCCAGCCGCCCTCGACGCCCGGCAACGTCGCCGTCGAGTCGATGCGCAACCTGGGTAATACACTGAACCCGCTGCGCGGGTTTGGCGGCATGGCGATGCTGCCCCGCTTTGGGCGCTCGAACACCACGCCCGCGCCTGCTGCTGCTGCTTCGCCGGAGAAACCGCGCCAGGCCAGCCAGGGCGAGGCGCCAAAGTCGCCGGCGGTGCCTCCCGCTACGCCGGTGATGGGGACGGAGACATCGTCGGCGGCGGCGGGGCAGGCGGACGCAAAGGCGCAGCGGGCGCAGGAGCGGCTGGACGAGCTGGCGAGGGCGCAGCCGCCGGCGAAGAAGTTTGTCGAGGTCAAGGAGGCGGTGGAGCTGAGGCTCGGCGAGGTCGAGGAGCTGTTGCGCGAGTATCAGCGCTTGGCGGGCGTGGTGAACGATGCGTTGAGGCCGTGAGTGAGTGCGGAGGTGCTGGGCTTGGCGTGGCGTGGTGTGGTGCGGTGCATTTTAGCGCGTTTTGTTTTGGCGGCGTTGGTGCATGCATGTGTCTGGGGAAAGGGAGGGGTTTGGTTGCTCGTTCCTTCGTTCCTTCGTTCATTTGTTTGCTCGTTTGTTCATGTGTCTTTTTTGGTTGGAGCGGTAGGAGCAACATATATGTAGAGGATTGGCGCTCAGGGAGGCGGTGGTTGCGGGGGTATTTTGCTGTTTCATCTGCGGGGTTGGTTGTTATATTTGTTGTCTGCTGCTCTCCTTGTCTGCCTGCCTGGCCTGTACTATCTCATCTGTCTGTTTGTCTGTCTGTTGTTTATCTGTCTGTCTAAATCCGTATGCATATTGATTGTCTGAATCGGTCTTATTTGCCCAGTCTAAATAGGGCAGTAGCAGCAGTGGTCGTCGTGATATCGTACATACAAAGTCTAGCGCCGTCGAGCATGCGCAGGCAGGTACATCGGTACCTAGGCTGGCTCCTCCCTCCTCCCTCCTCTAGTCTTCCCCCACCCCCTACACCAACCTCAACTGGAACCCCGCGCCACCCTCGACCCTCCCACTAAAAATCCCACTAAAATCGACCTCTCCGCCCATCTGGCCGCGCAAATCAGGCGCGTCCCCCCTCCTCGGCGCCGACGGGCTCGCCACGCGCCGCCGCTTCTCCTGCCCCGCCTTGCTGGGGAACGTGGGGAACATGGCCGCGGCCTTGGGGCGCGGCGCCTCGGCGAAGTAGGGGTGGGCGAGGACGGCGCTGGCGGCAGGCCGCTGCGCCGGGTCGAGCGTTAGGAGCTGTGTTAGTAGGTTTGCGCCGGATGTTGTGAGGAGGGGGAAGCGTGCGCGGAGGATGGAGCCCGTGGTTTGGGCTTGTGGTGTGGGCGGGAGGCGGAGGGAGCGCGCGTTGGGGAGGCGGCGGAAGGAGGGCCAGGTTGCGGTGGTGGGGATGCCGCAGAGCTCGAAGATCTGGGGTGCGGTGGGTGGTTAGTGGGGTTGTGTGTGTAGATGGGTTGTTTGGGGCGTACCTTGGACAGCTCGTCGACTTCGTTTTTGCCTGGCAGTAGCGGCTCTTTGGCTAGTAGCTCGCCGAAGATGCATCCCACGCTCCACATGTCGACGGCGCGGCCGTACTCGGTCGCGCCCAGCAGCAGCTCGGGCGCGCGGTACCACAGCGTCACGACCAGCTGCGTCATGTCGGGCGGCGGGGGGTCGCCGAAGTAGCGCGCCATGCCGAAGTCTGCAATCTTGATCTCGCCGCGGTTGTTCATGAGGATGTTTGAGGTTTTGAGGTCGCGCTGCTTGGGGTTAGACAGACGGGCGAAAGAGGCAGAGAGAGGCGTACATGGAGGATCCAGTGGTCGTGCAGGTACGAGACGGCGGATGTGAGCTGCAGCATGAGGGTTTTGACCTCGCTGGGCAGAAAGGGCTCGGCCATGTCCTCCTGCAGCGTCTTGAGGTCGTGCTCGACAAAGTCCATGACGAGGAAGACGTCGTTGAGGGCGTCGCCGACGACGACCTCGCGCAGCCCCACGACGTGCCGGTGCCGCGCCTCGGTGAGCGTCTGGATCTCGCGCAGCGCCGTGACCGGGAAGCCGTCGTTGAGGTTGTCCATCTTCAGCTTCTTCAGCGCCACCACCTCCCCCGTCGCCATGTCCCGCGCCCGCGACACCCATCCGTACGACCCCTCCTCGATGTGGTTCAGCCGCTCGTAGTTGTCCACTCGCCGGCTAGGGCCCCATTCGGGTGCCGCGAAGCGCAGCAGCTTGCGCGCCTGGCCCGGAGGCTTCTTCTCTTGTCCCTCGTCTGCCTCTTCATCGTCGGACAGCTTGCGGCGCTTGGCGGGGCGGGCGGCGGCGGCGGCTTCCTGGGCTTTTCTGGCGTCGTCGGCCTTGCGCTGCTTCTCGGCCTTTGCGCGCTTCTTCTCCTCCTTTTCGCGCTTGCGCTGGGCGTCGGCGGCGGCGTCGTCTTCGTCGTCGGCCCAGCGAGACTTTGCGCCGGCCATGTTGGTGCGTGGGTGGTGGTGGAGGTGTCTTTCGGAGAGCGGGAGCGAGAGAGCTTCGGCGGAGCTCGGCCAAGCTCAGCAAGCAAGCAACTTCGACAACGACAATAATTATGCGCGCCTGCGTGAGGCTGCTCTACCGACCCGACCGAGCTGGTTGGAAGAAGCCCACTCTCCCCAAGCCTCCTATCACAGGCCGTGCTGCCGTTCTAAAAGCTAACAATGAACCTCCGCCCGCGAAACAGTGGTCGACGCCGCTGGCGCAGCACTTGACCAGAGTCATCAACGTATGCGCCGCCCGGCTCGCGCGCGCCCGCAATGCCTGCTGACTGCTTCCTAGACGACAGGTCCCGTCTCCGTCGCGGCGTACATGCGCCAATGCCTCACGTCCGAGAGTGGCGGCTACTACACGCGCCAGACCAAGGCCGGCGGCGACCAGTTCGGCCAGAAGGGCGACTTCGTCACGTCGCCCGAGATCTCACAAATCTTCGGCGAGCTCGTCGGCCTGTGGGTCGTCGCCGAATGGATTGCGCAGGGCAGAAAGCGCGAGGGTGTGCAGCTGATTGAGGCAGGGCCTGGCAGAGGCACGCTGATGGACGACATGCTCCGGGTAGGTCTGCTGCGATACTCTATGAGACTTTCACTGACGGCGGAGCAGACCATTCGTAACTTCAAAGCCTTGGAGAATGCCATTGAGACTATCTTCATGGTCGAGGCTAGCCAGTCGCTCCGTAAATCCCAGCACAAGCTGCTGTGTGGTGACGCTCCTTTGAAAAAGAACGAAATCGGCTTCGAGAGCAAGAGCAAATACTCCAACACACGCATTGTCTGGGTCGAGGACATCCGCTTCGTTGAGAAAGGTAAACTGCACCTCCTGCCGCTGTCCCTGAAACCACCAGCTCACCCCCGCCAGACCCAAGCAAGACGCCCTTCATCATCGCCCACGAATTCTTCGACGCGCTGCCCATCCACATCTTCGAGAGCGTAGCGCCAACCTCAGAGAAAGAGGCCGCACAACCCAGCGTAGCCGATCCCAACGAAAAGGCGCTTCCGGACCTCGACGAGCCGGAACCCATCATCGAAGCACTCAAGCAGCAGCGCGAGCGCTTCTCCAAGCAGCACGACTGGCGCGAATTCGTCGTGTCGCCGGCGCCGCCCCGGTCCACGCACCAGAGCCTCAACACCCCCGAGGTGCTGCGCTTCACCAGCGCGGTGCCGGAATTCCAGCTCACGCTGTCCAAGGCCCCAACGCCGCACAGTCTGTACCTCCCGCTCACGTCGCCGCGCTACAAGGCGCTGCAGGGCACGCCGGGCGCCGTCATCGAAATCTCGCCCGAGAGCAGAGCCATCGCCGCAGACTTTGCCGTGCGCATTGGCGGTGCGCCGGCGCCCGCACCCCCCGCCTCGTCCACGGACAAGGACGCCGCGCCCACGCCTCCGCCCTCCTCCGTCGACGACGCCCCCTCCACCAAGCCCAACCCCTCCGGCGCAGCTCTCATCCTCGACTACGGCCCCGCAGACACAATCCCGTGCAACACACTGCGGGGCATCCGAGCGCACCGCGCCGTTTCCCCCTTCAGCAGCGCGGGCGCCGTCGACCTCAGCGCCGACGTCGACTTCCTCGCTCTAGCGGAGGCGGCGCTCGACGCGTCCCCCGGCGTCGAGGTGCACGGGCCCGTCGAGCAGGCGCGCTTTCTTGGGCTGATGGGCGTGCGCGAGCGGGCTGAGATGCTGGTGCGCAAGGCTGAGAAGGCTGGGGTCGCTGCTGCTGGGGATTGGGCTAGGGACGAGGCGAGAGAGGTCAAGGAGAGGATTGAGGGCGGGTGGAGGCGCTTGGTTGCTACGGGCCCGAATGGCATGGGCAGGCTGTATAAGGCGCTGGCTATTGTGCCGTATGTGCCTGAGAAGCCGGGACGAAGGCCTGTGGGGTTTGGTGGGGATGTTAGTGTTTAGGTGGGTAGGCCAGGTACGTGGGTGGGGTGGAGGTTGTAGGTATAGGTATGAATGTGCGTGTGGGATATAGATAGAGTGGGACTGGGAAAAAAGGTAAGTAAGTAGGCTAGTCTGAAAAATGTGTATGCTGTATATTTCTTCTCTCCTATCCTATGTAAGAGTATTCTTATCAAACATCACTCTTTTCTTTTCCATTCCTGTCCTGTCCACGTTTAGAAAACGTCAACACGGCTCAACCGCCGCGGAACCAGCCAGCCAGCCAGCCAGCCAGCCAGTCAGCCAGACACTCAAGCATCCAGACTACCCTGACTGACTGACCCACGGACTGACTGACTGACTGACTGACTGACCAACAGACCAGCAACAGCAGGCAGCCCAATCCAGTCCAGACCAGACCAGACCAGACCAGAGCACCGCCCACCTAGCTACCACGAAAACCCAACCACCAAAACACAACACCAGCTAGACACCACCCAGCACGCCAGCTGCGCCGCACCGCATCGGCCATGCATGGCATAGCATACGAACATACGAACATGCGCACCGCGCACGCCTCTATAAGTTACTCACTCACACAAACTCACTCACTGACCCACTCCCTCAACTCGCTCGCTCAATTCACTCGCTCACTCAGCTCGCCTACCCACCCGACCGACCAACCGTCTAGAACATTAGATATATATTCCCTCCTGACAATCCTCGCCCCGATGCCCCCTATCCCTATCCCTATCCCTATTTCTATCCCTGTGCTATCCCTATTTCTGTCCCTATCCCGTACCTACCTGTCCAGCACACCCGCACACGCACAAACACGCGCACGCACGCACGCACGCACGCACGCACATACATACATGGACAGCCACTGACACCTACACATCTCAGACACTTACACAAACACGGCACGCACGCACGCACGCACGCGCGAGTCCGCCACAAGCCTCGCCTATCGCGCCTCGTTCCTGCCCGCGAGTGAGCGAGGGAGAGTGCATAGGTAGAGACGCAGTAGTTTTTCTTTTCCCTCGCCTCGCTCTTACCTAGGTAGGTTTTGCTTTTCCCGCTCCTAGCCCGCGCGGCGGCGCCCAGTGCCGCCTCGCAATAAACACCCACATACACACAGACGTACTTTTTCTTTTCCCGTCGTCCGCGCACCTTCCCGCTCTATCCATGCTTTTCGCGCCCCCGTCCGTCGGTCGCCTCGCAATACTTCTGTGCTTCTGTACTTCTGTCCTTCTGTACGTATGTACGTATGTACGTATGTACTGTATGTATGCGCGTACGCACAGGCACGCACGCATGCATACACGCACGCACATGCGCGTTCGTTTTTCGCTGCCGTGCTGTTTATTGACTTCCCGCCTCAGCGGGCCAGCGAGCAGCGCGATACCGATTCTCACGTCGGCGGGTGTGCGTCGCCTCGCGTCCTATCCATGGGGTTGCGCTGTGTTGTGTTGTGTTGTGTTGTGTTGAGGGCGCGGGTGGCTGCGCGCAGCTGTAGGTGGTGTTGAGATATATGGAGCATGGGCTTGTTTTGTGAGGCTGGCTGGCTGGCTGGATGAGACAGCACTCGCACTCGCAATCGCAAGAGCATGCGGACAGATGGGTCAGTCGTGAGGAGTGAGGACCGCTGCCCTTGTCGGTGCTGCGCTCCGCGTAGCTGCGTATGCTCGCTCGCTGTGTTGTACTACATACGTACCCAGATACGTAGCCCTGGTACAAGGGCACATAGGTACGCAGGTCTGACGGCTAGCGCGACGACAGCCCTACCATAATGATGAGAAAAAAGATAATCGAAAGCCTCAATTTGACAGCCCCAGCGTCGTACGAGCCGCAGCTTATTGTAATTACGAGATCGTCGCTTTATGTTGTTTAGGCGCCCATGCAGCCTAAGGTACCGTACCTAACCAACTCGGTTCCCTGAGGGCTAGTATGAGTGGTTATGCACCACCACCTATCGATGACAGATTAGGAGAGAAAAGGGACCCGCAAGCTAGGGCCTGAGGGTTCTGTGCGTTCGTTTTTGGAATGAATGTCTGACCCCAGACGCCACTATCACAGCGTGCGCGCGCCCCCCCCACGGTCATCTACAACCGACCTAGCCGACCTTATAGAGGCGACCAGTATCGCAGTTAGCAATTTCAGCAGCGCGCACAGAGCCGCCTCGTACTGTAGGTGCGCCGCCACAGCGACATCATTCTGCCCCACGACGTGGCCCCAACTCCTACGCTAGGACGCTCCGTTTTCCGGGGAAATGAGCGCCTCGTGAAAAAGCCCCAACGCGAGCTCCCTAGCGCGTGTGCACGTACTTCTCCTCACCTTGGAGAGATTGGCTTGTCTATCAGGGACACCCTGCGCGGTGGGGGCCTGCGATTGTGCTATGAGCCTGTAGTGGTGTGGACTTGTTGGTGTTGCTTTGGGCCGGCTTCTCGAGTCGTGGGCTGCTTGCCTCTCTTCGTCGCTACGCCCAATGGCAGGGCTGTCGTCGCCTGCGATCAGGGTGCTGCCGGCGCAAACGCAGTTCCATTCCATTGGGATGTGATTTGTATAATGATCTTGCTGCGAGGTCGGATGGTCCTCTACCCATGTCGCCAATCACCACCACCACAACAACAACACCACGATGGCACCACGACGATACCACTCGACGGGCAGACTTGTTCCCGACGGATTGGACGGAGGTCATTCGCATGGACCGAGCGGCAGCGGGCTAAAAGCGGCTACGGCGGCAGGTACGGGAGGCCTCGGTGGTGGTGAACAACAACGACTCCGGGGAGATAGGTGACTTCTCGGGCAGCGACGCTTGAAATGGAGATGTTCACGGCGCACGGCGCGCGCGACACGAGAGAAGGGCATACGAAAGACGACGGGGCCATGTGATGGTACGGTGCTACTTTTAGCTCTCTGCTCGGAGATTAACCAGCACTCCGCCTGCCCTTCTCAGCCGCGCGCGGGACGAAACGGGCAGTCGGAGAGCGCACGCCCCCAGGGGCAGCGGTACGCATACGACAAGGTGGGAAGGAACGGAAGGATTTGCTGCCGGTAATATTGCCTAGTTGGCAGGGCCGAAAATAGGCAACCTTGCTGCTGCTGCGGCTCAATAGAGTAGCAGTGCATTCCTCCTCGTCCTTGTCACGGCCCCGAGAGGTCAGCTCACCGCTCTGGGCTTAGCCCGCCCGCGTGGGTGCAAGTGCAAACCCTACCGTCGCGTGTCGACAGGCAGGGCGGCGCTCCGGTGCGCGGGAGACGAAGCAGATCAGCTCACGTTTCGGGCGCGCAGTGCGACGTGCCGTGGGTTGGGGCTTGCCCTGCTTCACCGCTGACGGCAAGGCCGGGGGGGGGGGTGTAGTCGAGTAGTACGCGCGACAGGTACGGGCGCGAGATATGGATTGGTGCAGCATAGCATATGCGCAATCTGGGGGCAGCATTTCTATTGACTGACCGTTTTGGGCTTGAGGAGTCACCATGCGCCATGGGTCGGTGATAGGATAGTCATCAATAATGGAGCGCCATGTGATGGGTGACGATGATGCATATGCGTTTCATCGAGAGGGACAGGCTTTTTGTCAGCTTGGGCGAGGTTGTAAGCAGCCCTACGAGCCGAGAGTCTGGTGGAAGTCTGGGGTTGCAGCACGTCAGCGAGCATGGTCTCGAGTGGGCGTAGTGGACGTGACGCCATGCGCTGCATAAGCAAACACCGGATCGGCTGGCGAATGCGAGAAAGCGGAAAAAGCTCAGTTGCGGATCGACAGCGGGGCGGTCGAGCAAGCTTTCCGCTCGCACGGCAGGAACAGGCATTTCTCGCCGGCGGTTCCTTTGTGCCTCCGCTATCTCCGAGTTTGTTGGTCCGCATCCGGTGTGAGTCAGGAATGCTGTGGCTTGAGGTTGCTTGGGCTGACGGGGAATGCCAGGCAGCAGACCAGCGAAGCAGCGAGCAACGAGTAATAGGATGGTGATGGTGTTTGACTGTTGGAAGATGGAGGATGTTGCGAGCATGGACAACGCGTTGCAGACAGATTGGCTGCCCCGACAGCTTGGCGCAGGTTTACGTACGGCCGGGCACCGGGTGCTTGTGTAAGCGGATTCGTTACAAGAGAAACACCGGCGTTTAGCTTTGCGCCGACCGACCGCCCGTGCGCGTCGCATTGTTCGGCTCCGACCCTAGCGCCCCTCAGCCCTCTAGCATAGCGGTGTGCAAGGGTTCGCAGCACCGGTAAAGCCGTGACCCGGCCTAAAGTCCATGATTGTGCGAGCGACACCTGTCTCGCGCTTCTAGCAGCCCCATGGCATAAGAATACCGCCTGGCCCACCCTCCTCTCGTCCGTCAACATTCAATCGCCTTCACACACACACACACACACACACACACACACACACTACTACCACAATATCTACATCACCATCACCAAATACATCATCCATAACCCTCTCGCCCGGTCTTGCCTTCCGCCCTCTCACCGCCCGCGGCAATAAACGTACGCTCCAGTCATATCCCTTTCCGACTCGCAGCCACTGACTCACGAATCAGGCCCCACCAAAACACTTATATCTCTTCGCCATGCCTTCGCATCTTCGCCTGCAATCAGACTTTGAGCCCTTTTCGGCTGAGACCACTCGCACATACTTCCCTTCTTCGCCTTCCGCACCGCCTGCCAAGAAACAAAAGATGTCGCTCTCGCAGACCTACTACATCGCCGCCTCGGCCCGCTCAAAGCTCACCAGCGAGGCCCAGAAGAACGACCACGACCTGAGGCTGCTCGTCGGCCACGCCAACCTTCTCGACTCCCTCATGCTCGAGCTTGCCGATGCCGAGCGTGAGCAAGAGGCCTGGTTCAACCAGTCCGTCAAGCGTGCCTCCAAGACCGAGGAGAGGCATATCAAGTGGGTCGACACCATTGTCGAGGAGGCCATGGAAGACGACGACTCCGACCTTTCCGACGGCGACTCCGACTCCGATGTCGACGAGGAGGAGTTCGACATGATCCCCCCTCTCCGCCGGATACCCTCGCCGCCCGTCCAGATTACCACCACCGAGCTTGACGACGAGGATGATGAGGAGGATGAGGAGGATGACTCCGACGACGAGTACTACGAGGATGAGGAGTTTGACGATGCGCACGCCCTCACCCGCTCGCCCTCGCAACAACAGCCGCCAGAGCTCGTCCATGAAGACGACTCAGAATCCGATGATGATGTAACGCCACCCACCACTCCGCCTCAAGCTACCATGGAGTACAGCGAGAAGGAGCGGAAAGCAATCGCCTCGTCAACCTACTACAATCAAAAGCAAACGCCATTGTCGCCTCCAGAACAGGCCGCCTTCATCCAGGATGGCTACTTCATCCCCCAGAGGAATACGCCGATGATCGCATCGTGCTAGGCGCGAAGCCATCTCTTCATTTCATCTTTCTTTTCACGGCGGAATGACTTTGAGCGAAACATTTATCGTCATCATCATCATCATCATCACATCACCATCATCATCAGCATTTAGCATGGAGTTTGACGGCGTTTCATCGATACCTATTTCTTATGTCCTGGGAGGAGTCAATTGCGCGATGCACATGCCGCGCTTGACATGTTTGGATTGGAGGCCCCTGCTAGAGACGGGGGCGCGCATGAGGAACGGACGGAGCTACGGTTCTCCCTGCTCTGGGGCACACGGTTGAGACCCTGCTCGCACAGCTAGTTACTCTCCACCCATAGAAATCAAATCAAGATCACACATACACACAACCAAGCAATTTACATGGTACTTTGGTACGCGTGCACCCCCTCGCGAAGCCGTCACCGGACCCCCTCGCGGGGCGTCTTGTTTCGCGCAGGCGCAGCGATTACGCAGACGCCGCGCGCGGCACGCCAGCATGTGATGGGCCATCTGACACGGGAGCAGCGCGTCTCCCGCACGCGCCTAGGCTTTGACGTCGCACAGCGTCAGTCGGGCGGTGGCAGCCGAGCAGGCCGAGCCCTGCCCACGACCGCATATTCCGAACGAGGTAAGAAGCGCAGGCAGCAGGCAGCAGCAACGAACAGGCACAGCTGACCAACATCTACCTACCTGAAGACCAAGTACCTAGTTCGGCCGGCGACATCATCATCAGCATCATCAGTAGCCGCAGCATATCGGCGTCCAACGCACGCACGCATACGCACACGCACTCGCACAACACACAGCGACAACGACGACGATGACTTCTCTCCACTCTCAGCCCCAGCCGCCTGGGTCGCACCCGTCGCCCTCCACACTGCAGCCCCCCTCCCGCTCCGCATTTTCCGCATCATCGACAAGCTCAAACCCAAGCCCCATGCGCATGCGCTTATCATCACGGCGCTCAGCTGGCCATGGTGGAGGTGGAGGTGGTGGAGGAATCGTCGCAAGCCATTTCCGCCCGCTTCCAGCCGGCGCAGCCAACAGCAGCAACAGCAGCAAGCAGCAATCAGCAGCCCTGAGGCTTGGCGTGGGGCTGCTGGCATGCCCGCGCGGGTGCCGATCGTCGTCGCTTTTGCGTTGCCTTTTTGCACAGACATTTTCGGCTCGCGCGGCTCCCGAGCCCGCCCCGAGTCCTTGGTCGCGAGCAGGGCAGAAATCCACGCAAGGAACCTTTAGAGTTTTTTTTATACCTAAAACTCGCGCCCGAGGTCGTTTAGTATATTACTTCCACATAGCATCACCCTGTTGCTCGCAGTATTGCCTCGACAGGGTGTGAGGGGCGTTTGGGCCCTGGCTCTGGAATGATGGGGGATTGCCGCTCTATGCCGATGCGCGCCGAAAAGGGAAAATGATGGATGCCACAGGAAGCGGCGGGAAATTTCTCACTCGCTGTTTTGTTTGCTGCTAACTTATCTGATGAGTGCCAGAGTGCTGCTCTCTGTAATCTGCATGCCGGAGAGCCAGCGAACCGAGCGATCGCCGTCGCCGCCGGATGGATTGTCGTCGACTGCCAATCCATAATCCACATGGTCTCGCATCGCCGCCTCACATTCATTATTGCCGGCTCGACGAATTTTTTTCCGTCCTCGCCTGCCAGTCATTATTACTCATCTGCGAGGCAGACCCGCGGTGTTTTCGCCCATAATTCGCTCGCCATCACATAAAGTAGTACGCAGATATGCAGCGATCATTCCGGCCGAAGCAGCCGCAGGGAAAAGAAAAAACTCATGATCTAGTCCGAGTCGGACTTTAGGTGCCTACGCCTAACCACCAGACAAGCACTCGCTGCCTCGGCACAGCCAGCGGCGGCAACGGCGAAAAAAGATAAACGACCCTGGCCCGCAAGATTTGGTCTGAGGTGGTACGACGCACGATATTTCAGGGAGAGCGACGGACGGAGGACGGCCAGATGAGCAGAGACTGAGAGTCGAAGCCCCACGGGCAATGCGTGCGTGCATGCGTGCATGCATGCATGCTTGCATATTGTATGCACACCGAGCCAGGAGTAGGGTAGCGCGCTTTCTCCCTCACTTTCCCTCTAGGCTTTCATTCACCAATTCCCTTTCAGCCGCAAGATGCGCTGGCCGTTTGAGCGAGCAAGCAAGCAGGCAGCCCCATCAAGCCGCAAATCTCGCGGCAATCTCTCTGGCGATGCGCGCGGGCCGCGCTGGCGTCCGTGAGCTGCGTGGATGGATCTGGAGATTTGACGTTATTTGAGCGTTTGGGAGGCCGCTTTCGCCGCCCGCCGGGATGGCCGCCGCCGCTGCTGCTGGCTGCTGCCGTCGTCGATGTGATTCTTTGTGCGCGGTGCGAGTTTCAGATCCGTGTGTCTCGGGTGCTAATCTCAAACTAATGGGCGCGCGTGGGTTTGTTGGCGCAGAACCTGCTGGTCGTCTTGAGAATGTGCCCCTCCCCGCTCTGCCTTACCAAGCAAGCATGCACTCACTGCCTGCCTGCCTGCCTGCTCACCTGCTTGCTTGCTCGGCCACAAGGCCGTAAGGCCACGAGCACAGGGGCCGTCTACCTATTAGGCACGCAGGCATGTGTCTGCCTAAACTGAAATACAGCCCTCGCAAAGCGCGTACCCGCCTCCCAAGATCCCTCGAGAGACATCAGTCAGTCAGTCAGTCAGTCAGTCAGTCAGTCAGTCAGTCACGACGCAGGCAGCGCGCAGCCGCGTATTCGTACAACACAGACACACAGACGGCAATCTACAACAAAGCGACCGTTCGCAGCCCTGCCCTCGCAATCGTCGGGGCTCGTGCACCTATCCTTTGCCCTTCCCCTTGGGCGCACAGGCCGCACCTTGCCGTGCGACCCGTTCGCGCCAAGCCCGCAAAAATCAAAAAACCAAAAACCACAAAACGATCCGCACGCAGATCAGCGCGCGCGCCCGCTTTAGGCGTAATGTTTCGCGGGGCGGACGCGGCAAAGCGTGAGTCGTCGCCCGCGCCGGTTGGCCGGCCGCCCGGCCGCCCGGCCGCGCGCTGATTGGAGCTGTGGCGCTAGGTCCAAGGTTCTCTCTCCATCATCTCGGGCTTCGGGTTTGCAGTGCGGCCGGCTGGCCGGTGGTGCCGGGCGAGGGTTCCCTCTTCAAAGCTTCTTTGTTGCGTGGCTGACGGGCTCGGGCGAACTGGTGCCCGCCCGTCAAAGGGGGCGCCCTGGCGCTTCCATCCATCCATCCAGCCATCCATCCCGCCATGGGGCCGTGGGGGGAATGGTTACGTAGGGCAGTTTTGTGCCTGGGCGCCGGGACGAGTGCCGTCAAAAGCGCCACGCCCCCGCTGTCATGGAGCGTCGTGGTGGCTTCCATGTGCCACGATGGCTTTGGACAGGGTTCTTCTTTTTTTTTGCGGGTGCTCGGCTTGTTTTTTGCTGGAGCCAAGCAAGAGTCAAGAAGTGCCGGACAGAACAAGGACGACGCGACGCCTGCGGCTGCGCCGTCGCTGCCCGCGTTGCAAAGATGACATCGTTTGCCGCCTCGCGACGACGTAACCTGGAGGGCGGCGACGCGGTCTCGTCCCGGCGAGAGGATGATGAATAATGCACCAGAGCGGGCTTGCGGGCTCTCTCTCGTTTCATGGAAGGTTGAAACTTCCGGGGCTGCCGAAGCGGGCTTTTTGGGCGGCCCTCCTGCTCGCTACCTAACTAACTCTTTTGCCCTTGAGCTTGATTTGCCCAACTGATGATGAGTGACGCGATCAGGGTCTGCGAGGGCCTGGCTGGCTGCACGATCGCGTGCGTGAGCCGGTTAGGGCTTAGGCTTTATTATTTTTTACCTCGAGTACCTGGCCCGCCGGCAATAGGGTATTAGTACGCGTGCCTGGAGTAGGTAATGCACGTATCGTTGATAGGTAGCGAGGGGTGCTGACTCCCACTGACTGGATGAAACTCGATGATGCATGCATCGCCGCCGCCGCCGACGAGGAGAAGCGCATGCACGATCGCGCGCCGCGCTTTTGTGCACGCTCGCATAACGCAGCTAGCTAGCTAGCTACTACATACGGCAGCTATTGGACTAGAGTAGGTGCCCTAGCAGCTAGAGATAGATAGGTACTCGTACTCAGCTGCCGGGCGCGTCGAGCAATGGTAGGGTGGGAGGCGCTGCGCAGGCGGCTCCTCCAGGGCGCCTTACCTAAGGTTGTTTGCGCGCGACGATCATCCGCTGCGTTTCGCTGGCCCTCTTCCACTCGTCGGACTCGCGGCCTCGCGCGCTCCTTCAGCTGCTAAAATAGCTTACCGGCCTGTCTGTCGTGCCTAGCTAGGATGCTTGCCTGCTTGCCTGCTTGCCTGCCTGCCTGCCTGTCCCAGGCTCCCAGCTCCGTTGACGGTCGGGGTGCGGAGGGGCCGCGCTGATGGCTGATGCGGGGGAGGGCTAGAGTAGTTCTCATAGGAGAGGGGAGGAGAAGAGAGGAGAGGAGAGGGGAAGGCCAGCCAGCCAGCCGGACAACAGTAGGGCAATTTTTTTCTGCCAGCAGAAAGCACTAGGAGTAAGGTAGGCGGGGGAAACGGCTGACCTGCCCTGGACTGCAAACAGCCCCATTCCCCCCTGAGAATCACTCGCTGCTCGCTGCTGATCCGAAGGCGCAATTGCGACGACTTTCAAGATTTCGGGCGGCCGTGCGAGACCCCGCCGGAGCCCCAGACCGGTGAGGCTCGGATGCGGCGCCGCGCTGCTCAGATGGATGCAAGATGGCTCGTGAGTACTAGGTAGGTATTGTACGACCAACTACGTGCAGTGTCGCAAGAATAGTCACCGCCCTCTGCTCACATGCATGCTTGGCCGTGGCACGGCATGCCAGGCACTCCCGCGTGTGCCTGGTGCTCGTGAGCACGGAGCTTGCTCCTGTTCCTTCGATTCCTCATCCGGCCCGCGACTACCCGCCAGATCCGCGCGGGGAATTTCGCCCGTGCGTGGTTTAAGCATAGCAATCCCGTCCAGAACCAGCTGCAATAACGCCGCCATATTATTGCTCCTCTCAGCTGATCGTGCCCATCTACCTACCTCGTCATCGTCATCATCATCCTCCTCCTCCTCCCCCCACTACTGCGTGCTCCATACGACGACTATCCCCCAAGCGCGGTATTGTACGTAGCCCAAATTTCCGTGCCTTGGTTTTCCTCCTCCTCCTCCACCACCACTACAACCCCCCCACCAGGCACCCACTCGCGCACACGCAGACACAACCACTGAAGCACCCACGGCTGCGGCTCAGGGGCGCGCCTTAGTTAGCCTCGCCGATGACGGCGCCGATCGCCTGTCTCCGTCTAGACAGTTGTCACGGACAGCGCACCGCGCCTCCACCAACCAACACGATGGCCTTCGTCACCTCTCTGTCCACCTAGCCAGCTACTGACTAGTCCCGTCCCGTCCGGACTGCCCGATACCCGCTCCTCCCGCTACTGCACCCGTAAGGCCACGCGCCAGGCCCATGCCTCTCCAACTGCAATCTGCATGCCATTACCCACTGGCACTAGCCGTAACTACTGCTGTTGTTGTTGTTGTCTGTGTCCCTTTTTTTTTTTCCTGCTTGCTTCCCGCAGCTGCTGCGCCACGATCGCCCAGACCCCCAGACGCAGGGCAAGACCCGCGGAGAAAAAGCATTCGCGCCCAACCACGCGCGCAACTGCACGCAAGCAAGAAAAAAAAAAAAGGCCTTACCTACGGCCTACCCCGGCAGCCACGGCGATCGCGTGGGGCACTCGCAATCTACTCTGCACGCTGGCAACGGCGTCGGCGTGGCTAACTACTTCGCAAGCAAGCAAGCAGCCAAACGTCGAGCAGCTCAGCTCAGCTGCAGAGAGTAAGAGACCCAAGTAGCGAACCACGAACCTGCCTACGGCAGTCCAGCGCAGTCCGGCCAGACTACCTAGCTAGCCAGCGCGCACAGGCGGCAGCCGCACCCGGCCCGGCCGTTGCTAAAGAGCATGCCCGGAGGCGCGACGTGCGACTCTGGCGGCGGGGCACGTCTGCGTGCCTGGGCGTGGGCTGCGTCAGGTGCGCCCGGCGGGCCGTGGACCTACCACGTCGTGCGCGCGCTAGAGCGGGACGGGCTGAGTGCGCGTCGTAGGGTACGGATTATGGAGACTCGGATGGGGCCCGAGCCTTGGGAGTGGGCGCATTGCTCGCTCTGTCTGAGTCTCTCGACCTGGTCTCTCGTGCTTTTTTGGCGCACTGGGACTGGGAGGATCGGAAGCCTAGCCCCCCCGGCTGGCTGATCAGGGGTGCGTGCGGCGTGTTGGTGCGAGCCGCTTGCTGCGTATGGAGGTAGGTGCCTATGTAGGTGGGCTTTTTTTGCGCTGGTGCCCCGTTTGTTACAACGCAACGCCGTGTTGCTGTTTGTTACGCTTGCCTGTGGCTGTATCTTCGCGACTTGCTGGTTTGGGCGCTGCTGGGTAGGTACCTAGGTTGTTTGTTTGTTTGCTTACTTGCTTGCTGCGTGCTGCTTGCTTGCTTGTTGCTTGTTGCTAGGCTGTTGTTTGTTTGCGCCCGTTCGCGGGGCAACTGGCGGCTTCTTCGCGTTAGGCAGGCGCGTCTCTCCTGCTTTTGCTGCTACCTAGGTACCTACCTATAATATTACATCGCTGCTGCTGCGCGCTAACTGGCCTTGTACAATAGGCATGGCATGGCAGGGCAGGGCGTGGTAGGGGATGGGCTTATTGCGCGGTCGGGGTGCTGGGTGGGCTGTCCCAAAGCGCCTGGATTGGCATTGCGAACCACTGCGCTGATCTGCGCGGGGTCTTTGGGGTTGGGCGTGTGGAAGCGGTACGGGGTAGGTGGGTGGGTGGGCACTGGGTAGAGCGCGTGAGGGCGAGCTGATCTCTTGTTGTGTATTTCTGGATGTGGATTGGATGTGGATGTGGGTCTGGGTTGCTGTTGCTGTTGTATTGTATTGTATAATAGCTCTTTCTCTCTCTCTCTCTCTCTCTTTGGTGCGCTTGGATCAGCGGTCTTGGGGTTTGCGGATGCTTTGTTCGTGCTGGGCTGACGCTGATAGGAGGGGAGCCTGCTTGGTTGCTGGTGTTTGGGCTGTTTGGTCAAGAGAGAGGTAGGGTTAGTGTCTTATGGCTTTTCTTATAGATGCTGGAAAGGTTTCTTTGATCTCATTCTTCTCTTTCCCCTCCTTCTCCGTCTCTTTAATTAAGCTTATACCAGAATATCTATCTATCAAACGAGAAGCAGCCCCAACCCGCAATTGCTTGATCTAGCATTTTAAGAATAGAATATCTAATATATGCATTCATCCATCCATTTATTCATTCATCCATTTATTCATTCATCCATTCATCACTCATCCCGACGCGGACTTATCCAGAATGCCACAAACCACCAGTACTATCTATGGCAGATAACCTAGAGCTCCGCCCCCATTGCCCACGACCAAGACCTAGCGCTAGTGCTCTACCTAGACGCCAACCCTGTCGTCCTGTCGCACATGCTAGGAGTACTACAAGCACCTTTGTTTATGAGCCCGCGATCGCTACAATTTGGCGCTTCTGGATAAGGCCAACGCTTCGCCGTCGCAGAGGAACGGAACGGGTTGATGAGACGGCCTTTCTTGTTTGTTGCGACTTACGTGTTGTTCGTGGCTTTTGGAGGTCTGTCTATACCTTGGGCTATAAAGAGCGGTGCTCGATTGGCCTTCTGGATGAATGAGCTCGGGGGTTGTGGTCTATGGGCTGTGGTGTAAGGTGAACGTGTGCCTTTTCTGAGTGTGTTCTAGTAAGGAGGGCGGGCTTGGATTGGTTGCTGGGTTGTGGGGGTTTGGGCTCGTGGTAGGTGCTGTGGAGTGAGCTTTCTGAGGTTGGTTGCTGCGTGGTTGACGCCGTGTACGGAGTGTGAGCTTGCTGGTTTGCTATCTTTTTCTTGTCTGCTTGTCTGTTTGGTCTTTGGGGCGGTGGTTGGGTAAATGGGCTTTAGAGCCCTGCTGATAACTCGTTTCAAACTTTTGTTGCATACTCGCTCGGCTCTAAAGTTTATAAATCCTTACTGAAATTCTTTACCTTAGTTTACATCTTAACGGCAAGACGAAAGTAAGCAGCAAGAGCTGCAGCCGAAAAGAGAAACCGTCACTGACTGATTTTGTTTCTTAAACTCTCTAGTAGCTTTGGTTATATTTCTTTAAGTATATTGCATGCAGTTATAAGGTTAGAGAGCGGGTTCGCGTGTTTCTTAAGCTCTATTTGATAGTTTATGAGGCTCCGGATGATTTACGTACCCTTTCTAAGTATCTAAGACACTCCCTAACCAAGCACGGATATATAGGTAGAGTATCCTATAGAGGTATCAAAACAAAGAAATCCAAGGGTAGAAAGGTACTTATAATGATATAAATACATAAAACATCTGAGAGTAGAAAGTGTATCACATAATTTTACAGGAATTTTATCAAATAGTGTGGGCAAATTATCCAACGCCATTACATTACCAGCAGCAGCGACACCTGCGACCGCTGAATCAAGGATCGAAGAATATAACGCCGAATTGGTGAGCATGACAATGGAATGGCATCTGTATGTACTAGCTGCGCGTCCATTTCAATATTGGCATCTGGACAAAGCATACCTCTATATAATCCTGATCCTACGCTTTTCAAGCTTCTCGAAAAGCTCGAGAAGCCAATTCTTTTCTTCGCCAATGGTGCGATTGCCGTGAAATATGCCAACTCGTCTAAACTCGGATTCCCGCCCTGAAGGAAGTAAAAGCAAACCTCCATTCCATCTGGTATTCTGCAACGGCGAGAAAAACGATAAACTACCAAAAGTCGATACGGAACTTGACAGCACCATCATTTGTAGACCCTCCATTGGCCCCCCTGGTTTTAGGTCTACGAAATTATCTGGATCCACAAGATCGTCTGGTATTTCAAAGTCTAGGAAGCAACCGCCAATGTTGACGTTTTCCATCTTCATATGTACTTGGTTGCGTCTTCTTATGTAGGATTCGGACAACCCTAAGCGTGGTACAGGGCAGACTTTTGCGTCTAGTAAGATAAACCCCGCGTGAATCCGTCCAAAAGGGTTCATTCCGTCAACAGTCGTTTCAGCTGCAACTATATTGCATTCTGCAGAAACCTGTTGACTCGGTTCGTACCTCCATTTTACGAACCTGTCGTGACAAGCCCAACTCCATGATGGCGCGATGAACTTGGTGGGATGCATCACATCTGCCAGGTAGTCCTCGAGACTCAGGGGATTATCGTTATCCAGGTGCCAGTTCAAACCACGAATTAGATCCTCTTTCCATAAACCGGCGAGGTACTTGGCTCCTGTTCCTTCGGCCACCATTTTTGCGAGTGCAGAAATCGCCGGAAGCTTGTCCTCAACATGGGTGAGACGCCGGGAAGAATATTCAGAAGCATGGAGATACCAGACACGATCCAGTACATCCTCGATAGCTTCATCGGAGCCTTTGAGCGTTGCATCGATCCAGCTGCCATGTCTTTTCTCGATAAGTGCATCCTCTCTGAGGGTATAGGAACCACACTCGAGGTACATCAAATTGGGGTTGAAAACCAGTCTTCTTGTCGACATGAGACTTTCTTGTAAGGTCCAGCCACGACTTCCCCATCCAGTTGAGTTTCTGAAGAATTTTCTGTAACTGGACCTGTTATGAGCTCCGTAGTTGGGGAGACTCGATCGCATATCGCGTCGACGCCGCTGCAAAAAGCCATCATGACAAGAGTTACCAGTGGCGGCGCAGATAGTGACATCGGCGTAACGATAAGTATCGCACATTCTTGCCGACTCTTTTTCCCAGTCCTTGTGATCATCTTGAATGATGCACAAGGAATCAATCCACAAGTAGCGTACTCCAAGGGCTTGTGTGGCTGCAATGGCGTCGCGGAAGTTCTTGGGCAGATCATCTTTGGGGATTGCTTCCATCATTTGTGCAATGGAATTCTTCACTGTTTTCAACGGAGGTGCTGATGGATCACCCCAGCAGTGGCTTAATGCAACATACTTCCAAACACAGCCCTGCTCGACTGAAAGGTTGCCCTGAGGCGTGAGAACTAGTCGGGGACACTTGACCCCATCGTCGAGATCACCGATATCGACAAGCCGCGTCGGTAAGAGCGGTGGAAATTGCTCTGGGTGACAATCCCCTTTACAAGTAGCAACCCAACGACGGATAAGGGAGGCTCCTTCTTTGGAGAGAGCGTAGCTTGACGTAACAGGCTGACGTTTGATCGGCAAATGTGAAGCACTCGGCCCTAGAAATCTATCAGTACTGCTTCGCTTCACAGGGTTCAAGGATTTACCAGGCTCTGCACTAATGCCGAGACTGTATCGCTCGTCGTCTTCCAAATATGCAAGTTGCGTTGCTGACAAATTGTCACATCCGCTTTCGAAGTCGTTTCCCCATTCCTCCAAAGTTGAGCTCGTAGGCAGTCCGGGCCAAGTGTCCGTCACCTCGTAATTATAATCGATGTCGATACGCCACTCATCCTCCAGAACCTTTATACCTTGTTTGGGAATTTTAACTTCTGCGTCAGTCTTCCAGTCGTCGAATTGCAGCACTTCGAACCTTTCAGTGGGAGTCCCACCGGAAGTACCCTTGGATGGATCCGTCGCTCGGCTTGCACTTGTAGCATCATGTGATTGTTGCTCCATGCTTCTGATGGGTGGTTGCGTAGTTGTTGCGAGTGCTCAGTTGGGAAAGAGTTGTGGGTTGTGGTAGAAAAAATCAAACAGTCGACTTGAGGTATAGGTATTTACCCCGCTCGCAGAAAAAAAGCAAGGCTACAGCCTCACTGCGCCTTCGCCAAGTTCAGCCACCGACAAGGTTTGTGCAGACGCTTATCGGCCTATTGGGTTCAGAGCCATAATGGCCAGGGAGGCACTACCAAAGACACAGCAATATCCCCAGGCTGTGGCAACAGCATATTCGAGAAAGGCCATTGCTGCTCCGAAGGTCACAAACAGCAAACGACTTAGTGTGAATGACCATAATGTACTAACTATCCAGTTAGTCAAAGTTAGAATATGTCTTCGTGTCTCTTACAACAACTTTTTGCTCTTTGACAAACTTTGATCCGATACACCAAGAAGAGACTCTACTAAAAAGAAACCAGGAACTCAAGTACGATCGGGGAGAGCCTGGAAGCTAATGAACTTTCTTTTTGTTTTTGAAAGTATGTAAACGAGCCAGTTAATGGCGCGGGCGTTAGCGCGGCCCGCGGGGACCTTCGTTTCAACTTCAAAAGCTTATAGAGGAGTCAGTTAATAGGGAATCATTCAGTCACGTAGCATACGATAGTTTAAGTTTTACAGCGCCAGAATCATCTTGATTTTGATTCTATATAATTAGGCCGCCATTCTACTAGGGTGGTAGTACAATGGATCATTGACTACGCGGCGCTGTCTAGCAGAGTGCGGAACGGTCCAGTCGAAATTCAGTCGGTCCAATCTCGCCCAGGGTTATGAATAGTAAAAGACGAGTCGAATTGAATTAGGCACAAACCAAACCCGACTGTAGCGGACGAGTCAGCGACTGAATCGACCGCTTGGTGATAGAGAGCCATAGGTTATTGCGTGGTTTTGTGCTAAAACCGTGTTGTATTGCGTATAGTATTACGTAGCAGACGCGCGGCGGCAGCTGCTTATAGTATGCGCTTAGCCTAATGCGGTAATATCAGCATACTTTTGCGGATAACACCATGCCAAGGCCCTATAATACAGTCGAATTCAGCCCGACGAGGGTCCTTTCAGACCCTTACTAGTAGAGACTAAACCGTATCTAATTAGGAAACCGTCTATTCGGTCCAACTTAGTCGAGGGTTTAGTTGGACTGTTCCGCACTCTGCTGTCTAGAAGACATTTTCTTCGTTTTTGAAAGAATATAAACGATCCAGTTGATGGCGCCCGAATCATATTTGGCTTCTGATTCTAATTCAAATTTCTAGCCAGCTTGCTAGGGTGGTAATATAGCGGATCGTTGAACCGCCGACATTGACGCGGGGACCTTGCCCGCCATTCTGCTTGGATGATAATATAGCGGGCCGATGATCTTGCTGGGTTGACGCGGAGACCTTCGTTTCGTCTTTAAAAGTTTTGTTGAGGACACGAAGTACAGAGAGATGGTTGATTGATTAAGCAGCGAGCGTTGCTGGCGAAGAGATGAGGCAGCGCTGTTGACTAAGCGAGACTAAGCTACATCAGGCAAGAGAGCTCTGCCAGCATAACAGATGGTGATACAGCGGGTCGATGAATTGTCGGTGTTGGCGTAAGTGACTGAGATACTGCCTCTGCTAGTGGCAGTCTTGGTGCCGCCGAGGCCTGTTAGTGAGATGGGAGTGGGGAGACGCTAGTAGTCGCTGAAGGCGAACTTGGGCAAGCCAGTGAAGTGATCTTGGGCGCCCGAGTCGACTACCCAGTGCTTGGCGGGAGCGACCTTGCTGACAGTGCGTAAACTGGTGTTGTCAGTGTCGCTCTACGAATTCGATTTCAGTGCGCCAAGGCTTCCAGCGAGCAGGTCGCTTCTTGGGGTGAAGGTAGTAGCAGTCATCCTTGATGTGGCGACCTCCGTAGTGCTCGCAGCGACGACGCTTGTCAGCAGATGTCGCAGCTGCTACAAAATTTGTGTGAGAATCGGGCGATATGCGACGTGCTTCGTTAGCTGTTTGACTGAGGAGATGATTAAGGTTCGGCTCCTTGCCGTCTCGCTAGTCCTTCTAAATGTAAGAGACCTAGATTGGTAAGTCCTCGGCAACGTTATTGAGAAATATAGAGTAGATGAGGCGGTTGCCAAGAGAAAGCTTGACGTGGGCTATAGCGGCTATACCGTTGCGAAAGGCGGTTATATATTCGTTAATAGTGGTAAAGTTACTGCAGGTGAGCTTGAGAAAGGTGTTGATAATGTTGAAGTTATGGAGGAGGCACTTATTGTCGAATCGAGTGTAGAGGGCCTGCTAGAGCTTGTTAGGGTTCTTGTAGCGAAGGAAGTCGCGCTAAAAGGTAGAACCGATCTATGTAATGATAGAGGTCTTGGCGAAGAGGTACTCCTTCGTCGCGTTGTTTACCTTCTTAGGGTCGATCGTGTGGTTGATATTCTGAAGATATAGCTGATCCAGAACAAGATGCTTCCAGGTGGGCCAGTTCTCCTGCATGAGATGAGAGATGCGAAGATGTGAGTAGTCGTAGCCGCGCTCAGGCACCAACTGCTCCATGCCCGGTGTTGGCTTCGGACTTGACGTCAGACTTAGCCATGAGAAAGCGCGATTGCGACGCGACGCGATCAAAGGCGCGGCGAAGCCAGTGGCGCGAGGGAGGAACTGCTGATCAGTTGAAAGAGTGATGAATTAAGCGGCGCAGTGAGTCGCGCGAGGGCTCATAACCTGTTAGATCACGAAGCAGAGAAGAGAGTTGATTGTTGTTGTTGTTCGATCAACGAGCGCTGCTGCGAAGAGATGAGCAGCGCTACTAACTAAAGCGAAACTAGCCATAAGAGGCAAGCGCTAAAGTACATTAGGCAAGAGAGCTTTGCTTGCGCAACAAGATCTTTTCTTTCACCCATACCTAGGACTCGGGCTGGGAGCTGGGAAAGGAGTGCTCTATAGGGACTGCTCGTGTCGTTCTCTATCCTACTAGACACATTAATTGGGCACAGCAACATATGGGAATCATACAGTCACGTACCTAGCATACAAGTCAGATCAATAGTTTAAGTTTTTAAAGCGCCAGAATCATCTTTGATTTTTTTATTCTATTTATTTCCTAGCCGCTGGATGATAGTAAAGCGGATCAATAAACTGCCGGCGCTGCCGAGGAGACATTTTTTTCGTCTTCGACATTATATATACGAACCAGTTGATTATGTAAATCATGGTGCTAAGAAGCATGTTAGCAGGGTGCAATGAAGCTACCATTCCCCAAGCTTAACCAACTATCCAGAAGCCGCATCCAGGCCGCTCATTCCCGCGCTCCGACTGTCCATCGTGATGCTAAATACAAGAAGCCGCGAAGCGAAGCAAAGCCAATCGAGGCACCAAGCCACCGCGGGCGTCGATACCAGCGCGAAACGCACGTGCCGCCTACCTAACCAGGTAAGTAGGAAAAGCAAGCGCCAAGGTCAACAGCGAACGTGCTAACCCCATGTTCGGAGCAGAGCCTGCCTGCTGCGACGATAGGTATGCAGAAGCACGGCACAGGCATTGCGGCGTTCAGAGCGCGAGACGAGGCAAGGCGGGCTAGGCGTGGATACCGTATCGTGATGACGAGGCTGGCAGTGGCTGGGCCGTGGTTGGCGGGAATGGGGTATGTATATGTATGTGTATGTATAATGGTTGGGTGGTTGATGCCTCTTCGGATTTTTTTTAAATCGCTCGCTGGGATTATGGCCGCAGTGCGGGAGGAAACGGATGGGTATGACGATTGAAGGCCCAGCTTCATTCCAGGCACCGTGCGGAAGAGCGCGGCAACAAACGCTCCGCGTGGCTGCTTCGGCGACATAGGTCCATCATCAGCAGGCGGGCGGATCGGCGGCTCCGGAACCAGGCGCCCGCAGCAAGGACGGAAGGGAAGCACGCCGGCTCCTCAAGCAGGCAGAGTGACAGGGCAGGACAGGCAGGCAGGCAACCAGCTCAATACTTTGACGTCTCGCGCACCGACGCCAAAAACCACTTCGGGTCGTCCTCAACGACGGGATCGAGTCTCGAGAAGACATACGCCAGCTCGAGGGGCCTGGGCATAACGTGCGTGTCAAAAAAGTCGACGTCCAGGAACGGGAACGCGAGATTCGACGTCCAGCAGTCCGAGTAGATTTTCTTGTCGCCGAAGACGCGCCAGAACTTCTTGTAGAAGGTGGCGTTGTTGCGCCAGTTGCGCGCCTTGCGGTAGCTGTCTGGCGGAAGGCCGTAGTGCGCGGCGGCGCGGCCGCAGGTCGAGCGCGCGAAGACCAGGTCCGCGATCAGTCGCTCGTAGGAGCGCACGATGGCGTGGAAGCGCTTGTTCACTTGGCGCAGGCTGAGCACGCCGCTGCCCGCGTACGTCAGGATCTGGAGTTGCAGCTCGACGGGCAGTGATGCGAGTGAAGCTTTGCAGGGGGGTGCTGCCGCTGCGGGGGCGTCTGGATCTGTTGTTGCTGTTGCGGGCGCGAAAGACATGGCGGGCGGGCGGGTGTGCGCGATGCTGCTGCTGCTCCTGCTGCTGGTGCTGGTGCTCCCGCTTTCATGGCTGAGATGGAAGGGGAGGAGCCAGTTCAAGAGCGCCGTGTGCTGGCTGTAGGTAAGCTCTACATAAGAGGCGCTGGGCGACTCCGACGACCGGGCCCGTTGCTTCGTTGGTGATCGTCCTCCGGGCGGGCGTCATCCGTCACGTGGCTGCCGACTGGCGGACTGGGCGGGCTGGCGGGCTGCTTTGGGGTCCAGAATCCTTCTTGCGGCGTCGCATAGTCAGTACGCCCGCTTTTTCATGGCTGATAATGGGCTGCTGAATGTAAGCCTCGACTCGCGAGTGTTGTCAGCTCTAGGAGGCTGCGCTGCTTTGGACTCGGCGTTTGCTGACCATGCATACAGCCACTCTTCCGCAACCGGTATTTGATGGCCTCGGATCTTCTGTTCCGTGCTTCCCCGGCCTGATGGGACTCCTATTTTTACTCATGGCCAGCTATTCGGGATATAGGCTGTGCATGGTTAGCATGTTTTTCCGTCTCTGAGCATGAGCCGCATGAGGAAAATGGATGCACGGAAGACGATTGCGAACAAGCCGGCGAAGAAAAAGCAAAGCGGCGGCGCTGACTAAGGAGCAACTACCCAAACGGGCCGCCCCGGCTGCCGTCACTATAAGCATAAGCCCCAGCTGAGACAGCGCTGACCGACTATCTGCTTGGTCGCCGAACATACCCTGTACAATGCCGTCTAAACTTCGAAACTTCCTCCGCGCCCAAATCACGCCTCTTCTTCCCCGCCAACCTCGCCAATAACTCTGCCCCCCGTCCCCCTCACCAGCCCCTCAAACCGCGCCCGAACGCCCGCATCCCCCGCATTCTGCGCAACCAAACACGCGAGTGCGAGCCCGTTCTTCGCGTCCGGCGTCTGGGCATTGCTCTTGAGCGCCGTCTCCAGCACACCAAACAACAGCGCCGCATCGGCCCTTTCCTTGTCCTCCTTCGTGCCCTCAACCTCACCCTCGTCCTCCTCTCCCTCCTCCGCCTTCTCCTCCTTCTTCTTCTTCTCCTCTCTTCTTGCAACAACCCCCTCCCCAGCACCCGCCCCAGCACCCCCAAACACCACGCCCACGCAGTCCGCGCCCTCGCGGCTCGCCGCCATCAAGCTAAACCCGAACAGCGCCTCCGACCGTAGCGCCGGCACCTGCTCCTGCCGCGCCATCAGCGCCAGCGGCGTCGTTACGCCCGGCCAGCGCAGCAGCCGCGCCCACAGCTCCTGCGTCTCTGCCGATGCGCCGGGCGGGGCTTTGCGCAGTTCGCGGCAGAGCGAGACGAGCAGGCGGCCGACTTCGAAGGCCGTCTTGGTTTGGGAGGTTGTAGATAGAAGGGCGGGGATGAGGGCGTTGGGAGGGGAAGTGGCGGCGTTGGGGGTTGTGGTGGGGGAGGTGTTTGTAGAAGGAGGGGTAAGCTCAGAGGCGTCGTCGCCGTGCCGGATGACCGCGCCCGCGTTCTCAAACGAGTCGTTCACGAGACGGCGCAAGATGGCCGCGACCTCGAGGTCGAGCTCTGGCTGCTTGCGCGCGAGCAGTCTCGCGACAGCGGGGACAGCGCCGGCAGCAGCGACGGGAGCCGCATTGGCCCTGGGCTGGGCGAGGTGGCGCAGGAAGCCGGCGGCAAGGAACAGGAGCGTGCGGTCGTCGGTCGCGGCAGCGGGGTCTGTGGTCGCGGTGGCGAAAAGCTCGATCAGCGGGACGTGGTACGCGTGCTCGTGCACCATAGCCGTGCAGACGGCGTCCGAGACGGCGAGGTTGCCCAGCGTGATGCACGCGCAGGTCTGGAGGCCGGGACTGTCGCTGCGCTGCTGCAGCCAACGGCCCTGCTCGAGGATAAAGGGCGAGGCGAGCGAGTTGCGTTGGTTGAAGGCGTCGTCGGCGGTGATTTTGGCCACTTCGTTCAGCACCAGCCCCGTCGTCAGGCGCATTTCGTTTTCGAACTCCTTGCGCGCCTCGTCGCTGTCTAGATCCTGCCGCTGCGCCCCCGCCAGCTCGTCGGCTTTGAGCAGCGTGCGCGCGATCTGCTGCAGTCCGTCTGATTGCAGCGTTTTTTGCCGGATGCTCTCGTCTTGCAGGTACACGGACGCGGCGGCTTGCAGGTTCTTGTAATCGTCCCAGTCATCGCACGCGCTTATCGCGGCGAGGATCTCGGTCAGGCAGTCCTCGGAGTCTGAGAGCACTGTTTCGGTCAGTTGGTCGGAGACGAGGCTGAGCAGCTCGATGGACTGGCTGTGGACTGGGCTGTCGACAGATAGGAGGCGGCAGAGTTGGCGGTCCAGTCGGAGGCCGGCCGCTTCCTTGTAGGCGGGCTCTGGCGTTGCATGTCAATAAGGAGATCCGTCTGGAAAGCCGTCAGGGGAACGGTACCGTAGCCCAAGCTCACATTGTACAGCACACTGATAGCCATGGGCATCAGCGTCCTGTCCTGCAAGCAGCTCACGACCTTCTCCAGACAGGGCAGCACGACGGCGCGCGACTCGTCCCTGTCAGCGACAGCATTGCCCACGGCGCGCAGCAGCTGCTTCGACACCTCAGTAGGAAGCGTAGCATGGTCCAGCTTCTCGAGATAATACTTCAAGAGGCCCGACTGCTCGACAGGCTCGCGCCAGCTAGCTAAGGCCGATCAGAACCACCGTGTGCGCCAAACAAACAACAAACAACCACTCACATTTCCGACAGGCATCGGCCAGCAGCTCAAAGGCCCTGGCCCACGCCGCGAGATCCGATTTCCCCAGCTCTTCAAGACGGTCGCACAGCAGCTCGAGCGGCTCGACAGGGTTGCCGGTTGGCGGCGTGGCAAGGAAGGTTTGAAGCGCCGCGACCACGGCGGCCGGACTGCTTGCGGGTGGCCACTCCATGTTTTGGTGGTGATTATTGAGCGGCCGCAATGTCAGCGGGCCCCCTGCTCAGTTTAGTAGTGAGAGAGACGAGCACGGCCCGCCCCGCCCCGCCGGCGCTAGGTAGAGTACGAGTAGGTCCTCCGTCCTCCGTCCTCTCCGCCCACCGACCCGACGCGCGCGCAGCCAAAGTCACGTGAGCCCGCTGCTGGCTCCCGCCGCCGCCGCACCTCCGCAATGGAACCTCCCCAATCCCCGTCTGGCCAGGAATCCTCATCGCCGACGCCGACAACGACAACCACGACACCATCCATCCGCTCCTTAACCTCCGGCCCGGCTCCAATTACCTTACCTTGTCCTCACTCTCCTTTCCGAGCTCCACCACCACAACCCACTACCTTGTATACCGCAACCATGACGCGCGCCCAGCAGACCATCTCCTTCGGCCTCTTGCTCTCCTCCGTACGCATTCGCACCAAGACAGACAGACGTCTAGACCACAACCAACTGACCCACCGCCCGCGCACAGCTCTACCTCGCCCTCTTCCTCGGCCTCATCCCCCTCTCGCCCCGCGTCCAGGACGAGGTGATTCCCTACGTACGTCGCTGCAACATCCCTGGCTTCCCTCTGCACCAAGCACTGCACCAAGCCCTGCACCCTCCATCTTGCACCAATCGCACCGCCCAACTCTTCAAATCCCCAATCCAACTAACACACCCCTCCCCCAACAGCTCCCCTTCTGGGTCCTCGTCTCCTTCGGCGCATACCTGCTCGCCAAGCTCGGCTGGGGCGTCTTCACCTTCAACGACGTGCCCCAGGCGCACAAGGAGCTGATGGAGGAGATTGCGCTCGCGCGCGCCGACCTGAGCGCCAAGGGCGTGGATGTCGATTAGACAGACTGCTGTCGTCTCTGAGGGAGGGAGGGATACCCTGATGTGCGGTGGATGGATGTGTGTGTGTGGGGGGGTTGATGGCTGGGGTGACTGCCTGGTGGAGGGTAGGGTGGTGATGCGCTCTCTCTTGGGGAGGAATGGTCACTTGCACGCAAGAACACAGACGGACAGAGAGAGGGGGGGAAGCACGCGAGCCCCGCCTCTGCTAGAGCTACCACAGCAGCAGCCTGCCTACATGCTCAAGCCGTTTCTTTTTCTTTTCTCTTTTCTTTTTAAATTTTCCATTTTCCCTTCCAAATCCCGTCCCCGTTCCAGAAGCCGCTCTATAAGAAAGAGTCTCTCCATCCATCTAGCTGTTTATCTGCCTGTCTGTCTGTATCTGCATCTGTACTGTACACACCCACAACGAACGCTGCCACGAAAAAAAGAAAAAGAAATTGAAAAAAAAAAAAAAAATTTGTCCAAGAAGAAGATGAAGAAGAAATCAGAATTCGATGTCGAAAAAAAAAAAAACAGTAAAGACGAGAAGAGGAAAGAAAAAATACAGGAGAAAGGGCGCAAAGAGAGCAAACACTGGCCTGCGCGACCGGGGTATACAGGACCCGCCTAATGCCATGTCGGAAAACAGATGGCCGCCGCGAACAAAAACTCCTCGAAAATGACGGCAATGTCTAGCCGCCCCGGCCTGCTCTGAAACCAAGGCGTTTACGCCTACGCCTACGCTTACGCCTGCGCCTGCGCTTGCTTCGGTCCCTCTCCTTGCGCCTGAGCCTGGCTCTGGCCGTGACTCTGACTCTGACTCTGACTCTGACTCTGCGCCTGCTCCTCACTCGCATGCAAAGCCCTTAACCGCTTCTCCGTCTTCATAAACTCCCTTATGCCGACCGGGACGCCCTTGAAGAGATCCTCCTCTCTGGTCTCGGCCTCCTCGCCCACGCCCTCCAACCCCGCTTCCCAGTTCGCCTCGCTCCCACCCCCATCATCATCCATACTACTAGCGACATGGTCGGGCACGCCCGCGCCCACAACCATGCGGCCCGTCCCCTCGCCCCGCCCCCGCCTCTCCACCTCCTGCGCCCGCGCCCGCGCCTTCGCCTCCCGCGACGCCGCCGCCCACTCCTCTAGCTCGTCCCGGTACACGTCCCACACGCAGTTGACACACCCGGACATGCAGCAGTTGTCGGGCTCGGCGGGGCGCGGCGGCACCAGCACGCCCGCGACCATCTTGCCGGCTGCGGCGCGCTGCTCTTTCCGCTCCGTCGGCCCCGCCAGCCGCGACCCGAACACGATGCGCGCTTTCTGCAGCGTGGCCTCTTTGTCTGTCTTGGGGAGCTCGTCTGAGGGCGGCGGGGCCGGGGCGCTGGCATGCGTGGCGGGCGCGGTGGCGCGGAGGGGGTGCGAGAGCAGCTCCGCGTAGAAGCCGGTTAAGGGCGTGGCTTGCTCGCCCGTTCGCGCGATGTGGTAGCTTTGCTGCCGCGGCGTGTGGGCGAGCCGGTACGCCGCGTGTGGCCGCTGGTGTGCGAGCCGGTGCGCTGGCCGCGTGTGCGGCTGTTGTGGGGAGGCTAGGGCGCTGAGCCGGAGGCGCGGCGGCGCGGTGGCGCGGGGGAGCGCCATCGTTGCGTGTGTAGTTGTGGTTGTGGGGGTATTTGTGGTGCCCGGTTTGGGACGGTATGTGTTGAGTCTCTAGGTCTTGGAGGTATGTATGTACTTGTAGGGATGTAGCGCTGGCGTTGGTGTTACTGGCGATTCGATTGGATTATGCGACGAGGAGAGTCAAGTGCGGGCGAGGCTATCACGCTGCCCATGCCGAGGCGTGGGTGAGAGAAACGGTGTTTGGGTTTGGTTTTAGGTGTAGGTAGGGTGCGAGGTGGTGGAGGCGGGAAAGATCCGACCGCGTGGGCCAAAAGAAATCGCAATGAAGTCATTTCTCGGAGACGCGGCGGGCTTGACAATGCCCCCGGCCGCAGCCGAGGCCGGCCTCTCGCCGTCTCTCCCGAGCTATCGCCGACTACTTATGTTCACGCTGGCTTCCATTGACTTCGTGGCTCTCTTCGCTTGCCGGTTCTTTCTGAGTTTTGTAGTGTCGTCTTCCTTTGACGTTTTCGGAGGTAGTTGGCAATCAGATATTTTTCCAAGTGCTAACCATGACATCCACCCTAAAACCCCTACATAAACGACAGACTTTCAACAAACAGATAATAAGTCGTTAGGTGTATTAGATCGTTGCAGGCCTTCTACTTGCACAACCCTCTAGTTCGCATCCATCAATACCGTCTGCCATAACCTACCTCCTCGCCTTACTCCCGTCTCTCCAATGGACCAGGTTTCCAACACAGCCGACGGTTACAATCACCGCTACCATTAAGTTATTTAAAAAAAAGAGAACCTGGCCTTCTTAACTATAAAAATACTCAACACCTCCGCACCTATCTACCCGGGACTGGAAAGTAGCTATCTGGGTGAGGGAATTCTATATATCTAAGAACATAGCCAGTGCTTCCAATCACCACGGGGCTACACTGCTGCCTGCAGTATACCCACCCAACAGTACATATAAACCCCTAAACTATCAGCTCAGCTACCCGCTCAACACTCCCTTTTCTACACCACAGCAACAATCTTGCTTGTCGCAGAAAGAAAGAAAGATTATGACCGGCCACAGCGGCCCAATACACCCACGGATCCCCGAACGATACTACGGCGAAACAGCGACGTTTGCCGGGCTCTTCGTGCTGGTCGACATCCCCACCCACGTACGTTACGTTACGTCACACAGCCCTCACTCTCTTGGAGCGTGCAGCAGCGTACATACTCATCACAAGCCGTACTAGATGCTCGACGAGATGCTCAGTGAAGTCAACACCCTGCTCGACATCCCAAGCATCTGGCTCGCGACCAGTACCAGAGCCGATGTCCAAGTCCCCACCAAAGAACTACATCCGAGCATCACGACCACGCCGCTCGATCCTGCCTGGCGGTCGCCGTTTATAGACATGCATATCCCTGACATTATCCGTTTTCTCAAGGCTCTGCATCTGGATCCTACGGCTGAGTTTGATAGACGCCATTTTCTTACTATTGATGAAGAGTGTGTTAGTGAAGGGATTAGGTGGCTGAAGGGTTATCGTATCGAGGGGGATTTGGACGAGGTTGAAAATGAGTGAACTGAGGTCGCTGGGAAGCCATATAACGTGGCGCTTCGTCTCTTCAATTACCATCATGGTCAGTGGGAGCAGTCGGCTGAAGACTGAATTTGGTGCGATGTAGCAATGGGAGGATCGGGCTGAAGAACAGATTTAGTGCGATGAAGCGCTTTAAGAGTAGGCAAGCTCGTGGATAAGTACATAGGCTCGACTGCGGCATAGGAGCTCACTCTAACAAAAACGCAGCGTAACATTGCTCTCTTTCGGCGCCGTTATGAGTTGCCGGGCTCGGTCATGTCTGTTGAGGTCAGCGTCATTTTTGTCCAGCGTCGTCATAGGGCGGCCGCTTGTACCTACGTGGAGGGTTTGCGTGCCGTTATCTCGATGCGTTGGTGACCTTAAGCTGCTTGGACCTGAGATCGATCATTACGTGCAAGACGCGTTTTTGCTCATCGCGTGCTTTGCGCTTGTCATTGCGCTTGTCCTTGTGATCTTTGAACTCGTGCTGCCTGGCCTTGCGTCTGTCGTTTTGCTTATCCATGTGCTTATCCATGTGCTTATCCCTGTGCTGTTTGTCCCTGTGTTGTTTGTCCTTGTGCTTATCCTTGGGCTGCTTATCCTTGCGCTTGGTCTTGCGCTGGATGTTCTCGCAAGAGGTGACGACGCCATTGAGTTTTATTTGCAAGTCTTCCCTTTGATAGTGATATTTGGATTAGTGGTTTTGTGTCTTGAATGTTCAAGGACGACTTACACCGCTTTCTTTTTCTCTCGTGGAATCACGTTCATCCCTCCAATTTGTTGCAATTGTTGCAATTGAACAATAGTTGTAAAGACAGTCAACGTCTGTTTGACGGAGTTGAGATCTCCCTGCAATGATTCCATCTTCTTCTTTTTCAGGTACCATTTCCAGCGGACGAAATTTCTTTGCCACCTCGTTAACTTGACTGTCTGCCTTGCAAGGTTGCTGTTGCCTTTGCGTACGCAGCCCAGTCATCATGTGCCACTAATGAGACTCACCGGCGAGATGCAGATGTCAGATGTTGGCTTGATTGTGAAGTTTCAAGCCACCAACCAACCTATTAATGATTGCTTTTTTTGTAGTATTCGTATCAGCAGCCACAGAAGTATAGTACGGTACCTATAGGGAGCCCTATAATATGCGCGAAGTTTTACTTTCAGAAATGGTCATTTGATTTCTTTGTTAAAAAGAAATAAAAATGCATGATAAAATAAATTTGGAAGGGAAACAGCCTTACCTTTGAAATGGTCCAGCGTCGAGAAACAAGCTGGCACAAGCCTAAATAGGATTTCTTCTGCGGAAATCGCTGCAAGGGTTAAAAGCTTCCAACGTCAGTACCTTGGGAAAGATGGGTTGTGCCGCTTTCCTAGTCGTCCAATAACCACCAGCAAGGGATCTACGTATCGGGACCCCAGCAACAGCCGACCATCGCGCATGAACGGCTGCAATGCAGGTAGCCGCCCTTCAGACGTTCGAAGTTGTGCACATCTCTACCTATTCCAGCACCGTGCGGCTTAGGCCATTCGTTGGGTGGGAGAGCATCCGGGCGCTAACACAGCATATGCAAACTGAATTCTCCAGACGTTTGAAGTTCAAAGAAAATTGGCATGTTGCAGCACCTTGCAGCGTCATCCATGATGCTTTTCGCATTCCATTTCTTGAGACGTTCGAGGATGATGAGTGGATTGCTACATTGAGCAGCATACATCTGCACGCTGTGATTGCGCTGCAGAGTGGTGGTTACGCCGGCGCTTGAGTGCAGCTAGTGTAACGAGTAAACTTCCGAGACAAAGGACTTCAAGCGATTGGTTCGGAAAACCTTCTTGCCTCGATTATTGTGTTGCACTGGAACGACAGGACGATTGAGTATGGATAGCGGAAGAGGTCCATATCATCGGAATAGTCGCTGTTTTTTGGACATCGTCGATCAATATTGGCCTCAGGATATTTAAGCGACGCAGCAAAGTCACGAGGAAATGTGCCGCTCCTTATAGACGTTCGATGTTGGAGCTTGCCGACATGCCTTTTCGATCTCTTCGCATGTCGATCCCGCTAGGTACTACAGGATCGTCAGGTACAATAAGATTGGAATTGATGCCGTGTGTTGAGCAAACTTCAAGTCAGTATGACTGATAATTGTAGAGATGGAAGGAAAGATGGACGGAAAGTGGTCAAGGGAAGCTCATGAGCACTGACCCGCGGAAGTGCAGTCACGTGTGGGTCTTGGCGGTCATGGAATTTCTGGAGACTGAAGCTCGAATCTCGGCGTCGTGGATCGCCGTTGAGAAGATACCCGTCACCGCACCGCCACAGCTACAACCATGCGCCGAATTGCCAGGATATCGCGGCCCGTCGAGAAGGTTCTCGAGCAGTCAAGCAGGAGGGTCGCGCTGCCCGCGTCCGTGTGCAATGCCTGCCAGGTGCGCGCCGCGCCCTTCACCACCGCCGCCCGTCGTGACGCCGCCAAAGAAAAGAAACCCTACACCGAAAAGCTCAGGCAGAAGATTTGGGGCACGGAGAATGCCCCTGGTCGCGAGGACCCGTACTCCTACGATTCGCCAATGCGATCCGAAGAAGAAACGGAGCTGGCCGTGAAGCCGGCGGAAGAAGAGACACCGGTTAAGCCCCAGGCTCCGGCGATAGATATGTCGGGATACCAGCCTGCGACGACGTGGGAAGGCCTGGAGGTGATTGGCGGTGAGGAATGGTTGGAGCAGAAGGTTACGCCGCGCGGGTTCAAAGGGTCGGTTATATGCGGCGCGCCTTCACGCTTTGAGTGTTGCTGACGGACGCAGATTCTTGCCTGAGGAGAAAGCTTCTACCTTAGAGGGAATTACCGCCGCGGTACGCAGATCTCTGGTGGAAGTGTTCAAAGCAAGAGCAGAAGGAAAGCAATTGCGTGTCTGGCGCGCAAAGTCCCCCGCAGAGGACTGGACTGTGAATATGCACTTCAAGGCTCTAGAAAACAACGGCAATTTTGAGCTGGTGGAGGGTCCTGAATCAAGCAAGAAGGGGTCCGAGAGCTGGAGACAAGTTCCTCTGAGTGAACCGGAAATCAAATTTGCGGTAAGAGTCGGCGCTCGCATGACTTTGAACGATATCCTGACAGAATTCCAGGTCATCAAGCGTGTCATGCAATTAACCGGTCTCCGCGTTTTCGACTCCGTCATCAACGACCTACCCACCGCCGGTGCGCTTGTCTCGAGCCTCTCGAAGTACGATAAGCGCCTTAGGCCAGAGAAGGTTGCCGAGTGGGTGGAGACTACTTCTAAGTACAACAATCTCAAGAACGTCACATTCTCCGGTAGGAGAGTGACTCCGATTGACAAGGAGAAGGCGGTCGGCAGGTGGAAGGTCATTGAGCAAAAGCTCATTGACAGGGACCTGCCAGTTACAGGACGCGATATCTGAACAGGTATGCAGAGTCATAGAAATTTTCGAAATGTGTAAGATACCTGTATTTACATCAGGAAATGGGTGTTTAGCCATGTATGATCATCGACTCCATGCTCGAAGGTGAGCAATATCGAAACTTTACTTGCTGAAGAAGCTGGACAGATCAAGTCAGGGCTTGCAGATGAATACACTAAAGCTCACCAGTCAAGCACAAGAGCTCTGCTGATATCAAGCCCCGTCCTTTTGTTTTCAATGCACTCCTTAATTCTGTATAGACTGGCTCTTCCTATTTTCCCTTTGACATCGCGATCAATATTAACTTGGCTCTCGAAATCGTCATCACGGGATGCTATTCCCAGTAAACACTAATCAATAAGTAGTCTAGGTTCCGGGAAAAACAAGCATAAATTTATGTTTAAATATTTGATGGAGAAATTAAAAGAGCCATGGAACGTCAAGAACGAAAAAGCCTTTCTGGTGAGTTGAACGTCAGCATCAGCACAGAACAGAAAGCATTCAAAGCATCTTAAGTGAGTATATCGAAAATTCGAAACCCACGGGCAAGCTACTAAAAAAGGACCAACCTGAAGAACGGACGTTATATTTAGAACTATGTTCTTATCACGTCCACTTCATAAGCACAAGCCGAAGATCTTACAGACCAACGAATCATATCACTTTCCGCCCACTAGCGCGCACTTACCTCAACAAAGCAGGCGGTGGGCAGGACTAAGCTACGAACGGCATTTTGCCAGTGGTAGTAAAGCCGCAAGCACACGTGGCCATGGTGGCTGGCTGCAGATCAGGCCGTTCTTTTATTAACTTCTAACGTGATCAGATCCTTCTAGTACAGCAGGTCCAAGCCAGTGGCGCAGGTGGGAACGTTGCTGGGATTAAAGTATGGATTAGTCGGCGTGAGTTGGCTCAACCACCATACATTATCAATCCAACGGCTTTGGCACAGGAATAGAGTAATGCCAAGGCGGCGATTTGAAGCAAGGCAGCTTTCTGCGGTATATGGTCGTTAATGGCGCAGACGGTGGCGGAAACTAGCCTGAGGGAGCCCGCTCTGATCAACCAGCATTGGTGAACGGTAGACTTCGGATATGGGTAAGGGACGTTAACTTCGGATAGAGGTGAAAGACGTTACTGATTGCTGATCTTTTCCATATCTATTTTCTTAGCGATTCTGTACTGATGCCATACACAGGATATGGGAACTGTTTCCTTAAGATTGTTAAGGGATACCGCGTGGTTTGCTTACTTGAAATTTTTCGTGACGTTTGAGGGAAGCATAGTTCACATCAGCACTGGTGGTGCGTCGCCTGGTACCAGTGGCGTCAAAAACTTATCAGTGCACGCTAGGTCCTCATGGTATTGCCGCAAGGTATGATGGAATACGAAGTACCAGTTTCCAAATAATGCACGCCAAGAAATCCCCCGAGGAGAAAGCTGAAAACACTTTGGCATAAAACAACTTTTGTGGTTGCATCGTGTCCAGAATCTGCTCGGCGCAGGTTTTACACCAACTAAATGGAGCCAATCTCATCTATTTGTCTACATGCTGGAGTCACTGTTGAAGTTTAGGCAAGGCTCTCTAAGAAAATTGGAAACTTATTCACAGCAGTGCGAACACAAACGAAGGCGAGGATGCGTAGTATAGGGTCACGGATGGCGAGCTCATTATTCCCGGCCGTAACCGTTTTCATGCACAACTGGAAGCGAAGCTACGCAGACATAAATGCGGAGACTAGATAGGAGGCTTCAAGTAAGTACCCACTAGCAACTCACCGTCAATCCTTTGCTATCATCCCTTTGCTATTACTTCTTCAATGTCATCCCCCACTTCCTTCGTATGCGAGGACGTTGGCCGAATTCACCAGGGGAGTCTACTCCTACGTCTTGCTCATCTTTAGCAAAACCCAATCGATCGCGATCATGCCTGACTGGAGGTCTACTTTACTGGACCAGGCTGAAGACAACAGAGAGCAAACATGCAAGACCACACTGCCCGGATACTTGGTCTCGAAACGTTTGCGGACAGCGGTGATAATCGTTGTCCTCTTCATAGTCTCCGTTGTGTTGACGAGCAGCTTTCCATTCAGTCGATCGGTCATCATACGGGAACCTCACCAGGCTTCTTTGACTCCTTCGACTCTCCAGGTCCTTGCAGATACCACTGTTGTCGACTGGTCACAGTTCGCATACATACAGTACGTTACCAACTTGGCCTATCTCTGCAACTCGGTCATGATCTTTGAATCCATTTCACGCTTCGGCAGTCACGCGGATAAACTTATGATGTATCCGCATGAATGGAGCCTTAGCTCGGATGACAACAGCGATGAAAGCCGGCTTCTCAGAAAGGCACGCGATAAATACCACGTCCGTCTTGTCCCTATCACTGTTCAGCGATCCAGTGGTCAGGACGCTACCTGGATGGACAGTTTTACCAAACTCCTTGCTTTCAACCAGACACAGTACGAGCGGGTGATAATACTTGATTCTGATGCCACACTCCTACAGGTAAGCGTTCTCATGGCCTTGCGTCAACTGTTGGCCAACTCAAGCTGACGTGTTCAGAACATGGACGAGCTTTTCTTCCTTCCCCCCGCCCCCATCGCCATACCAAGAGCGTACTGGTTAGACCCAAAGGAGCACGTTCTAACGTCGCTACTGGACGTCATTACGCCCTCAGCATTTGAATTCGATAGAATTCAACGGCAAATCGCGAATCACTCAGCGAACGAGTTTGACATGGAAATCATCAACAACCTCTACGGCGACAACTGCCTTGTTATCCCGCATCGGCCATATGGTTTACTGTCTGGCGAGTTTCGTGCTTCGAACCATCACGCTTACCTGGGATCGGATGAAGAGACGTGGGATCCGGTTAAGGTCTGGAGGGAGGCCAAGTTGATACATTTTTCTGACTGGCCATATCCCAAGCCTTGGATCAAGGCCAGTGATCAGGCTACCGAGGAACGCAAGCCAGCTTGCCATAAGAATGAAACGGGCGGCGTTAAGGATTGTCGTGGCCAGGAAATCTGGCTGGAGCTTTACAAAGACTTTTCGAGAAGGAGGGAGGTACGTCGAACATCTTTTCCAAAGGGCTGCCTTGTTCATGCGACGCTAACACTGTCTTAGGCGGTTTGCGGTCACGCCTATGGGTAGCGGTTTATAGATTAGAGGTTTTTTCAATAATATCCGGTCCGGCAACCTTGGTAGATTCTCAACAAGCCTCAAAGTACGATGTGAATCAAAGCCCCAGACAATTCTGTCACCTCTTTTAGATATTTTGACCACCCCGCCAAAGCGTCTACACGATTAAGCATAACTTAACAGTTAGATATGAAGAGATGATTAGTGCAGTATGTCTTAGGCAGAGAACACGGCTCCTCACTATACGTCTTAGAGAACTTCTATTCACTGCTCTACGCCCTTAGGCAGAACGAAGTCTTACCTACTTACGCAGCACTATCTAGGGAGTAGTAAAATAATCCAAGGCCTACAATAAGCCAAAACGTCCGAGCCGTGCTTAAACAGTGAGTCGCTGACTCCGACCTAATAGTCTATTACTCGTTACAACCTGTCGTGCAGAATTTACTTGCCTGGTGTAAGCTCTTCCGCTGCCTCGTTGCTCAACACGACTAGATCTGACTACACCGCTTGGGTTGGTCAGCATTGCCCTACTGTTGAAAAGATTTCCATCAGCACATCCAGCTAAGATTCGTGTGCCCATTTGCACATCTTTGCCATTATGAAGACAGATATGTCATGACCAGTCGAAGCTAAAAGAAGACCAGACTGTAGCCACAAGCAATACCGTTCACAGCCAGGAACAACACCGAAACCCACACACACGACGCCAATGCCACAAAAAACACACACGCAAGAAGATTCATACCTTGCTAATCTAACGGAACCCAACCAACATCTACTCTCCACCACCCCAACAACAACAAGCCACCAAAAAAAGGACCATACAGGTGCCCAGCCCAACCGAACCAGCGGCAAGCAAACGAAAGCAACGAAAGCAAAACAACAAGAGGAAAAAACCAAGAACAGGCGTACACGTACACGTACATACAGCAAAGAGCAAGCAATGAAACCCCAGACGCGCCAGTTCCCCTCCATCAATCCAAACCGAGCTGAACGCGACAGAGAGCCAAACACCACGAAAAATGCCGTTGGGAAATGCATGCTGCGATAAAAGCGAAAATGGGAAAAGGCTGAAAAGGAGGAAAAGCGAAAAAGTAAAGGAAGAGAAACAGGAACAGTTGGACACTGTAGCCGGCCGTGCTCTAAGAATGAAACGAACCAAAGCAAAAACTGTTACTTTTTTTCTCTTTCTGTCGTCTGTTCGTCGAACGGTCGTGTGACTGGACTGACTGTCGACAAGACGGACCGACAAGGAAATGCGATGCGATGCGCGCGGGGTATCTAGAAATGGGTGGGGTGAAGGGAAGGAGAAAAGAATAAAGGGAGGGGGAGAAAGGAGGAAAAAGGGAAGAAGAGGACGTGAAGAAAAGGTGGAAGAGGTGAGCTGAGTGAGGACCAGGAAAGGAAAAATGACAAGAAAAAGTCAGGACGTTTCGAGACGTCGCCCATGGGAAAGGAGCGAGCGAGCGGGTGAGAGTGAATGGTGTGTGCCATCCACCCGCCCACCGCTCCCAAACGCCACCAAGGACCCATCCAAAAGCCAAACCAAATCACCACCACCACGACTCAACCACTTAACCAAATCCGTTCCTCTTTTTCTACTCCTCAACAACCTCCCCCGCATGGCTCTTCCGCGCCATAGCATCCACATCCACCAGCGTAGGCGACATCGCCCGCCTCTCCACCAACCTCTCACCCACCAGCTTCTCCACGACCGGACTCTGCGCCACGACCGGGCTCTGTGCAACCGAAGGGCTATGCAGCACCGAGGGCCCCTGCGCCGAAGGAGTCGTGATGGCAAGCACCGGCAAGGGCGGCGCAGATGCCGCTGAGCCCCCCTCCGTCGTCGGCGTCTTCAGCAGAATCTCGTTCCGCGCGCGCTGCCGGCTGATGCTGACCTGACGGGCGATGGCGACGCGGCCGGCACGCTGGACTTCTTCGGCTCGCTCTTTGAGCGTGGGTTGGCGCTTGGGGAGGGAGGAGGTGGACTCGGGAGAGGAGTCTTGGGGAGATTGTTGGTTTTGCTGGGGAGGTTCTTGCGGAGAAGTTTCTTGCTGGGGAAGTGTCTCTTGTGGGGTCTTCTCTTGCGGAGGTTGTTGCGTTGACTTCGAGGGCTTGCGTTGATGGTGTTGCGGTTGCTCTTCGTTGGAGCGGTGATGGTCATGGTGATGGCGGCGGTGTTGGTGTTGTTCTTGAGGCTGGTGGTGGTGACGTCGAGATTGGTGGTGTTGCTCTTCCCTGGGCTGGTGATGGTGATGCCGATGTTGCGACTCTTGGCGGTGATGACGGTGGTGTTGCTCAGGGCGGTGCTCAGGACGATGCTCAGGGCGATGCGCAGGACGATGTTCAGGACGGTACTCAGGACGATGCTCCGAGCGGTGCTCTGGACGGTGTTCTGAACGGTGTTCACCACGCTGTTCAGCACGCCTCTCAGCACGCTGCTGCTGCTGCTGAGGGCGGTGGCCCTCCGGGTGATGGCGGCGGTGGTGGTGTCCTTGCTCTGGCGCCGTTTTCTGCTCCGGCTCCACTTTTTGCTCCGGTTCCGTCTTCTGCTCCGACGCCACCTTCTGCAGCTCCGACGCGGCCTTCTGCGCCGCCGGCCGTTGCGCCTTACGCAGCAGTTCGGGTGACGGCGGATGCGCCATGCGCCACTCCCGCGCCGTGACATTCGACTTGGACATCTCGATCGGGGGCAACATGTTCGGCACTGGCGCCGGCGCAGCCGCGCAGCCGGGCGCAGGCGGAAGTCCGGGCGGAAGGCCAGGGGGAAGGCCATTCGAGGACGCAGCAGGTGCAGCAGCCACGGGCGCGGGCACTTTGATCGTCGTCCGCGTCGGGGATACCTGGATCGACGACTCTGACGCCGTTCGGTCACGCAGGCCGACCCGCTGCTTTTGCTTCGCTTGCGGCAGCGGCAGCGGATCCGCGCGCGTGCGCGAGTTCTCGCGCGACAGCGGCTTGACCATCTCCCAGCTCGTCTCGTCGACCATGCGCACGGGGTGCCAAGGCATAGAATCGTAGTTAAGAACAGCTGTATGTGCCGATTCGGCCGAGTTGAACGAGGCGCAGCTCTCGCGCGTGCTGACCGTGCTCGGCGTTGTGGGGCGGCCCGTGGTGTCGTCGGTGCCGGAGGTCTCGGCTGTGATCTGCTGCGCGGTGACCGGGCCGCGGTCGGTGGAATAGCCGGGACGCGCGGCAGCCTGCTTCTCGGCCTTTAGGAAGGCGGCGCGGTTGGGCGAGATGGCGCCAGGTGCGGTGAGGGCGCGATGCAATGGACGGGATTTGGGCAGAGCGCTGCCGCTGGGCGCGGGCGAGCCCTCGCGCGATGAAGTCCCCGGGAACAACGAAAAGGCCTGGTTCGGGTTCGCAAATGTTGGCGTTGCGGGAGACGTGGCTCGCCGTTGAGGTTGCGGCCTGGCAACCGGAGTCTGGTGCTCATCAGCGAGGGGCTTGTTGGCCTCGTCAGCAAGAGACTTGTCGGCATGCTGTTGTTTTCTGTTAGCTTTTCCTCCGGGAAAACCTACTCCTGACAATGATACTTACTCGAAGAGAGTCTGCATTTAACGGCTGCAGCTTGTCCATGTGGTTGCCTTGTCTCCGGGAAAGCAGATTCGATGACCGATCCTTTGCTAGCAGGCTTCCGAACATGACACTATACCTCTCCATTTCTATCCTCGGAATGTCGACATTCAACATCGGGCTCGGGCTAGTCTCGGCCCTATGTGGAAGATGGGGTCTTGCGAGTCCTTTCTGCTCAGGCGGAGTGAGCTTGCTCAACGACTCATCCTTTGGCGGAACCTTAGGGCTGCCCACCTCACGATATGGCTTCGGCATTTGAGGGGGAGTTTCCAGGACGATATCAATCGATGGTCGTAGGTTTGCAAGACTCTTGCTCCGAGACCTGCTCTTCAACTTTTTTGATCCGGATTTGGCCAACTTGCTGCTCTTCTCATGGGCATTGCTGTCTGTAGAATCCTGGCGTTGGCGGAGCGGCGATTCTGTTCTTGATGCTACCTGAGTGCTCGAGAAATTCCTCTTGTCCATGCTGCCTTTGCGTTCCGGAGAAAATGGGGGCTGTAACTGGTAGAAGGGCTCTTGTTGCGGTTGCGGTTTCGGCTTTCGTCCAAAAATCGACTTCCATCTGCTAATTTTCGGGGGATTTCCTCCACTCGTCGTTGGCCGTTGGTCCGTAGTTGGTATTCTTCCGAGATTCGTCTGGCTAGATGCGACCAAGTTCACCGTGCTGTGCGATGATGGCCATGGGGAAACAGGGTGGGCATGGCTATCAAGCGCCAGGCCGATAGCCTTGCCCTCTCTCAGCTCCCGGGCGTGCCTGACAGCCTCGGGCGAGGGCGTAGGGAAATCAAACGTGTGGTCGTCAGTCTTCAGAACAATAGGCACGCCTTTTGTGTGCAGCGCTTTGGAACGATCCATGGTGCCGGTGGCTGTTCCAGGACGCGACGGCTCGTCCCCAGACCTTGAGGCGGTGCCGCTGTCTGCGCGTTTCGGCGAGACATCGTTGGTGGTTGGACCGGTGAATTGGGGCATGGGAAGTTCCGGCTCCGGGGTGGCCTTACGGGGAGGCCTCGACTTCCTCAAGTTAACCATGGACTTTGAGCGCTGCAGAACCATGGTGGCGGCTGAAAATAGAAGATAGCAAGGGAGGGAGGGTACAACAACAACAATGACCGGCAAAGCTGGGGAGGAAAGTATTTATCCCAAAAAAAAAAAA